AAACAAGCTAGGAAGAGATATGTATTTGCCAAGGAGCATAGATGGTGGGGGACATCAAACTATGCAGCTCATAGAGATGATGGCAAGCAAGGAGGGGACTGGAGGAAGGTTGTATAGTCTGATGAGGCTATATTTGAGACTCGGAAGAATGGTAGGATATATGTGACTAGGAGGGTAGATGAGAGAAAGTGCCCTGATTGCATTAAGTTAGTTTATAGGTTAGGGAGGACAATGGTCATGATATGGGGGGCATTAGGTTGGGATTACAAGTCGCTATTAGTCTTCCTAAAAAAGCTTCTAGAACGCAAAGACATATGTTCTAAAGCTTATTTATAGCAAGTTTCTTAGCCTATAATCTTCTTTTTCTTTAATAATTTAGGGCTGGAGTATATTTTCATGGAAGATGGGTCTAAGGTGTATAAAGGGCATGCCAGATTACTTAGACTATAGCATAATATTCGAGGGTTTAATTGGCTTTTTTTTTCACTAGATTTGAACTCTATTGAGAAGGTTTGGAGGTGAATAAAGGAGGAATTGAAAAACTTGGACTATGTGCCCAAAAATAAGGTGGATTTGAAGAGGGAGTTGCAAAAGCTATGGGACCGAGTTGACCCACGTGACTTTCGCTACTACACTGAGCAATTGACTTGTAAGATTGAGGATGTAATTAAGTACAAGGGTATAGCTACTATTAATTAATAATAAGTTCCATTTTCATAGAGATTCATAAGAAGACTAAAAAATTATGATTTTTGGTAAATAAGGTCTCATTTGTTGAGTTTCGCTTAAGTGGGCCATTCCCGGTGGCCTCAGCTCTTACTATATGGCGAAGGATCCGCATCTATGGCCGTGGCAGCGCACCGCAGTGTTGACTCCGACTCCGCCTGATACTCCGACAAGCACAAGTGATATGGAAATAGAGGAGTTGAGTTCACACTGCATTGTGGAAGGGGAGAACAAGGAAGAAGCAGACATCCAATCCCGACCTCGGATACTGCTTGGATGTTCACACAAACATACACCAAAGCAAAAGCGTCCCTCCAATCCCCTTCAATCGAAACACCCACCCTCTTCTCACAAGAAACAGTCGACCACGAAGCGAATCAGCGGTGGGATACGGAAGGAGTCCCTACGCGCAAACACTCGATGATCACACGGTCGATGAGACGGCACAGACGAAATGCCCACACGCCGGACTAAGCTCTCCGAGGTTAAGGTCGAGAAAGCTAGGGATGATTGGTGGGAAGGAAACCATAGGGGTGGATGCAGCTTTCAAATGCGACTCTCCAAGGCTCCTGTACCAGCACCCAAAATGGAGCTCGAGGATATTGATGACGGAGTTGATGTTTCGAGGAGGGACAGCGCATTCACATATGACAATCCGTTCTAGAGTGGTAGCTCTCCTCCACCAGTCTTAGACTCTAGAGAAAAGAAGAGAAGGGGCTTAGGTGTTAGGCTAGCAAGGACCTGGCTAAACGGAAGAGCAGCTCCACGACAAGACGCCGGATTGAAACACTAAGGGTGTGTTTGGCTCACGGATGTGGGTGGGAATGGAGAAGGCTGTACCACCAAAAGTTTAAGCCGAGTGTGAATAGAGTGTTGAATAGAGAGAACTGTTTTGCTCACTAAGGAATAGAGGACTCTATTCAAATCGAATGGAATAGAATGACTCTATTCGCGAATAGGCCTAACAAAAAATGAATATGCAAAAAAAGCCCTATTGTATTCGAATAGAATAGATTCAACCACAATTCTACTCCTCAGCCTTGCCAATTATTTTACCACCTCCCCAGCCAAACAACCCACACATTCACATTTACATTTACATTTAATCTATGAATAGAATAAAATTTGATTTCCATTCGCGCTAAAAATAAAAACTCAAATTCGCTAGCCAAACACACCCTAAAAGTTGACGCTGGATTCCATCCTTCGACCTCTGCTACATTTGAATTTCCGGTCAGTGCATTAAATAGAACGAAGGATGTGGATGAGAATAGTGTCAAGGAACGATGCAATGAAGTTGTGTTCGGCGCTGAAGCCGATTTCGAATTTATTATACGAAGGCTATATAATTATAAAATTTATTACTAATTATAAGCTAAAAAAGCGGGATATATGCTATAAATGCCTGTTATTAACTTTGCTATTTAATTGCCTCTATTTACTGCTGCCTACTGCCCGCGTTCGCAGAATCAATAACTACAAGGACCTTATCTATGATCACTTTAAAGAATGGAGCTAGGGAGTAGCTCCGGTATTTTTCGACTAATAAAGTTAATTCCTCCACACTTGTATTCTCGTCTACATCCTTACTAGCACTTGCCAGTATCGACTTTGAAATATCTCGCCTATGAACAATCGTCTCAGTTGAGCATTTACCCGTTTCTACTAGCATTCCAAATTCTGGATCAATAGGGACGCTTCCTAAAAACTGTACGCCGAACTCTTTCGCCATTAACTAATCGCTTTTGGAGCTGAAAAGATGCGTGCACTCCGAGCAAATAGGGCACACAAACTCACTCATATTCTCGACAGCCCCTAGGACCCTCAAGCCCGTCTTCACATAGAAGTTGAGCTCCTTGCGTACGTCTGCCGTCGCCACCGCTTGTGGCGTCGTCACAACAACGGCACCAGCTAGCTGATCCGGATAAGCAGGACTAGAGGCAGTCGTGTGCAATAGGGTCTCGACTAGTGAGATATGTTCGTCGCTCGTGCCAGGGGGTGTGTCGATGAGCAAATAGTCGAGCGCATCCCAGATTACGTCCGACAACAATTGGCGTACCATGGCGCTCTTCTTCGGACCGCGCCACACCACGGCGTCGCCTCGATGCGAGAGAAGGAAGCCTAGAGATATAACGTGCAGTGGGCCAATAGTCCCTGCCTCGGTTTCAATGCTGGAGTGGACTGTGATCGGCAGCCAGCCTCCGGGGGCTTAAGTGACTTTTGTGTCTTCGACTGCAAACATGCGGGGGATGGAAGGGCCTGTCAGGTCGATATCGAGAACGCCGACGGAGTGACTAGCTAGCGAGAGCGAGAGCGCTAATTGTGTAGTCACAAAAGACTTGCCCACGCCGCCTTTGCTAGATAAAAACCTGTCGGATCCTTTGTCAGTAGGGGAAGATAGATACGATAGTAGTACCGAAGGCATTAAAGGCAGCCGGGCGAAGGGTACAGACTAATATTATATGCTTTATCTTTGAAAGAGACATAGCTGACTTAAAGAAGCTCTATGTTGCGTTGCTGCCAGTTTATGAGTAGAGGTAGAGAGATATAGATCGGAGAAGCTACATTTTACGAAGGCGAAGGTAAGGAGGTATTCGCTTAATCTAACAGCCGATTGCACAACTCGTGATACCGCGACAAAATCAACCGAACTTTTTTTTGTATGCAATTGGCTGTACGTGAGGCACACCTTGAGTCACACGGCGACAGTTTACACTCTGGACCTCTGCTCTTCTGGTCCTGTTCAACAGCTACAAAGGTATCTTCCAAAACGTTCAGAAAGCTTTCAAGCTCTCATGGCCTTCTAAATACCTAACTCCTCCCCTCTTGTTCGAGAACCATCTACACTGATTCGCTAATGCTTCCTCGTAGTTTAATCATGAAGATGATCGTACCTAAAAATGTACCTCCCAGCGCAGGCTGGACATCCTATGATGGTTGGGATTACAACGGCATGAAAGAACGTCTTGAGAGATTCATGAGTATCATCAACAAATCCTCTCTCGTGGAGCATACCCAACTCATTATCGGTCAACCGGTCTCGATTAGTGAAGCCTTCTCTGCTGGGCAATTTTGGTGCTGCTTCGAACTCCTGGCGGTCGACGGCCACCTCATCATTGCACGCGTGCGGCTCCCTAGGCATCCCGATAGCACTGATAGCGCCAATGAGCATTCTGAGCTGTATTCAATTGAGTGTGAAGTTGCGCAGATGAAGTTCCTCTACGAGAACGTTACTGGCGTCCCGTTCCCCAAACTATACGCCTATGAAGGCCCAGGGTCGCAAAGGGCAGCAAATGTTGGCGCGGCGTACATGCTTATTGAAGGGTTTTACGGCAACACTATGCAAGATGTGCAATTTAATATTTGCGAGCTTCCGGTGCGACCCATCTTCATATTCCTCCCGTATTTAGTTCTCCTAATCCCGCTGGAGTAGATCTCAACGCAGGAGCACATTATCACACAGTGGACTTCCGCCCAAGCCGAACTAGCGACCTTCACATTTCCACAAATTGGTTCAATCTCCCATTTCTCCAACGACACCGGTGCTATCATCGGCAAACTCTCTACAGCCGTAGCAGAAGGCCTCTCAGATGAGGGTCCCTTCACGGAAGCCTGCGACTATTTCGCTGCTGTCGCGGAGGCCAAATTCCGTCAAGCCTGCAAGAATGATGTCGCTGACGACGGCAGCAACATTTTTACTAGGCTGGGTCCTTTCGTGTTTAAAGACATCGTGCACAATACAGCCCTCTTTAAAACTGGTGGCGGGCCGTTCCACCTTGACCATATGGACATGGGAACGCAGAATATTCTCGTCGATCAGTACTTCAATTTCCTCGCCATAATCGACTGGGAATTTGCTCAGACGGCGCCTTGGGAGGTCATCCACTACCCAATGCCCTTTCCGCTCATCTCTGCCGACGCCAAGACCGACGGCATTCTACAAAACCCGACCACATAGCACACCGCAACGTATCCCGCCAAGTTGCAGCACGGAAAATGTACAGACAGAAGTTTCGAGATGTGGAGCAGGCACTCGAGAGTAGAGGAAGACCCTTACAGAAATCAATAGCCGATGTGCTAGACGGGGCTGCATCCAGAATCTACGCCGTACTCGAAAAGTTCGGCGTTTTCGAAGGCATGGTAGAAGAACTTACTTACGAAATGGTGCGATTAGCTTATGGATTTGATCGTGAAGAGGCAAAGAAATATCTCAATGAGATGGAAGCCAAAATGAAGGGGTAATAATCAGTCTCTGGCAAGAGAAAGTATATTGAATCATTCCCTTTCCTCCACAACGAAAGTCACAACAAATGAATGCTCTGTGTATCCCCAAGTAGACCTAGCTCACCCTTATCCAACGCAACTAGCCCGTCAAGATGCAGTCCTAGCTTGATGCTCTACCTAGATTTAACAATTATCAGGAGCATTACGTTCAGATGAAGGAGAGTAATTAAGTGTACTTACTTGGGACAGGTGTGCGAGGTACCTTGTGCGTAGACTGCACCACAAGAGGAGCACATGCTCTGATTGTTCGAGGACTGTATCCTTCTTTGCCCAAACAATCAGTTGTTGCGACCTGATATCAGTGCTCTAGCTATACAGCGTGATTTTACAGCCCGACTTTACGGAGTTCTAACATCAACATCTTCCACTTCATCTACTTGAAGCGCAAACTGCTGCCATAATCGTAAAACGGATTCAGAGCTCGGGATTATCACAAGAAGATAGCGGAGGCTTCGTGATTTTGCACAAATTTCTGGCATTGAAGAGAAGAGTGCACTCAAAAAGTACCCAGACAGCTCTTTTTTTTACAATTCAAGGCCAGAACCAAAAGCAATAATCAGGCCAGCTAATTAAGACGAATGATACATACTGTTCAACAGAGCGGGAAGCCAAACTTATGACAATTAAAAGTTGATAACACAGACACTGGTCAGCATTGATCGCAGCTCACAAGGATCAGAAGTCACCATTCCCATGAATCGAGATGAAGGTTGGAGATTTGTGACCACCAGGGTGTAAAGAACCATCTGTTGGCCCCCATGTTGAAATATACACCGTGCGTGCTTAATAATTCGCATTCATTCACACCAAACATCGTTCGTTTCAAGATTTCTGCAGATCACAAGCTGCCAAGCACCTCCAAGACTTCCTCAATTACGCCGCGATGGACTCCCTCAGACCTTCCAAACCTCGATTTTACCCAACTGAGACAACTTAGTCGCCAACAGCATGGCACCACACGAAGGATTGACGCATCTTAAGCAGTACGACATCAAGGATAGCAATGTGGAGTTGATTGGCACAGAAATCGACCACAAAGTCAAATACAAATCTGCTGAGACGGAACCAGCATGGAAGGGTCTTGGGCAACATGCTGGCTTGTACATCTGGCGGATCGAAGATTTCGAGGTCGTTCCTTGGCCGAAGGAGAAATATGGGCAATTCTACGACGGAGACAGCTACATCGTGCTCCATTCATACAAGATCGGCGACAAGAATGGGCAGGAACAATTGGGACATGAGATATTCTTCTGGTTGGGTCAAAATACTTCTCAGGATGAAGCAGGGACGGCGGCATACAAGACAGTGGAGTTGGACGAATTCTTGCGAGGTGTAGCCACGCAGCATCGAGAGATCCAACAGCAACCGTCCGACGAAATCATGCACCTGTTCCCTCGTCTCAGGATCCTTTCTGGTGGTGTGAAGTCAGGCTTCCGACACGTCGAAGCTGCCGAGCCCGAAGAGAAATCTATGCTTCTTCGAATTTTCAAGCACCCTGGAACTGGATCTACAGTGGTGCACGAAGTACAACCCATTTGGCAGAGCCTTGACGATGACGATGTCTTTGTATTGGACAAGGGAGACAAGATATGGGTTTGGCAAGGGTCAAAGTGTAGTCCCATGGAGAAGGCAAAAGGGGCTCAAGTCGTCAGTGATTTGACTCTTGCCAAACATATCGACGTCGAGGTGCTTTCGCAGACCGAGGCAAGATCTAGAGTGATTGTTGATTTGCTAGGAGGCAAAAATATCGAACAGAGAGAATTTCGAGCTCCGAGACCTGTTTCCTCAACATCTCAGTCGACCTCATCGCGACCTCAGAGACTCTTCTGCCTCAGTGACGCATCCGGTCAACTGTCGTTCAACCTTGTCAAGGAGGGACAACCTGTTCAAAGCACGGATTTCCAGACTAACGATGTCTTTCTCTTTGATACTGGAAAAGCTATTTGGGTCTGGAAGGGCCTAGGAGCTTCTCGATCAGAGAGAGCGATGTGGATGAAGGTGGCACAATCCTACCTGCGGCAGCTTCAATCTGGACCTGGAGGAGATGATGCTCATCTAACACCATTAGCCACTGTTTCGGAAGGTAGCGAGAGTCCGGCATTCCTCAAGGTGATTGATGTAAGATGATCGAGAGCTCCGTTTCAACTCGGAGGACCATCTTGGCTGTTTCAAATTAGGATGGCATTTATCTTCTTAACCTATCCACATTCAGCGGATGCATTATATACAGGTGGAGTTGAAGACGTGAGGGTTCATATTTTGGTACTTTTTCTTCTTCTCGTATTTCTATGTTGGTGCAGTACATGATAACAGCTGTTTGATTGCTTCATATTCTCTTCAGCCACTAAGAAGTCGTAGCGAGATGCATATATCTAGTAATATCTGCTAAAGTGTCTATGGTGTCGAAAAGGAGAAAGCATCTTGACTTTGTACGATATGCTCATACATTCACCGTCCCGAAGACAGAGATGTCGGTATGCTAAGCCCCGATCATTGATCCTCGTGTACACCCCAAAGAATGTAGACCTCCGGACACCCGGTCCAGGTCACCGCCACAAAACTCACGCTGAACCTCTTTCCAACTTGGTCCTTTCCTCCAATGCTCTGGCGTCCTCTTTTGCCTTTGCTCGTGCGCGTTCGACGAACCAAGCGACAGTAGTTTGGGCAACTATCAGTGGCACCTTGTCCCGATCACAAACTTCAATCTCTTCAAGTGTAGATAGACTGCGGATGTCGTGCTCAAGGAGCGATAGAAAGGCTTTATTCCAACGATTAGGGCCATCCTCGATGCGTGCTGAACGGATACTGACACCGCCCCCCTTGCCTGCTAAGATGGTGAGCTTTCTGAGGCTTGTACAGAACTTGTTCAAGAATGGAACATAGGTTCGCAAGCTGTGGACTAGATCGTCGTCACATTGCGATGAACAACGTTTAGAATAACAGTCGTGGATTTTGACATTGCCTTCGAACGTTAAGGACGTTAAGAATGAAGCATTTCTGGGGCAGATGGTGTATAGAAATCTGAGCAACGAGTCGCAATAAGCCATGGTGGCAGACTCATGGGGCGCCTGGCCTTCGACATTCTCGATAGCTAGAGTTATGTTGTGCTGCCGGTTGTTATCTAGGACTGGCTTGTCAGGACGATTCCAAGTTTGGACCTGGCCACCAACATAGGACGGAGGGCTTCTACGAAAGCTAGTATTGCTCATCCCGAAAGCGAAGCGATTTCGACCGTAAAGTACCTTGCTGCGCTCACGGTATAACTGCTTGCATACCCTCAGGCATGTCGCATCGATGGATTTATAGTAGACCTTCTGGATCTCGGTATAAATTCCTTCATCGTCCTCGCGCTGATTTCGAGCATATTCCGACATTTCGGTCACACTAGGGTAGCAGTTCGGGATCTCTATTTCATATCTTGATTCGCTCCTGCCCAATGAATTAGCAAAGTGTTATGTTTTAAGGATGTTGTAGATCATGAGAGCAATTTGGATATCTTCTGTCTTTCGTCTCGCCCCCACATAGCTCCCAGCTTCGATCCCGTCACAAAATGACACAAACGCTTCAGTGTAGCAAGAATCTTACCATTCGGGCTTCCAGTTGCAGGTAACGACTTTTGGATGGACAGTCTTCTCTCTGGATACTGAAACGACGAGCTCGAGTATCTGGAGGCGAATCTCTACACGGGAAGTGGTATTAGCGAGCTATGCAAGAAACAGTTTTTCATAGAGCGGGAACGAAACTGAAACTCACCAGCGGGTAATTTGAGCAAGTGCGCTTTGTGGTCCGTGGAAAGTTTTGCACCTTGCTCACTCGGATGTACAATGATAGCAGTCAGTTCTTTAGCCTTGGGTCGATCGACCGATTCGAGTGTCGGCGTTTGGGAAGGGACAAAGAACTTCATGCCGCGATAACCCTCACGTTGCGAAAAGTTCCTACTTCGATAATCGTTGCTCATGAAGTAGTCGATCTCTGTAAATGTATTTTAGTATGTTGCGACAGGAATCTCCTGAAGTTCGGCTTCTTACTAGGGCCAAACACACATCTCTCTCCCTCTTCGTCGAGGTGAAGAATCCTTCCAGTTGGTGTTTCCTAGCAAATTCATACAAAGCTTCAGTTTCTCCAAGATTCGGGAATGCGTTCTTGGCTCCTGTCTTCATTCTTTTGAGGCACGTCTTTGTCATAGTCCGAAAGAACGGCTGTTCCACAGTCATGGCGAGATTCCTCTTCTTGATCGTGCGAGTATCTCGCAAGGGGACTGGTGTATCGCTCATCTCTTTAGGTTCAATAGATGATGCGCTTCCCGCAGGTTGAAATTATTTGTTTGCAGAAAGGATGGTGTTTTTGCGATGAGGGAACAAGTTTTGGGCGCAAATCAGATACTTATGTAGGCGATCTTGATCAAGGAGCGTGACTTACGTTGATCATCCTACCTAGGTATAGCCCACGAGTTTTGTGCACTAAATGAACGAGTCACTTCAAATCAGGAGGCACAAGGATTTCACTTGCTTGCAGTGGTATTGGACTCGTTCCTCTCCAATTCCAGATTGTACCATACAACTCCTCTTTATTCTCTAATGCAAACTGATAGAGGAACAACAAGCTGTTTTTGAGATGTTCGGTATTTGGTTTCTAAGCTCCTAACAAAGTTTCAAGTTATTCATTCCCACGCCCTCAAAAAATTCACAACATCATTGGCAACCTTCGCATCACCCTCTTCTCCTTCCCCATGCACCTCCGCCAACCCCTTTACCAAGTCGTCGTCCTCCTTCTCCATCTTCAGACACTCCAAAAAGAAAGCGCAATTGACCAAAAGCATCGGCCAATACAAATTCTTCTGCAAGTCTGCCATGTCGTTCCTATCCTCACTTACCGTCCACCAATCCAGCATACTCTGCATCGCAAAGACATACACATTTCCCAATGGAATACCCTTTCCGACACCTGTCTGTAGACACCATTCCAGTTGTCGCATAATGATCCTACTGAGAAGGGAAGTTGGCGCTGCGAGGTCTGAAATTTTGGCTTGAAATGAAAGGATGAGCTGCGGAGCAGGAGCAGCAAGGCCTTCCGAGACGAGGATTCCTCCCGTAAAAGATACGAGGACTGAGCGAATAGGAACCGATAGAGATGAAGAGGAGGATGAAACGACGAGTCTTAACCCTGTCAACTTGGTAAGTAGGGTACATATGGCTTCGTCGTTTATGCACAATTTAGCCATTTGGTATGCGACACGTTCTCCTACTATGGGCGTGTTGTTGAGAAGCTTGAGAGCGTACGATCTTCCATCAACCTTGTATGTTGGTTCTGTATGTTCATCTATGAGACGAGCACTCTGAGTAACAATAATTCCCGTGGAAGAGCACCGTTTATCGATCCTCATACCTTCGACTTCTTTGAAGCGGGGTTGGGCGTCGTTGGAGACAGAGCGGGCGAAAGCAGCAATAATGCAGATCCCTAGCTCTCCAATGCTTGCCCACCATTTGATAGCGCGAAGACCTAGGTAGTGGGCGATGAAAGCAAAGATTAATGATATGGTAATGAATGAAGCGAGGCTACGGTCTTGACGCGTCGATGGCTTGATATAAATCGCTTCGAGATTTTGATGTGGCTGTGGACAAGAAACAAAAGCACTTCCCGTTGTGTCCATGGAGTCAACGTTTTTGACGGAGATGATCATGCCATCTTTCCAAAGCCGTGAGGAATTTCGATACGAAGTGTCGAGATGGATACTGATACAAGAAGATGAAATGAGAAGTGAAGCAAACAAGACACCGAGGACAATTCCAAAATAGCCAATCATGACAAGAATCCAGCCGATAGACATGACCCAACCGTTGTGCCACAAAGCCAGAAGATGGACAGTAATTATTCCTAGAAAGGAGAGTACGCCAATGATAGGACCATGAAATCTTCGTGTGGGAGGCCTCGTTGTGAATTCGGAGACTGCATCAAAAGTTGTCATGAATGAGAAATTCCAGAGAGGAGACGAAGTCGAAGAGGGATATTTCTCTGACAAGGTTGAAGCGACTTGGACGATGGAGACCTTGGCATCCGTCGATTTTGCCGTGCTGGATGTAAGTGTCGGTTGCAACTTTCTGGGAATCGGTGAAATATGATCTTCTCCAATAGTCTCTTCTGTGAGTATTACACGACCAGTGCCATCATTGTGGTTTGCGTTTCCGCTCGGCCGAAGTCCAAGTATCAAAGATCGTTCCAAGTTGTTGACCTTCTTCGTTCTGGGATCGACTCCAACAGCTCGAGCTAATGTCTGGACAAGAGTGTTCAAAGACTCATCGGATACATCAGTCAGCGTAATATGCATGCACCAATCCACGTTCGCCTCTCCGTCAGGAATGTCCAGCTTTCTCTTTTGCTTCTCAAATCTCTCACTAGCTCTTATCCTCTCCAAAGCACACTCTTCCAGACCTCTTTCGTTCCCCTCTAAAATGCTCACGGCAATCAACCGACTAGCCGGATTTGCAACAATACTTCTCACCACATAGCCATGCGTCAAATGCGCCGTGACACCCCCACAATTGACTCTCGTGACCTCAATCCCAGAAACGGTCCTTGCCTCTAATTCATATCCGATGAAAGCTCTCAATTGCTGCGTTCCACAGAAGCGAATGAGGCTCGTTACCACGGAGAGAAGACCCAATGGCGAGGCTGCAAGACTGAAAGCTGAAGATCGGGAGTGGACGTTCCGGAGGACTTGCTGAGTAGTTCGTTCACCGACGAGGAGGATTAGAGGGCCGATGCCCGAGAGCGTTGAGGACCATTCGTCGGTTGAGGGGTCAATGGAGCCAATGGATTGGATTTCGCGAGTTGATAGGGGGGCCGCAAGGGATCTTAACGGAAAGAGAAGAAGGGCAGTAACAAACGACATAGTGAATCATATACTTTGTGCCATGATATATAACAAGCATACAGCCGCCCATCTGATGAGATGGATTATCTGATTTTCAGCCCCAAGCCACATTTCCAGAATAGGCAACATCACGTGAAATCCTACAATTGCAACAACATGATTTTCTTGGCCTGATTACTGAAGTCATAGGAAAATTGGCTCTTGAAATCAGATATTTCGATTTGATTTTGTTTCAGACAGGTATCCAATCAATCAAGCTAAAATGGGACGTATCCCGAGCCAGGAAAGTCATCCTCTCACAACAAATGTTTTTCATTCCATACTTTATCAACATGATTTCACATACAGGCCGTTCGACTCTTCACATCATATCATGCATGTTGCAGTATTGTTACGGTTCTCGATTATTCTTTAGTGCTATGAAGGCGCCTCGAAATCTTCCATACTAAAATGCCTCCCCCACAGTCGCAAAAAGAAAGTGGCCTTCCTTGTCCCCCTTCCAATTGAATTCCATTATTTGGTTTTTGTGATCATACTCATCAAGGCCAAAAATTGACGGAGTTTATTTCTGCAACTCAGGGCAAGTAGATCGGTAATGGCCGTAGACCCCGCAAAAGTTACACAAGTCCCAGCAGTCAGGCCAGACATGCTCACCCCCACAGAACTTGCATGTAGTTTCCAGAGTCTTGACCTTCTCTTTGGTTGATGGAATCAATTTCTGACGATCGGCGGCTTCGGCACGTGCTCTTTCGTTGGTTCGATGATTGAACCATTCCATGGTTGACTTCGCAATCTGAAGCGGTTGCTGACTTTCATCGATTACGACTAGCTTTTGCAGAGAAACGATGTTCCGTAGTTCGTCGAGAAATCGTTGAAGAGCTTCATCGCGGTTGGCTGGCTCGCCCGGTCGTAAGGGGTATGGAGGGCCTGGCTGAACAACATCCTCTTTAGCTTGGATTGCCAAGTATTTCAGGTTGGGACAGAATGTGTTGAAGAATGGGATATAAAGTCTGAGGCTTTTGATAATGCTGTCCTCACATCCTCCAGCTGGACATAGAGACCGGTCACAATGATGAATCTTTACGTTCCCAGTGAAGATCAGGGATCTAAGCATTGCCGTATTTCTTGGTGTGATCGTCCACAAGAATCTCAAAAAAGAATCGTAATAAATCCAACCTGGCAAAGACTTGACGTGTGATCGCTTGTGTATCTTTGGCATTGAGCGAGCGATGGCACCGGTCAAGTGGGTTGCCAAAGGCTTTCGGGGATCCGGTCGATGCTCTCCGCTACCATGAAAGTACGAGGGAGGGCTGGTGTGATAATGCTTGTTGACCATGCCAAAAGCATACGAGTTATTACCATAAAGCAAGCTACTTCCTTCTTGGTAGAACTGCTTGCAGACCCTCAAGCACGAAGCGTCAATAGCCTTGAAGTAGACATAATTGAGTTGAGTGTACTCTCCATCTTCGTCGGTTTGATGGGTTTCAATGACAACAGGAGTCCCTTGCTCATAGGTTTCGCCTTCCTTGTTGTGTACGACAAATCTAGGCTGGTCGATGAAGCGTTTCCAATTGCTTGTCACAGCTCGAGGAGCAATAGTTTCGGCTTTAGAGAGAGTGAGGACGCGATCGAAAATCGAGAGACGGATATCTGCATGTGGAAACGTACTAATCAGTGTCGTTTCTAATATGATTGAGACGCATTGAAAACTTACCAATCGGGAATTTCAAGAAATGCCGGACGTGGCCAACAGGTAGATTCCATCCTTGTTCGCTCGGATGAGCTACCATTGTTGACATGTCTGTGGGCTTGGGTTTGTCGATCATTGCGATGGTCTGCTTCTTGCACCTCAACCAGTACTTGTTTCCCTTGCATTCTATTTCATAGAAATCCTCCAGTCTGCTGGTCGCTCGCTGTTGCAATTCACGTCTGTACATTTTGTTCAGTATCGTTTTGCGCAAGAAGTAGGATAGGAGCTTTTTTTTTTACCCCAAACTGCTCTCTCTCCATTAGTGTCAAAGAAGAAGGATCCTTTGCCAGAAAAGCCCCACCGATGCTCGAGCAGATATTCCAATGCTTTAGACCGATCCATCTGCGGATACCTTTCTTGCTCGTCCATGATTACTTGCGCAGCATCATCAGAGGTGACGTGTTGCGGGGATAATGAAAGAGCCATTGCGGTTGTTGAGATTCCGCTATCTGAATCACTCGATGACATAGTACTTTGATGATAATGACAAGAAACGAAGAGTTGCTCTGAATATTATCAGTGTTAGAAGAAGAAGTGTCTATGCAATATAGGGCGCAATATATAGCCACAGATCTGATGTGCTCCACTAGCATTAGTGGCTAGTGTCTCCCACCCGTTTTGAGTTGCAAATTACCCACTAGTGTCTTCTGGAGTACTTCCGACTAACTAAATAACATAAGTTATCTACAAACTAGTGCACAAAATGGTTGGTGAGGTTACTCTTATAGTAGACCAACAACCACCAAGCTTACTGTGGAAATTTGATACATGGGCAACAACTCTATCTATCAAGATTATGAAAAATACGCAAGCTGTTGTTACAGTCATGCGATACCATCACTTGCTATCACCAGGGGCTCATGTGCATCAACGCCGAAGCAAACCCTACAGACCTTGGAACAATCACGTGGTGGAAATGCACGAGCTGAGCTCCTTATTGCGACTCTTGCTGGTACTGTACATGCGCAAAGCCTTTCAAGCTGCTTGATCATGAAGATCATGAAATGCTATAGCATCCCCACAGTGGTATCTGGTCTCTACCATTCTTGTCCCTTAGGGTGCTTAAGCGAGACCCCTGATCTTAGCGAGCTGATCACGACATCTTAGAAGCAATGGCTGCTGACTTGTGATTTGTATGAGGATTGTAGCTTCGATTTTAGAGTTACATTGTGCGCAATATTGCAAGAAGATTCATAGATAAGATGAAAGTCTACACCGCCTGAACGTAGACTTGCTCCTTCAGGCTCGGAACAATGACCATACGAAGGATGGGTTTCTCTAGAAAATAGAGCTACGACGAAAGTGCAAGCTATGACAAAAAGCAAACACACCTTTGACAATAAAACTGAACTTAACAACAGCAAGCACTATAGAACATAATATCAACATTAAAGTTTAAGAAAGCAAATTTGTTACGAGCATCCAAAAATCTCCACTTGTATTTCAAACCCGGACCCCCCTGAAGCTGGCCATCTAGCGCTGGCATAGTGATTCAACACCCTTTGCCGTTTGCTAATGGCAACTGGAGCACTCTTTTATATACCCCGCAAACGCCAGAATAGAGGAGAACCTGTCGCCCCAGGCACGTCCTAGCCCAACTCAACGATCCACGGCCTTAGAAACTGCTCTGAGGACGTAGCAAGGCTCAATGCCTTGCCTCTTCACGGTTTTTCCGCTTTAGGCAAGTGCCAGTCTCATTCGAGCTATTCACCCTTGGTTGCGTATGAAGATAGCTTAAGGCTGGCGGCTTGGCGCCTCAGGCGAACATTCACTGACGATATAAACGCCAGAGGACTGCGATTATGTTTCTCCTCCAGACAACAATTACTCCTTTCTGACTGCGGTCCTGTGTGGTGTGGGCCGGGTAGATCACCAGGACACCTTCGTGTCATTAGAAGGAGTTAAGTTCTCCGGCCATAATAATGGCTGCCTTGTTGAGTTGTATTTGGTAAACGAAAATGAAGTTGACAGCAAGAATTATTGTGACAACGGCAAATCCATTGACAGAAGAAATTTCACTGGTAGTGAACAGTAAGACAAACGAAGAAGAGAGGAAAGCCAGGTTGAAAAGATTCATTATCTGAGAACGGATGAAACTAGGTGCCAACAAGAATACAGATACGCTTGGAATATGATATATGATAGCCAAAGTCAGATCAGACATTTCAGAACATATCGTCACACTCAAGTCCCCAACAAAACAGACGACCTTTCACACTGAAAAGTATCTCACACCAGAATTTACTCAATCCATGAGCAACAATTAACATAATATAATCGACAACAGCAGAAAACAGACGACAGACCACGATAATCCTCATTTTTAGATTAGACGAAAACCAACCTCAATATTGACAACAAAAGAAAGCCCTCAATGCTCGTACATCCAAGCCCTTACAAACACGTTCCACAGAACGCACAAACACCCTACAACGGGCTAACCCGTACCTCATCCAATAGCACCAAGTCACTTTGTTCTTCACCAAGAACTTCGTCAACTAGTAAGTATACCAACAAGTCGCACGCCAGACGTTTGACTTTATTTGCTTGAAAGTTGCCAGCCATGGACATTATTTCATTTTATATTATTCCATTTTCTTTGCAGGGTTTATTCATTTAAAGCAGCACCGTCTTTTTCTGTGTCAGAAAAGTCTTGAAGAAATTCATTCAAAGCTACCTCGTGTAAAGGTCGGGTATAAATAATCCCTCTCACTACTTTCCAGCTTCCCCCCATAAGAAACGGAGCACCCAAAGAAGGATGTCATCACTGGAGGAGGAGCGGGTTGGGTGTGTGTGTAGTTTTGTAGTGACTGGCCGATCTCAGAGGACAGAGTAGCTGGTAGTGGACGAGAATGGGGATAACTTGACAACAGCAGTAGAAAGTTGACAGTGTAATAAAGTTAACAAAAGACAAATGTTTGGTAGGCGAAATTTAGCCAGGGACCTAGGTGTAATAAGCCGGAAACTGGAGAAAGATGTGTGGTGTTGAAGTTCTTGTAACGCGGCAACGTCCCCGGGGATCTGCTTCATCCTCGCTATTCAATAATTTATGCTGATCGAGTAAAGAAGTTCGAGAAGCTGTTTATATAGAAGGGGCTTTCACACTGCTGGCGACCACTAGGCAGTCTTAATCCATTCACTTCCACAGATCAAGGCACTCTGTAAATTCACTACATGGCCGAAACAAGGTCGTCATATACAATCATCAATTCTCATCTCTGTACAGCTATCGTTCATACAATCCAGCATACAATCTCCCCTCTCCTAAGAAAAACAGCTTCATCCTAAAAGAACAGCATTCATACACACACAAAAACAAAAGCAAGCCAAGCCAATCTAAATCTACCGGAGGCCGTGTACTCCCATGTTGCCATGTCTGGTCATGTCATCGAGATCAGAGCCGAAACGCCGTGTTGAGAGACAGAGTATGTGTATAGATATAGGAAATATGATATCTAGAAGTGAATGTGGGTTGTGAGGGGAGTATGAATTAGAGGCCGGTGACTTCTTCATCGACGAGGACGTCTGGATCGGCATCTGTTCTGGTGTTGCCGCTGAAGGTGATGGGATCTTCGAGGTAGACTGTTGTTTTGTTAGGATTCCAATTTAAGTAAGGGAAGAAGGGTGGCATACCATTTGGCCTGATGCCCCAAGAAGCAATGAATCCCACCACGAAGCAGCAACTGAGCACAACGAACACAGCTTGAGGGAATGTCCCCACGGTATTAGCATAGATCAAATTAAAGATCAACGGGCACACAATCCGAGCCAAGGCATGCAACAATCCCGTAGCGCCAAGCAGCTGTCCGATCCGGTCATGAGGAACGTGCTTGGTGAGAGCAGATTGTAATGTCGGACTTCCGATGCCACCCATCGCGGCCATTACACCAGCAACAACGAATAACGGTCCCGTGCGGACGGCCGCATAAGTACCGTATCCGACGATCTCGAAGCATACTGCCGCTCGGATGATTGACAGGTCGAGAGTGTCTGTACCAGAATTTGGCTCTGGGACAGCAAATCCAGATTCTCGGCGTTGTTTGTTTGCACGACGCGTGCGGACAAGGTAGTTCAGGGTGGGAAGCACGACGATGAGTGCTGTGACTCGGACGACGTTTACTACTGAGGTAAATATACTGATCTGTGCTGTGTCCCATCCAAATTGAAAGCCCAAGTAGTAGACAACTACGGTCATGGCACCCATAGCGACGCCAAAGATGATGGTGTCAACCATTGAGAGAAGGATAAGATTGGAGCGGAGTTTCGCAGTAGTACCCGGACCTGTTGGGTAGAGGATCTTCAATGGTGCAAGAATATTTGCTCTCTTGAAGAAAACAACCCAGTCCCTCTCTACAAGGCCAAGGGCGTAGAGTTCGGCATTGTGCCTTTCTTGAGCTTGATGTTGCCTCTTCTTTGTCAAAGATTCGGGAACCATCGTCAAGACAAACAAGATGAAGAAGGTATGTACGGCCAAGGCGAAGTAGAATGTGCTAATCAAGGACCCTGTCTCTTTCACCAAGAAGGCTGCGATGAGCGGTCCAATGGCGATACCAGAAAACAGGCATGCGTGGAAGTATCCAAAAGCTACAGCTCGCTTTGGTGGAGGCGTACAGTCTGCTGCGTAGGCATGAGTGATTGCCATGCCGGCATTGAAAGAGCCGCAGAGTCCATCGCAGAATGCGCCTAGCAACAGCCAGTTATAGGACATCGAGTCTGGATATGTAGCGGCTGCGATCGTGATGATCTCCCCAAGAAACGCTCCTCCACTAGTGATAACAAGAATCCTCAATCTACCATAGCGGTCGGACAATGCTCCTAGCTTCGGCGACATTATAGCGCTCAATGTCCCACTTATCATCGTGATATATAACGTGAACTTGGTTGCCAATGCTTGGACTTCTGGTATGCGACATTGAGGATTATCGCCTCCAAGCATTATAGGAGCCAGTACGAAATTCGGGTCCATCGAAGATCGGTCGATGAAGTATCCGCGACATACTAATGATAGGATGAGGTTCAGCTTCGGGACCATAATCCCACCTCCCGCAATGGCGAAGAGGAAGAAGGGAGGTAGAAGCCAGTACATCTGTCGTCAATCGTCAGTTGAGAAATGCAACGTGCAGCAATAACGTTCGTACAGAGGGCTTGTGCCACCATGTCAAACCTTCATAGTCTGCGTGGCCTTCCCATTCCCTTCCTCTCCGGCTATTGTCTCCATCATTCCCTTGTCCATCGGCCAGCAATGGAGTGACTTCATCCGAGGCCCTCTTGTGCAGCCCGGCATTCCTCCTCAACGAGTCCTTCGCCCCCCAAAACTCTCTGTGAACAACTTCCTCTTCTCCGCGCGCTGCGCTTTCGATGGTATCGCTCATGGTTGTTTTGAGGGTTCAATGGTGCTTATCGCGTACGTCTTGACATCGAGGTGCTCTATCGCAGAATTATCGCGTGCGGAATACCCCCAGAGAGATCACAGATGGATTTTGGCAGTCCAAACACCAATGTTGGGAGGGAGGAAAGAGGAATGTCGTCTGCAGAAGCATGTCAAATCGGAGATGGGGTCAGAGGTCGTTATCAAGAATGTGCAGCTAACCCACCCTAACCCCCAAGATAGGCTGGTGGAAATAGTCTACGTGGAGTCCGGACACTTCTGGGGAGCGAGCGCAGTCATCACAAAGAGCAGCAATCCCTGCGGCCACAGACCCCAAATACGTAACCAAGCTTTATTCGATCAACCAGGCCTCTGAAACGCGCAGAGCTGGCGTATCAAAGAATGCCATCCTCAACGGATCTGTGATTCCAAAGCCTAAATGGAAGCTGTGCTGGTGCGTTGTTACTTGATTTCTGCTTGGAAATCGACAAACTCGACAAGGATAGGGATCCGTCCAGGGGTATGCGGGAACGGGGTGAGCCAGCGATTGGAACCGATCTGAGATCCTCCTGTCGGTGCCAGAAAGTGACGAGGGCAAAGCAAATGTCAGATCAATCATGTCTTCAATTCTGCAAGAAAAGGGACCCTATTGACCTGATTGCGCGTACTTGCATCTATCCCAAGTTGTGAGCTATTTGAACATTAATATCAACATCAACACTTTCCGATGTCTCAGTGCTTATGGACGACTGCAAAAGCAAAAGTGATGACGATATGCATCTTTGGCTGCATATCTTCGGACTTAATCTGCACTCCGGCTCCGAACCTCCACCACGGAGGTCGAAGCACCAGGAAGGACATAAGCTCAAGTGCAGAGTTGAAAATCCAGGTTCCCGGCTTGCATTTTCCTAACCCATATTTACACTTTCGCTCGGGTACTAAAGATACAATGCAAAATCCTATTCAAAAGTCTAGACTGCAAAGGTCTCACCTGCGCCTTGGCCTGCAAAGAACTTTTTGCTCTCGGCACATCTCTCACTCTTGCATCCTGGACATCTCAGCCCCATTTGCTTGCTACAGACCTCTCCGCTGTCTAAATGTGACTTAGCAATATCTGCTAAAGCTTGAATGAACACTGGGTGGCCATTCAAGCTCTCTGATCGTTTGATAGTATCAGCATGGCCTGACTCTCCAATGACTTCCTTGTCCAGCTCGTAGAGAGTTTCGATATGGTCAGATGTAAACGCTACTGGGATGAGGATCATATTCTTCTGGCCCTTCTTGATGTAGTTCTCGACCGTGTCGCTGGTCTGAGCACCTAGCCATGCCTTAGGTCCGACTTGTGACTGCCAAACTAGACGGTAAGGATGAGAATGTTTTAGTCGATGCATCACTGCATTGACAGTGGCAGCAACTTCAGCAGGATATGGATCTCCTAGTAGATATCAGCATGAATTCTTCCATAGCGCGAAATATATCGTACCTCTGTTGACCACATCCATTGGTAAGCTGTGAGCCGAGAACAGTAAAACCACATCATCTCTCTCGCTCTCGGGATACTCAGCAAGCTTGTCCTCAATATTAAGAGCAATTGCATCAACCAATCCCGGATGTACCGGCCATCGATCAATCACACTCCAGTTGATGCTTCCATCGTTAGCACCATTCAAATCGCCCTCACCCTTTCCTTCAAGTCTTTGTCTCCACTTCCATAATTCGTTTAAGCTACTTCCTGTCGTCGAGCAGCTATACTGTGGGTATTGTGTAAACGCAACGGCTCGTCCACCTTTCCCGCCACCAAATCCATCCTCTAATAACTTGTTGTACATTTCCTCCGTCAACGGATTGGCGTATCGAAATGCAACGTATGGCTTGTGAGGAGCTGTCTCTGGCGAGATCTTGTCCAAAATCTTGCACATCTCCGCAGCTTGATATTCCGACCACTTGCGAATTGGAGATCCGCCACCAATTTCTGCATACTGCTTTTGAATCTTGGGAGTTCGACGGCTCGAGATTAGAGGTCCAAGATAATTTTGGAATCGTCCGAGGGGTATCAAATCTGCATCGGCCTATTGTAGATGGTCAGAAAAGATTCATCGAAGGCGGGGTGGGGACGCACGAAGAGCCTGCTCAAGAAATCCTTAACTTCGCCGGTTGTTGATGGACCTCCCATATTCATAAAGACCATTGCTGTAGCCCCCTTTGAGCTCGTCGCATCTTGGGTTACAGGAGGTACTGGTGTCGCAAAATTCCGCAATTGATCCGCACTGCTTCGATGCCATAATGAAGATGTCGGAGTACTCGTTAATCTGGATATCGTTGACGGAGATGCTCTTTTGGCGAACTGAGAGACTGGATTGCGGAAAGCCATTGTGGTTTGCTTTTTGGAGCAGAAGAGAAGACAGATATTATCACCTTAACATCGCCGAGGCTGAAAGAGAGAGTAAGCTCCAAAGGTTCTAGACACTTGTGAAGATCGCCCCTCGAAATGTACAAGGATGCTTTGGATGACGGTGTTTTGAAATGCCGAAGCCAATTGCGGCTGCCTCATTAGGAGCTGCACGTGAGCCGTGCATCTTTCGTGTTCTGAACTCCACTCCTACGCGTCTGCCTATTTTCTTCCCTTCTCTTCGCGACTTTCGCCGTCTCTCACTACCAGGTGCGATTCAATTGCCAGCAAGAAGACCGAGCAGCCTTCTTGTAATTAGAGCCACAACACTCGATAATCGATAAGTCAAGAGAGATCAATCAGGCAACATGGCGGATAAGGAATCCTGGAAGAAGGAGGAGGAAGAGGAAGAAGAAGATTATGACGAGAGTGTGAGCATTCACTATGCAGCTGTCATATAGATTCTAATGCCTCCAGACCTTCATTACACAGAAAGATGCCGTTCTATTTGCAATTGATGTCAGCAAGACTATGCTCACCGATCCTCCACCTTCCAACGACAAGAAAGCCGAGAAGGACAGCCCAACCTTAGCTGCTATCAAGTGCGCATATCAGATCATGCAGCAGCGGATCATATCAAGCCCAAAAGACATGATGGGAGTCTTGTTATTTGGCACCGAACAGTCCAAATTCCAAGACGAAGATGCGAGCAGTCGTGGAGGCATCCAATATCCTCATTGTTATCTGCTGAGCGATTTGAACATCCCGGATATCGAAGATGTGAAAACTCTCAAAGGAATTGTGGAGAATGAGGAAGGGGCGCGAGAAATACTTGAGCCAACAAGGGAACCAGTGTCGATGTCCAACATGCTCTTCTGTGCGAACCAGATCTTTACTACGAGGGCACCAAACTTTGGCTCGCGAAGACTGTTCATTATCACAGACAAGGACGACCCTCATGCTGCAGACAAGAACATGAGAAACCAAGCTCAGGTTAGAGCGAAGGATTTATACGATCTTGGTGTCATCATTGAGCTCTTCCCAATTTCTCATCCCGACCATGAGTTTGATCGCTCGAAGTTTTACGATGTAAGTTGTCCCAGAACCTGTCTTTCGTTTGCTAATAACATAGGATATCATCTATCGTGATGCTGCTGAAGGTTCAGACTTGGCTCTGCCACCAACTGCTTTCAAGTCACAGGGAGGCGGTGGTATTTCACTGCTCAGCACTCTGATCTCAGACATCAACTCTAAACAGGTGGCAAAGAGATCGCTGTTCTCTCACATGCCTTTTGAAATTGGTCCCAGTCTAAAGATCACAGTCAAAGGATATAACCTCCTGCAAAAACAAGCGCCAGCACGCAACTGCTTCATCTGGGCTGGCGGAGAGACACTGCAGATTGCTCAGGGCGAGACCAAAAAGTTTTCAGGGGGCGACGTAGCACGAGAAGTGCAAAAGGTCGAAATCAAGAAAGCTTACAAATTTGGTGGTACCAACGTCATGTTCAACCCAGAAGAACAGAAGGAGCTCAAGAATTTCGGTCCACCTGTCCTTCGAATTATTGGCTTCAAGCCTCGTTCAATGCTCAAGATACAGGATTCGGTCAAGAAATCAACTTTCATCTATCCAAGTGAAGAAGACTACGTTGGCTCAACTCGTGTCTTTGCAGCACTTTGGAAGAAGCTTGTCAAGTCAAAGATCATGGGCGTAGCATGGTTCATTGCCAGATCCAATGCATCGCCTGCGCTGGTTGCCATTCTACCATCCGAGGAGAGATTCGACGACAGTCGTGTTCAAGTAATTCCTGCTGGTCTTTGGTTATACCCTCTTCCATTTGCAGACGACATTCGGGAACCCGGCCCAGTGCCAAAACCTTTGATAGCTTCCGAAGAGCTTACAACCTCAACGCGGAAGATTGTCCAACAAGTACGTAGTGATCCCGAAAAATGTTCCTCTCTTATCTACTCAAAGCTTCGGTTCCGAGTCTAACATTCTTTAGTTACAACTACCAGGTGGTATATATGATCCCAGCAAATACCCTAATCCATCTTTACAATGGCATTACAAAATCATCCAGGCGATGGCGTTAGAAGACGAAATCCCCACCGTTCAAGAAGACAAAACAATGCCAAAGTTTCGCCAAATCGATAAACGCGCCGGAGAATATATCAACGAGTGGGGTAAGATACTGGACGAAGAAGCACGGGCATCCCAGAAATCCCGATATGGTGGGATTGATGGGACGGATTTGAAACGAGGCAGTGATGACGATGATGGTCCACCGAAGAAGAAAATAAAAGTAGAGAAGAATGAGGGGACTCTTGCTGATATGAGTGTGGACGATTTGAAAAATGCTGTAGAGAGAGGTACTTTGAAGAAGTTTACTCTCGCAGATTTGAGAGACTGGCTAAAGACCAAAGGTCTCAGTTCCTCGGGAAAGAAGCAAGACTTGATCGACAGGATTGAGCAATGGGTTGAAGATCACTGATGGATACGAAAGCATATGGATGGCGTTGTAGGAACACTGTAAATTATGACTGTCCAATTGGGGTGTGGAAAAGGTTACGAATCATGGTTCCATGTAAGGATATGTAGCTTACGAATGCTATGAATGCTACGAAGAACTTACAAGCACGTTTACAGTTCTATGCAAACTTCGCAGTCAAAAGTACAACCTGACCTCGGCATAAGCAACGATTCTACGGCATAATAGACAAATGTATGGGGAGCTAGTGCTTAAAGAGGGTTCGCAAAATGCACGCTCTCGGCGAGATCTCGTATGAGAGTACCGGAGTAGGAAATATTGACGCTGCGCAAATCGTTTCGGCCGCCAGATACGAAATGCGAAAAGGTCAGGCTTACTGGTGAGACTGAGCAGGCTCTTTTTCCGTGATTGGTAGTTTTAGCTACACAATCCGAGGATGAGGTTAGTGTGCTTACGAGGCTGACGGGTTCACCTTGGTTCAACTCAATTGAGTTATGAGACATAGTTTTGAGGGCTCCGAATACAAGCAGAGTTCAGTTGAATTGCAAGACACTTGGACGTGCTCCGAAGACAAGCATCAAAGAAAGTTGAAAGCGTTAAGCTCGGGGCACGTGAGGAGGTTGAAGTGAGTGCATGATGGGCCGTTTCATGGTGACAATGATACTCCTTGGCACTTGGGAGCCATGCAAAGAATCCCCTTTTGCGAAATTGTCTTCGTCCACTTCTTTCTTTGTCAAGAAAGAAAGGGATCAAAAGGCCTGTAATATTTACAGATCTGTATTATATTGTTAAAGTTTGAATCGGAATTAAAATCTGTAGTTACTCGTGAGAGGTTGATGGGAGATAAAGATCTACGATATGACGCCAGGTTGCAGAAGCGCCGGCCCAATCCAACACCACTGAGGCTGAAGCTTCCGCAGATGAAATTATATATTGACCGATGCTTCATGCAAATACACGGAATGGCTGAGAAGAGAGAAGGGGGGCATCTGTGTATTGTTAAAGTACCCAAAGCAGCATTACTGCGACCAACGTAGCCAACATCACGATATTGTTTCATACGGACTCGTACTGCAGACCCGGCATCGCATTTGATACGTTCTTCAAGTACCGTACCGGGCGGGCAGTGCAACTCAAGACGAGCAAGCTTCCCACGTCCAACTTTTTAACGTAATAAATCCACCCAGATTTTAGGGATCTGGCGTTGGAAGGGGTGCGTCCCTCGTTGGGCGGTGTCGATGCTGCCAAGACAATTGAATGCGTGTATCCTAATTTTGTGAAAGGCTGCCCTGCGCTGCGACACGAGGATCAGCTCAGCCACTTGCGGATCTTTTGAACCCTCCTCTCAAACACCACTCCACTTCCTTTACCAACCTCGACCCTCTTCTCTCCTTCATCGACCGAACTCCGAAATCGAGTGAATTACTACGAGCGCGACCACGAACTGATTACGATTGCGACGAGGGCGTGACTGGTTCAACGACGGACAATAATACCTTCGCGAGGCTGGAAAAACTGGGACGGGCCATTTGATGTGATTGTGATTCAGGAACAGGTTGACACACGCAAACATCTTGGCAGACAAGAGGGCATTGGATTTCGTTTTGAAAAGCTGCACAGCATTTTTCTACTGCAACATTCACGAATACATCGCGAACGAATTCGAGACCGTTTGGAAGGATAGGAGCGTCGTGGGCCGTGGTGACCTCTATTCACACTCTCTTCGGCTGGTTTTTTTGGCTCTGATAAGCGTCATTGCAAAGATGGGTCTTTCGATAAATACGACGTGTAATGCGACGCTGGACGATTTGCGGAGTAGGATTTCTCTGCGACTTCAGATATGCTGGATAGATGGCTAATGGAATTATAGTTGGGCGCTCCGAGGTTCATATTGCTGGGAGCATGACCTTTCATACGTTGGGATTGATAATAGCGGCAGCATGCGCCTTGATTGCTATTTTGTTATCCTTCTATTTGATATGGATGCATGCGATCCATTATACGAAACCGTACGAGCAGAGACAGTACGTTCCCTACCTGGCCTCTGGACGCTGAATTTGTGCTGACAATTCTTAGTATTATTAGAATCCTGTTCATGGTCCCAGTCTACGCCGCTGCAGCTTTCCTCTCCTTCTGGTATTACTGGCACGCCATATACTTCCAGGTCATATCCGATTGCTACGAAGCGTTCGCCATCGCTTCCTTCTTTGCGCTGCTGTGCCACTACATCGCGCCCGATCTCCACGAACAGAAGATGTACTTCCGTAGCATACAACCGAAGAAATGGGTTTTGCCTGTGAACTGGTTTGCTTCTTGTTGTGGTGGAGAGAGGGGTCCTTGGAGAACGCCTAGAAGTGGGTTGACTTGGTTCAATATCATCTGGACGGGCATCTACCAATATTGCTTTATTCGCGTCACCATGACCGTCACGGCTGTGGTCACGCAGTATTTTAACAAGTACTGCGAATCATCGAATTCTCCCGTCTTTGCGCATATCTGGGTATGTTCTTTTTCCGTGTCACGTGCTCCAAGCTAATAGTGGTCAGATCCTGGTTATTGAAGGTGTAGCAGTTTCGATTGCCATGTACTGTGTGATCCAGTTCTACTTCCAGCTTCGTGTTGATTTGAGGCCTCATAGTCCTCTCCTCAAGGTTATAGCTATCAAGTTGGTCATTTTCTTGTCGTTTTGGCAAAGTTTCCTGATCAGCATTCTCACGTCGACGACTTTCAATGTAGTCAAGCCAACAGCTAAAGTCGCATACCCGGATCTCAAGGTTGGGATTCCATCATTACTATTGTGTATTGAGATGGCAATGTTCGCCGTCTTGCATTTGTTTGCGTTTCCCTGGAAGCCATATCAACACCCGAAAAACACGGAGTATCCGATGTCGCCCATCAAAAACGAGATTGGTCCCAAGCAAGGAGGGTTCTTGGGTATCATGGCTCTTGTTGATGCTATGAATCCATGGGATTTGGTCAAGGGCTTTGCACGAGGAATGAGATGGTTATTCGTCGGCCGCAAGCACAGAGAAAATGATCCATCGTACAAGATGAACATGAACAACGAGAACGATATGGCATTAGAGCCAACTATTAGTGCTGAAGGATACAAGAGGACCGAAAGTCTGCCTATTGCAGAAGAGTTTAGGAGAAGCAAATTCGGTCTGCCCAAGTTCCAGACTAACGATAACAACAACAAAATCTACGATGAAGGAGCAGGTCTGATTGAGAATGCTCAACCGAATCCATTGAATCCTGGAGGATATGTTCCAGCACGTCAAAGATACGATGCAAATGGGCAAGATATCAGCGCCGGAGGTCAACGATACGACGACCCACCACTGGACTCGAATCCCGACCGCCTAGTGGGCCACAACCCAACACCGGGCACTGTAAGAAAGCAAGAACATCCCCGATTACAAGGCCAAGACATAGGAATGGCTATGACCTCGCCACCAGAACCATACCAAAGTCATGCGTCTGAAGATCCAGAACCATACCAGAGCCACGTTATCCAACAACCATACGCTCAACCACAAACGTCCGCGGACGCATACAGAGAACAACTAAGACAACAGCGAGCACAGGCCCAAGGTCGAAGACCATCAGAACAGGAGCAGCGGGAGAACTCAAATCAACCAATGGCTATGAACGAGCCTGAGCCTGCTGCTGGACATCCAGCTATACATAACGCTCTCTGGGGTCAAAGACCACCACCGCCTCAACCTCAAGAGCAGCATCACAACCCGAATCAATTCTGATCAGTGTCAAGTTCTAGAGCGTGCTAGCTTCTGGGGTTTCTAAGCTAGCCTAGCATGGATATAGCTGTACAGTACGCAAACGACGTGACGACGAGAGGCTGGCTCCTAATGCTGTATTTTTGGAGTGCATGCGCGTGCGGGTGGTGTTTTTGCCAGAAAACAAATATCGGGTATGCATGGATGGGTGGCAGGCTGGTGGGCGTTCGAGGCGCAGGGGCGTTGCGATTATGCTCCAACAATATGTGTGGGTGGCATTTTACATACCTTTGTTTTTTGTGTACTACTGTTAGAATATACCACGATTGAGCGATATCTCTTTTTTCAATCTGATGAATTATCCCGGTGGTGATGAGTGCCAGCACATCAATTAACGCGTGGAAAATGCCTCGTTCGAAGGGGCTTAGCGAGGTTAAGGTTTCTTTATTCGCTGTGCCGTGTTTGCTTTTGGGGCACAGTCGGTAGCCACGTTTCGGGGGTAGGGTCAAGTAATTCTATATGAGAGCGGAACTGCAGGTGGTGATTGCGGCGTATTGGTTTTCGTTGTTTTGGGAATGGGGAGGGACGCAAGGCTGGTGATGTTAGGTTACCTGGAGATTGAGAGGAGGGGTAGATTGTATGCGGGTCTTCGGTAGGCAGATTGATGGGCTGTTTGGGTGAGGCTGAGGTTTTCGGTATCGCTTTCGCTGTCGGTAGTTATTGCCGGGTGAGAAGGCAGTAAAGTCTTTGTAATGGTATTGCTTTACAAATTTCATGGGAACTTCCAGTAATTCACCCCCAAACCGGTAAACCGTTGCTTCCTCTGCTCAAATCCTTGCTCTCTGTCTTCACGACTCCGGCAACTTAAACAAAACCGGCTGCCTTAACCCAAAAGCCCTTGACGCTTTAGTCATCTCATCCACTATCAACGGCGCAGTCCAATACATGACTCCAATGACCCAAACCAACCTCACTACGCTCAAGCCTGCTTTTGCCAACCCGCCTCTTGAACTCCTAGGATATACTCTTTCAAGCAAGTGGCTAGCAACCGCTTCACCAACAACCAACGCCCCTTGAACCCAAAAGAACGCCGCATACCGCAACGGCTTCAATCCCAGAAACGCAGGATTAGAAGAAGACGGTAACGTCGAAACATGCAAGAAACTCGATATCCCAAAAGCGATCACGACTCTCAAACTATACGCCCTCAGACCTCTCTCCGGTAAGCCCAATTGCTTCGTAAGTGCTTTCCCTGGTCCTGTTAAGATCTATACATTTCCATTAGCACTGTTTTATTTGCAAGTCGAAGAAGGGTAAAACCTACAACTCTCAGATATTGAACCCACCCCTCCCCCCAAAACCCCCTCAACCCCCTCCTCACGACCGCCGTCCCCAGACTCAGATTCCCCACACCAGCCCTCCACCCCATCGTTCCGCCCCAAAAATCACCCACCACTCCCAACGCTCCCAGTCCCACAAAGAAAATCGCTGGGATTGTCGTAAGGAGCGAAAATACGGCATATTGCTGGCCTCCAACGATTAAAATCCGCACCAGTTGTGGAGGGATATGGTGTAAGTGGTAGAGAGAGAGGAAAGTGCGTAAGCGGCGAGGAAAGGGCTCCGAGATGGGAGTCGAGATTTGGAAATAGGGGTCGAAGTGGGTGTAGAGGGATATGGCGTCGATGAGGAGGAGGTAGAGGGTTGTGTGGAGGAAGAGGTGGGTTAGGAAAGGGATGCGTTTGGGGGGTTTTGAGGGAGGTAGGGATGTGGATGAGGTGGTTTGCCAGGATGTGTAGCGGAGGGAACAGACTGTGGAAGTTAGTAGGGGGAGACTAGGAGGAGAAAGAGTGGGATAGATCGGGATGTGGTAAGGGAAGTGAGGAGGAGGGGATTTTTACTTAGGTTTGCGACCCAGAAGATGCGAGGCCAGAGGGTGGAAGGGTAGGGCTCTTTTGTTATTCCTTCTTTCAGTTTCTGCTTCTCGGAGGTCTTTTTCTCTTCTACTCTTGATTCGATCTTCACTTTCTTTGCGGCGATCCTTTGGTATCTCAAACAAGAAAATTCTTCCCTGACTCGACGAACTCCCAGCAGTTCTAGCGCCCAGAGCGACTGTGCTATGGCGAGGAACCCGAAACCGGCGGTCCAGGTATAGATATTGATTGCCCAGATAGCGGGTAGGAAGCTTAGTGCTAGTTGTTTTTGGGAGAGGGTGGAGGGAGGGATTAGGAGTGCGATGTGGAGGAGGAGGTGGGCTGATAGTTGCGCGAGGAGGGGCACGCGGAGGGCTTCCATTTTGTTCTTTGGTTGTGGGCTTTACATTTTGAGATGTTTCGGGGGGTTTTGAGGGGTAATATACCTTCTAAAGAAGAGAAGAAGACACCTGGCCTCGTACATTGTGTCCTCGTACTTAGGTGTGTGAGTGTTACACCATCGCATGCAATTCAGGAAAGTCACGAAAGTATCACAATAGCAAGTTTCGAAGATACTGAATTTGATTCACTATCTGACAACGCGCGCCTTGGACAACAAGATGTAAAAGCACCGAATTTTTTGATACCGAAGACTGACTTTAAAGTCTCTCTTCGTCTCACTCATATTCACGCCCATCACGTCCTTACAAACTCCGAATTGATGAAGTGGAGGCTCATCAGCTTATGCCAATGCAATCCACAACAAAACAAGCAAGGCAAATGGACTACCAACGCAAGCCATAGCCCCGATGTTTCCACCCGATGTAGGAGAAGGTCCAACCGACTTCGAGGATGTAGTACTGCTCGTAACAGAGGATGTACTAGTCGTAGTGGGATATGGAGTCGTCGTGCTTGACCAATAAGTCGGGGAAACGTATGAGGAGTAGCTGGGATGAGTTGAGTCAGTGACTGGGGAGACAGGAAGGATATAGACATCGGTGTACGTAGACGTGAACGTCGAGCTGATCGAGGTAGTACTATCCGTCAACACGTAGGAGTCGGTCTTAGTCACAATCTTGAGGGAGGTTGTGTATTCATGGGTATTATCAATCGGGGCGATCGCAGCAATGGTTCCAGATGGAGTAAGCTTAGGAGGAGCAGCGTCTTGAATAGGAATTGATGTAACTTGTGGGTTCGATACGGAGGCGGCGTTGGCAAAGCTAGGTAAGAGGTTCAATAGGGCGGAAACCAACAGGAAGACTCGTGGAGGCTTAACACTTAATCCTGCGCTTGTTGCGGATGCAGTGCTGACCGAAGATTTGACTGAGGTACTGACTGAAGGGCTGGTCGAAGCACCGGTGGGAGGTTCGGTCGAAGTAGTTTGAGGCTGCGTGGTACTACTATCTTCTAAAGTTAGAAGGGATTTAGTAGCAAGAGTAACCGTCCCGACGCAAACAACGCTCGTAGCTCCTGCACAAGGTGTAGGTCCCACAGTGACTGTACCAACACATAGCATAGCTTGATCGCCTGAACATGGGGTCGGGGTTATAGTGGCGCTTCCAGTAGTCGAACCCGAGATCGAATGAGTGATGCCCGTGGAGACCCGCGAAAGGAAGACAGAAAGCGAGCCTGGGTTTCCTGAATGAGTGCTGTTCCATGGCCATGACCAGACAGGAGTCGTTGACAGAGGAGGAAGTGTGATAAGACGAGTGGATGACCAGAAGTCAGATAGGGGAGTGGTACCCACGCAACCATCTACAGAATCTTGGGAGCAAGGGATAATAGTCACCGATGCTTGATTTGCGGGATTCGAGGTTGTAGGAGTGGCCTTTAAAGTCAGAATACTCATAGGTGTACCATTGACACAGCCATGTAGAGGATCTTCCGTACAGAATGTTTCTTGTGGTGGGTAGGATTTGGTTGGCCATTCTGCCATGACAGTCGAGCAGAGCGCGAAGAGCATGAATATGAGCAAAAAAGCAACTGAGGGTCTCTTGCTCATGCTTCCTGAGTTTTGTAGACTTGGCCCGCTCTTCGGTGCTGCTGTAACGACGCTAATGGATGTAGTTGTACTCGGGGGCAGTGTGGTTGTGCTTTGAATTGTGGAGGTTGTCAGGAGTTGAGAGGGCACTGGAGTATCTAGCGGAACGCTCGAGTCTGAGGCACTGTCTGATTCAAGTGCGGTGACAGTGGAAGCAGCCGCGGATCCAAGAGTATTTTGCGTAGGCTTTGGAGAAATGAGAGGAGTCGAAGAAGGTGTCCCAGTGAGGATGACTACATGTCTAGAGGTGCTTGTTGTGGTAGGTGCTCCAGCGAAAGCGCCAATGGTTACAGTACCATCACAAAGGAAGCTCTGATTGTCCGCACAAGGAGATATGGTTTCCAAAGGCGTGGGAGTAACCTTCGCCGTGGTGACCTTCAAATTCGAGACCGCTGATCCAGAGACCATAGCTGATGACAAAGTCGATACAACTGATGTTGTAGACGGAGGAGCTGTTGGGGGGGCGGCAAAGCTACCCATAGTCACTGTGCCAAGACACAACGCACTAGGATCACTGGCGCAACGTGTCGGAGACCCAACACCAGCAAGAATGGTGGGAAGACCAGAGAAGGAGGGAGCGGTGCTAGAGCAACCGTTGATTAGATCTGCGGTGCAACCTGTCGTCGCGCTTAAGATACTGATAGCTAGAGCAGGTGTGGCAAGCAGCAACGCAAAGAGTGCGCAGATGAGAGCGGACATCATTGGAGATGTCTTTCCCATGTTTGCAGTACTCTTTCTGGATGAAGGTGTGATTGTGTTGAAGGTTGGAGACGCAAACGTCGATTTTGGTACAAGAGTAGAGGAAGTTGGAGGGGTTGTAGGCTCAGGTTCGTTATGCAGGTTGGCGTCCGTCGAACTTGATTGTAAGGTAAAAGAAACGGTAGTAATTTCTTCTCTCGGGAGACGTGGAAGGGTTCGCTTGATGGCCACCATCTGTGACGTGACTGCACTCTCTCCGCTTGTGGGAGTCAACGTGGGGACATTCACAGTTGCCGATGATGTCTGAGGAGCTAGCGTGACTGGTGTAAAGATATTTGTTACTGTGCATCCGGCCATTGATAAAGGCACTCCATCAAGGATTGGACAAGCTGGTAAACTCATATCACTAGCTGCAGCTATAGGAGTTGTGGTGGTGGCCTGGTCGAATGCGAAAGTGGATATAGCTAGTTCCGAAATGTACTGTTGATAAGACAACAAGCTTGAATTTAAACTCATAATCAGAGCTGTAGGATAAGGCTGACAGCTCGTCGACATTGCTTGCGCCAGTTCAGCTGTCTGTATGGAAATTGTTGTTTGATTGTATGATACACTTGTTTGCTGCTGAGAGGCTGTCAGAGGAGGGCAAAGGACAGTGGTGCCAACATCCGCTTCAACAACTCCTAGTGCGCGGTGGCTCTCTAGGCTTGCACAAATGAGATCTATTTGTGCGTAAGAGCTCGAGAGAAAACTTGCTCCAAGAGGGATCCAAATAATCGATGGGGACACCCGCATGATGTGAATTGTATTGTGAATATTCTTTGTGTAACTCAATTTGTATGGTTCTGTTCAGTGCCTGCACTGGGTTCAATGAAAATAGTATTGGTGGTGGAGGAGAACAAGACGGAGATTTTATAAACATCAATCATCTTTCACAGATTCGTGAATGATAATGTCAATAATAGGTTCTTCCTGTACGGATCTTCTGAATCGAATTCGTGATTGTGGTGTCGACAAGAATATCCCGATGGAGAAAAGAGAAGAATGGCTCTTCAACATCAACGCAGGATTTCAAATAATTGAACATAAAGCTTATAAGCAATGAGTTTCTATGGTAGGTCTTGAAAGCTGACAAAGCTTCCAATCTAGTTGATAAAGAAAAGTTTCTTACAAGCAATGTACGCTCAGACTTGAGGCCTACCCTATGGATTTAACATAGCGAGTCTCTAGTCGACTGCCAAAGAGGGTAACACGAGTCGTAAGGCGAGAAGGAGGCACAGCATGTGGAGTATTGATCGCAAGCATAAAGAAATTCCAATAACAATTCAGGCATGAGTCAAAGACGTATTCAGAAACAAAGTACCGCACGTTGCCAAATTCAGTTACAGGTCACTTCGATCCCTAAGCATTGCCTACCATGGGAACTCTCCTCCCTCCCAGATAGGAAAGCGCCCAGAAGTCTTCTCTCGAGTCGACTCATCAATAATCTTCAACATGCCGGCAACACAGTCATCGATTGGGGTCGTCGCTTCTTTCATACCAACAAGTTGAGCACCCGTGTTGCCCATATCGGTCTGCACAAATCTATTACACGACGTTAGAAAAGCCATATTCAAATCGTTAGAAACATCGCCTACCCAGGATCCAGAGCAAATGAAATCAGCTCTTCATTCTCAAAATGAATCTTCCTGACAAAATAATTCAAGGCAGCTTTGCTGACCCCATATGCTGTCATAGGGAAAGGTCTCATCTCCATTCCTGAAATGGTGGCCAGAGCAGAACTCATGCCGATGAACTTACTTCCCTTCTTCAACAACGGGAAACAAGCTTGGAAGAGGAGAAATGGACCAATGGCGTTGACATTGAAGTGCTCCTCTATCTCGGAAAGGGGTACAATCGCGACAGGGGCCAAAGTGTTGGAGATACCAGCGTTTGCGATCACCACATCCAGAGTATTGATGTTGTGGACGGTGGTAAGTTCTTTGACGGCGGCCAATGCGTCGGTATGAGAGGCGCTGTCAATCTTGACGATGATGAGAGTGCTGCCCTCGCCTTTGGGAAGGGTATTGAGAGATGAGGCCGATGTAGGATTCCGGACTGCAGCAATGACAGTGGTGTTCGGTCGAGAGAGGTAAGCCTTGAGGAGACCGAGACCAAGTCCTGAGCTTGTGTTAACAGAAATGAGAGGGAACTTGATGTGTAGTTGGTACTTACCTCGGCTGGCTCCAGTGATGAGATACGTGGTTGGAGACATCTTAATAGACTGGCGACGAATTGTAGATTAATGGAAAGAAAGCGAGATGAACAGTGCACAAGATGAAATCAGGAGAATGTTCGAGTGAGTGAAGAGCAAAACTTTGGCCGGGCTCGCAGGGCTTCTTATATCTTCTCATTATGAGGCGTCCTTTCCTCTTTCGTATTTAGAAAGCCTCGAGCCCCTCAGCTTGCATCATATTTGTGACTAGGTAAAATATGATTAGCAAGCACCTGCAAGTAGCTCACAACACAGATCCGATGTTGTCTCGAAGTAAATTGCGCCGCGAAGGGGGTTTCTAGACTCTAGCTGGCTAAGGCACTTTACCTAAGCACAGGTCTACCGAAAAGGTAACCTTCATGTACAGCAAGGCATACTGAGTTCTCATCAGCTCATGCAGGTACGAGGGGTCGAATCAACGAGGTCTTAATCAGGCATCGCCTTGGACGTAAGACAATGCTGTGACACAATTGGCTACCGGACGAACAGCTTATCAAAGCACTTGCTCTGTAATTTGATGCATACTCATAAAATTGGGCGAATAGGTCAATAACTAAGCTTCATACGGACGTACAGAAGATGAACCACGGAATTCCGTGAAGGACGTCGTTGTTTGAAATGAGATTTGATGTCAGAGACGGCCGCGCGGCCGCGTTGTGCGCCTGGATTTGTAAGCACGTGCATCGAAGTTTACCCGGGGACTGAACCGAGATATGAAAGCATATTTAGGAATTGGGACATGCTGTATTATCTGATAACGTTAATTGTTGTGGGAAGTGATACCGGGCAGGATGGTGGAAGGGCAACATAAGTTTGCCCAAGTTTCAAGCGACTCGGCATGTGCCAAACTTAGAGTTGAACTCGAAACTAGAACACTTGAAGCGAATATTGATGCTGGAATAGGGTAACAATACAAGAACTAAACTATATATGTGTCCAGAATTCTAAAACTATATGCGCCGCCGTTCATGAATCATGAATGATGTCGTTCCTCCCAAAAATCCCATCCAAAATGCCAAGCGAGCTCAAGACTTCCTCTCGCCCTTTACAGCTTCCTCAAAGACTGCTGCAATATCCAAGATCTTCCCATCGTATCCACTTCCGCTCAGAAACGTCACACCAAAGGGAAGCTTTACTCCACCCTTCTCGAAGAATCCAGCATTTACGCTTACACCACAAAGATCCACCACATTACCCGCATGTGTAAAGGTTCCAACCTTGGCATTCAGTTTCAGTGGCTCTTCTTCCATCTCCTTGATCGTCGGATGGCAAGGCGTACTGGGGACGAGCAGAACATCCACTCCACCTTCGAGGGTATCGAATGTCCTCTGCGCTTGCCTGGTATACTCAGCTTGCAGCGCTTGATCATGGTAGACATTCCAAGGTCTGAGTGGCGATGAAAGAGCAGCTTCAAACAGAGCCTTGGTGGTTGGATGAAGAGAGTCGAGATGTGACATCAGGAAATCGTGTCCGATACTAGCGATTCGTTCGTGGACGAGTGACGCATCGTATAAAAGATCCGCTGCTTTTTCGAAGGGTGTGTAATCGATCTCAACGAGACGGCCACCACATGAGCGCAGTTTCTGAACAGAGGTCTCGTAAAGCTCTTGGTACTCCTTAGAGCATGTCTCGAGAACCGATTGAGGAGGAACACCGAAAGTAAACCCGCCTTCTTTGTAGCCACGAAACTCTTGTTTCCATAAAGATAGGCCAAGAGGCTTCTTGGCAAACGGATCCAAATCATCATAATGATTAATTACAAACCAGACTTTGCGAGCTTCCGCAAGTGTTGGTGCCATGATTGAAAGAGTATCGAGACTCTTGCAAGCTGGGACTACTCCGCGTGCGGAAATGGTGCCTTTCGTTGGCTTGTACCCGACGATGCCGTTGAACGCTGCTGGGACACGACCACTTCCTGCCGTGTCGGTGCCAAGAGTAAAGGAGACCAGGCCAGCAGCAACCGCGACGGCAGATCCAGACGATGATCCGCCTGAGATGTATTCGCTAGAGTACACGCTATGTGGTGTGCCATATGGTGACCGACAGCCAGACAGACCAGTCGCAAGTTGATCCATATTGAGCTTGCCGATATACAGTGCACCTGCATCGAGGAGTAATTGAACAGCGGGCGCTGTAGATTTGGCAGAATAGGCAAAAGTCTCGCATGTTGCTGTTGTGACGACGCCTTCGATATCGATGTTGTCTTTCAGGGCGAACGGAACACCGTAAAGTGGGGGCATAGGTTTCTCAGAAAACCTCTCCGTCAAGGACTTCGCAGCAGTGAGAACTTCTTCTCGAGATTGCTTCGATATCCATACAGCGGGATCGATCTTCTCATACCTCTCGATTCGATTAAAAACAGATTTGACTACCTCTTCTGGGTTTAGGAGCCCGCTCTTGTATCTTTGTTGGAGTTGAGGAATTGGCAATAAAGCATCTTCTGTCGCAGGCGGGGTAGACGGAGGTGTCATCTCTCTTGATTTTGATACAGCAGCGAAGAAATCGGAGCTGTGACCGACAAACCCAAAAAGGCCATCTTGGCCGCAAATGGTATCTAGGGATGTGGTGACCTGCTGTGCATCAAATCCTCCTGTACAGTCTGACAAAATACAACACTCGAATCCACGGTCATGACATTCACGGACAGTTGTAGTGACGCAACATCTATTCCGACGTTAGAAAAGTTCGCCAGAAGGTTGAGAAACACTTACTCAGTGGTAACACCAGAGAATAGCAAATGAGTTATGCCTCTTGCAAGCAACGTCCTGTGAAGTCCCGTTCCCCAATAGCTACCCTTTCCAGGCTTGTCGATTACTGGCTCTCCAGGCAATTGTCTCAGCTCGTCAATGATATCGTGGCCCCATTCACCTCGGACTAGGAGTCTTCCCATCGGTCCTTGATCTCCAATTCCCATCGTGTGGTGACCATTTGGATTGCCCACTTGTCTCATTTTCTTGGAAGAAGGCAGGTCAGAAAGATCCGGTCTGTGGCCTTCTCGAGTATGGATGACCTGAATGCCAGTTGATCGGCACACTTCCAGGACTTTTTGAATGGTTGGCACGATGGTGCGGACTACCGAGAAGATTTCGGGATTGCCACATTGAATGGAGCCAAATCCGTTAGGATCCACAAAATCTCGCTGCATGTCAATAATGACGAGTGCCGTCCGTTCGACTGGAAAGTTGTACGTATATGGACGAGCATTGGGGAGGGACATCTTAATTGACGGAGCCATTTCGAGTCGATGTCGGGCGATTCGGTCTTCTCAAGTCGAAAAAGAGCAAACACCTATGTTCTGTGTCTGATAGTATATGATATATATATCGCTCTAAGCAGTGGCGAAGAAACTGTTTGTGGCGACAAGATCTGAGGGGAATGAGGGACTCTCAAGACACTTTGTCGGAAGGCACACTAAGCCACATACATGAAATGAACGCCTCGAAAGTCGACAAAACCATACAGAGACACTGCGAAAGCCACGTTCTAGGCGGAGGTTTTAAGAAAAAACAACATCAACTGAGTGGAGAGCTGTCTATCAAACGAATTTGGGAAACGTTGAAGCCGCCGGCTGAAGGTTCACGCTAGGCTATGGTCGCCGGCGGACAAATGTGCTGGCAGGCCATTGCCGTAGGGCCGCAGGCAAAGCAGCGAAGGGCTCTCGTTGAGATAAGGACACGGAAAGTGGGAGGTGAGTGGCGTATATGGTACAAGGGTGGGCTTCGGCTACTTATCTTAGAACGAGGCTGAAAGTCGGGAAGTATTTGCTCGCTCGAGGCTGGAACATGACTTCAAGTTGGAATTTCGGATCTGATTATGGTTCTCGTACTTGAAATTATCTTCATTGTGTTGTGTTGACGAGAATAGAGCTTTTTGTCACGGATCACCAGCGTTCACTGGTGGTTGACGTCGCCTGCTTACCTAATATAAGATTGCAGGTCTGTCCGATTCTGAACTCTGTGTGACTCTTGCAACTCTTCTTTCTGTTTTCCTTTACATCCAGGTGGCATGAGTCTCTCGTTCACATCACAATATGGGAGCCTTGAAGGTCGCCAGCAATGCAAGGCGCAGAATTCGAAGGTCGCATGGGCGGAAAGATTCTTCAACGCCAAGCTCTTTGATCAAATCCAAGCATCAGATAGGACTTGGAGACTGACTTATCGCCAAGCAGATGTTTGAATCGTTGCTGATACAGAAGAATGATCTTATGGCATCTCACTAGACTGTTGTAGGAAGAAATCACTTCGAGGTTCACGAGTCTAAGGTACGTTGGCTTGGGCATAGTGTGCCCGCCGTAGGCTGAGACCTGGCGCCGGCCACCGCTGGGCAGATGAAAGGCGTCGGTTTCTTGTCCTTCACGCGCTGTTTCTCAATTGGCTTAAGTGAGACACCACGAGCCTGTTCTTGAGGCAATGTTATCATTCTGTGAGAGAATCTCCTTTGGCTCGTTATCAGGTGTCCTTTTGAAGATATCTTGGACTTCCAATTCAGCTTTTTTTTCGTTCACCTTTCATTCAATTCAGTCCTTCCATTTCCCATATCAAAAAAAGACACCAGAAAAGAATTGTTTCCAATTAGGTTAGGGATGTTCCAAGGAGGGAATACCTCACGAGACTCCAAACCTGCCAACAAAAGCCACAATGTCAATACATGGCTGAAAATAAAAGAAGCATAGCAAATGACTTGAAAAAAAGAAACATTTATATGCAGACAAGGTTTCCAGTGGAAAGTCACCCACTTATCAATCCGCTGTCCCATTGGACGCCTGCCGAGACACGGGATATTATTCCTTGGTATGATCAGCGGCATCTGGCCTTCCCCAATATCAGATGGCCCCCGCAGTGGGCCAAGTTTCACACACTAGCAACTGGCGGTCGGGGAAAGTGTCTCGAGCGTAGGGCCACTGCCTCCGGCGAGCGACGGCCACCAACTCCCAGTTTGCACCCATTGTGGTCTTATCGCTGCCCACTTCCCCAAAGTGTGGGTTATCGCTGAACCTCAACGGCCCAAGATAGACACAGGCGCATTCTATCGCAGATACACACATAGCGTTCAGAATCATGAGCAACGGCAAGTCTGACTTGATAATGATGCCTGGAAATGCATATAATGATGTCTTTCCCTTCGTGAATTCATCCTCATCAGCAACGACAAGAACAGTCAGTTCGACAATCTTCGAGAATCAACCTTCTTGAGGGAGAGAGGAAGATTGACCAGTATCATCAGCGCGAATCGACTTCTGAAAAGCAGCAACCATCATGGCACTCCGCCAGCGCTTTGCGAAGATCAAGGAGGGAGCAAAGGAGAAGACTAAACTTTCAGGATGGATTCTTCCCCAGGAAAAAGGTGCTCTCGGCGATGAAGGGACCTGGTGAGCATTTTGGAAGCAACTTGCGGATATGGCATTAATCAGAGTTAGGACCAATATTGACATGGACGTAACTCCGATCGATCGCCGAACATGGACTGCTTTCACGATGGCTGGTTTCTGGTTCTCTGATGCCTTGAACGCTCAGTCTTGGGAAGCGCCTGCCACCATTCTTGCAGTCGGATTGACTTAGTGAGTTTTGATATTGCATTCACGTGAGGCAACAACTAACATACTCCAGTCGCGAGGCCATTGTCTGCATTATCTTCGGATCTTTGTGCTGCACAGTTCCTCTCGTTCTTAACGGTGTCCTTGGAGCTCGTCTCCATGTTCCCTTCCCTGTGGCCATGCGCTCCTCCTTCGGTTGGTACTTCGCCAAATTTGCTGTCATTGTTCGTATGACTACTGCTCTTTTCTGGCACGCCATTCAGACCTACACTGGCTCTACTGCTGTCACTCAGATGATCAGAGCTATTTGGCCATCCTATCTTAACATCCCCAACCACATCCCCGCGTCTGTTGGTATCACAACCCAGCAGATGGTCAGTCACTTGATCTTCTGGTCCATCCAGTTCCCGATCTTGCTTACCCCACCACACAAACTTCAATGGTTCTTCGTCTTCAAGTTTGGTTCGTCCCCACCAATGTTTTCCCGATGAACCACACTAACATGATCGTAGTCGTCGTCTCCATTACTTGTATCGCAGTAGTCATCGCCATGTGCCTGAAGGCCGGCGGCTCAGGCACAATCTGGAAACAAGAATACCAAGTCTCAGGCGCCGCACGCTCCTGGCTCATTCTCTCCTCACTCTCCTCCATCACTGGCGGCTGGGCGACAATGGCGACCAACATCCCCGATTTCACCCGCTACCTCAAGCGCGAGAACGGCGTCTACTGGCAAGTTCTCTTCCTCCCACTCATCCAACTCTGCCTCGGCCTCTTCGGCATCATCTCCACCTCCGCCGCGAAAGTCGTCTACGGACAATACATCTGGGACCCGCTCACCCTCGCCGGTCAATGGCAAGGCCCCTCTGGTCGTGCCGGAGCTTTTTTCGTCGGTTTCGCTTGGGTCATTGCTCAGATCGGTACCAATCTGTCTGCCAACGTGATCTCCTGTGCCAACGATATGACGAGTTTGTTCCCGAAATACATCAACATTCGCCGCGGAGTGATTATCGCCACGATCACGGCGGCCTGGATCATGGTTCCGTGGAAGATTATCCATAGCGCTGCCTCGCTCCTCTCGTTCATGGCTGGTTTGGGCATCTTCCTTGCGCCTATTGCAGCGATTATGGGTGCGGATTATTGGGTCGTGAAGCATACTCATATCGATGTTCCGGATCTGTACAAGTCTCGAGGCAGGTATCGATACAACGAAGCTGGAACGAACTGGAGAGCCGTTATCGCTTTCCTGATCTCGGTCGTGCCGAATATTCCGGGTATGGCAGCGTCTGTGAACCCGAGCTTGAAGCACAGTATTGGTGGCAGTGTTTATATCTATGACATGTTCTATATCTGGGGATTCACGAGTGCTTTTGCGAGCTATTGCTTGTTGAGCCATTTCTTCCCGGAGCCGAATACTTTGATTGAGGAGACTATCAGTGGAGATGTTGTGGATAGTGGTGTGGAAGAGGAGGGAAGCGTTGGTGATGAGAAGGTGGTTATGAAGAGTGCTGATTACGCCGTTTGAATTTAATGATGAGAGGAGGTCAGCAGGGGGTCCCTTGTGTTTTGCGCTTGCAATTTTCTGCTTGGTTTGGATTTCTGGTTTTGCGATAATGTTGGTTTGGAAGTTGAAGAGGTCTTTCTGCAAGGAGTACGGACTGCAGGGGATACCACGACTTGATGATTTGGAGGATGGAGGAAACTATCGTTGGTATTTGTGAATGATATTATATGTATCAGAAATTGCAGAATATATTTCTCGAAGAGCGGACTGCGCTGTCAACTGATGTGCACAATCACACAAACAGTATGTCGAGTTCGTTCCCATCGCTGTCCAATGCAGCGATACTCACTGCACCGGTGACATTCGTACCGACATTGACTGATCCAAACCATAATTCATAGCCAGCTTTCGACCCAATGTTGGTCACTGTAACGTCCGAAAATGTCAATATCGCAGGTCCAAGAGTTCCCATCTGTCCTACTGGAGCCTGAACCGTTATCCCGGGAGTAGAATCACGCTTAGACGATCGCTTGATATACGAAGGCGCTGAAGAAGAAACGGCGACAGTGAAATTCGTAACGGTCGTCGCTTCTGATGTACTAGATGACAGAGATGGGACGACAAACGCGGAGGATTTTACTGAAAATGTCTTTTCTCGTCCAGGACATTGAATTTTGAATGATTCGAAAGAATTTGGACCCGTGATGCTGACATTGAATGGAAAGAACGTGGTGACACCGAAGACATTGGTGCCTAGGGTACTTTCCGCTGTCAAAGGTACTGACTGAGATTCTGAAGTGGAAATCGACAGCGAAGTGGGGGCATTTGCAGCTACAGATGACAGAACCTGCTTCATTAGTATAGATGCAACCAGGAGACGAGTGTGACTCACTCGAATATAGCCAGTAAAGATTAAGTTTCCTGTGGCATCAAAGTCGAGACTGGCGTTTATTGGCTTGATTTCTATCGGCGAGACGACATCTGATAACACAACGTTGCTTGGAACCGTCTCCACCATTCTCTGAAGAAGCGTAGAGCAAGTATGTAAGAATCCCTCGCCCTGTTGCGCAAGTTCTATCATAGTGGCATTGTTGTCACTTTCGTACAGTCGAAGATCGCTTCGTGAGGAGACATTGAAAGATGTCACAAGCGGTCCTCCCGCTTGGCCTGTACTGTTCAAGTACTCCGTAACTACAACAGGGTCAAATACAGCTACAGTGCTGTCGAAGTGAATGCCTCCTGCAATATTGTTGTTCGCAACTGCTTGAGGACCGACAACTGTCGGAAACCCGCCCTATGACTTGTTAGTGAGACCGCAAAGGATAACCATAGCATACTTACGTGATGGACACTTCCCATGGTATGACCACAAGCAGTGAGACCAATAGAGTCTACTTGATTGAAACCAGAGTTTGCGAAATATTGGAGAGTCGTTGGAAGGTCTGTGTCGGGAGCCGGTACACCGAATGGCCCTGCTTCAGTGGCATCAATTCTGCCCCCTCTGACAGGAATCTGAGGACCGCCACAACTTCCAACACTCTGGTATGATCAGCAGGACTCGAAGTAATACAGGGCGTAGGATCTGTACCATAGTCACAGAGAGAGCAACTAGATCGGCCACTGCAGGTAGTTTGATCAGCATGTGAATACATCGCAACAGAAAATTGGGCCCATGCTCCAAAGTACAAAGATAACATGTCTTGAATATGAAACAGCTTGGCACCCGAGATCCTTCTACTGTGAAAGTCTCAAGATTTCTTAGTAAATGGAATCTTTTGTTCCATGTAGAAGACTACAAAACGAGGACCTAAAAGCTTAGGGCGATACTTACTGCTGACCTTAGAACTGACATACGGCCTGAAGAAACTGAAAGAATCATTGAAAGCAGTCCCCGAATCCTCTTCTCTCAAAGTCTCAAACCCGATGCTCGCATCAATACCCCCGGTACCTTCATCTACATGCGCAGTCACGAAATCGTGAAACGCGACCCTGAGCCACTGCGCTGCTGTCTCCCGGCCTTCATTTTGACTACCAGATACGTAGTTCGTACATGGTGTAATTGCATCCGCAAATCCAGAAGCATGAGCGCCATGTGTATCGACGAGTATGTGTTCAAGGAGTGATGCTTGTACTGTAGGGTAGAATAGCGTCGCACGAGTTGCAGGTGAGAGAGCTAAAAGAGCGGCTCCTATAAAGAGTAAAGTGGTAGTAGGCATATTGGCGGGCATGATGCTGAATTGTAGGCTGAATAGGTAGAGATTATTGTAGAGTTTGACCTGACCATATAAAGTGTTTGGCCATAGTCGTAGATATTACAGCTCCGTCTTTTCAGCTCTGGAGTAATCGTGGTATGGTCGTCGATTGGTCCATGTTCGCTCTTCTGCATATGCATGCATTCGGATAAAAGAAAATGACCACCCAAATTGGACATCGAAGCCACTCGTCTTCCAATCAGACCAGAAGAAACCGAAGGAAAAATGTGCGGCCGACTTCATGATCCCTGATCGTCGTGGAACCACCGATCGAGTGAGAACTAATAACGGAATGCGACGACATGATCGAAGGGCAATGGATGTTCGTCAGCAAATGACCTGGTCGGGTATCTGATGAATAATCCGCGATGTGAAAAGCTTGTACGAGGGTCCAACGGTCGAAATTGTCTTGGCGAAAATTTAAAAGGTGACATGCATTTCTCCTTCCCGCAAACTGCCCTATTCGGGCACTGGTCGGTGAATCAGCTGACCTGACAGCGAAAATGGTCTATTGATATGTCATCACATCTTGGTGGAGTTTATCGATTTCGATAGACTGCCGAGAACATATACTCTGACCTACCTAATACGAGGGCCAAAGGCCGGTGCTTCCCTCGATTCCGTAGCCAAAATCGTGCGCATTCCCATCGATATTCGTCGAGGTTTGATACCCCACTGGCGACGCTGCCACCGCGTGTTGATTGGGGTAATAGTTCGTGTCGAAGGAGTATTGACTTGGGGAGTTGAAGTCTCCATTCGATGATAAGTGAGAATGTGAAAAGGCGAACTGATCCGTGGCGTCTGAGGTAACACTCCCATTCTCAAGTGGTATAGGAGTATGTTGCGATCGGAGAGGATTGCGTGCTTCGTTTAGGAGGCCCAAATTTGCATCGAGTAGAGCCATTGCGGGTTTCATGTATTTGGCACCGTTTTCGCTGTTGATTTTCAACGTCCAACGGTACTCTCTTAACTTAGTACGATAGAAATCTGCTTCTTCTGTCGTTGATGCTATTGAAAGCAGAAGCGTGCCGAAGGCTGCGATCAGGGCAAAGTTCTGTGGTGATGCAAAATACCAGAAGCTAGAAAGATGTTGAGGTTTCAGAGACTGAACAAAATCGATAGCGAACATGAAGCGCTCATGAGCAACGTTGCGACAGAAGCGGTGTAGTTGCGGGTCTGTAGAAGTGGAGAGACTCGATAAAATTCGGCGGTGGATGCTGATCTCGGTGGCGATGTAAGCTAATCTGAGATATCCGACAGAGTTGAGCTTCATGACTTGAGTTGCTTCCATCGAAAGGCAGTCTGGAAGGCTTGAGAACCATTCTTTGAGTTTGACCTGGACTGGTTTGACTCTTTCCAGAACAATAGAAAGTCCATTTATACCAGCATCTGTGATCTCTGCATGACTGGTTAGTTACTGGGTTGCACAATGCATCCAAGTTGATAGGAATTGAAGAAGAAAGTGATGTCAAAAATTGAAAAGTCGGAATAGTCTCGAGTGCCTGAGACCACGAGAGAGAAACAGCAATAAACGGAAATAGCTTCTAAGAGTATCTATCATCTCTAGGGAAAATGAGAGGCATTCGACTATCGAACAGAGTGTAAGAAATTATGACAATTCATCGCAGAACTTGCCAAATCGAGAACTGATTTTGCTTCATATATCCCGCATCAAGCAGAATGTGGAGGGAGATCGGCCATGAACATTTCATGATCCAGACAATACTAAAAAAAATTGAACGAAGAACGAAAACGAGTGAACATACCTCTTGTTGTTCTTACCGTAAATACGGTATCAAGTAATTCCGCTAGTATCTCAGAAAGTGAGATCATATGGCTGAATAGTATTCTGCCCTTTTCCACTTCCGAACTGCCTTCTTGGTCGTCTTCGATTTTCTCTGGGAAGTCTGAATTATTGACTGGCAATAGTGCCCAATTTGCCGAACTTATCAGCGATGGACGTCCACTGCCAAGACTGGCCCATGTATTCTGCATAAAGAGCCCCCAGCCTAATCGCTTTCGAAGCCCTTTTTCCCAGTCTGGAATGTTCCATTCCGAGGCATCTAAATGAAGTCCAAGCCCATACGCAACACTCACAAGCTGAGACGTGAGTTCGGCTGAGTCCGTGTCTGTATGCTGAAGTAGTAATAATCCAGCTTGGACGGTGGATAATTTCGGCCGATGAATGGTATCACCCAGAGCCTTTCTTGCGAGTTTCTCTAGCTCGACTACATCTGGTTTCTTTGATTTGCTTAGGCGATCATCATAGGACCAGTATTGCAAAGCGAGAAGATAGACGGCCGCAAGCAGGGGCGGAGAAAATTCTCGATAAGAACGATTGTATTTCTCAAGGTACACTTCTTTGTGAAGAATCGGGAAGCTGGGAAAAACGATTCGAAAATATATATCGACAAGGGCTTTTCCATGTGGTTTGATGATAGCTTCAATGGCGTCCAGATCGTCAAGCTCATCGCTATAATTTTGCGTTCCAGGATCGGGTAGGAGAATGAACGCTTCTGTCGAGCTCACTCGTCGAAGGCTGCCTTCAGCCAGCGGCACCTCACTCTTACCATGAGCAGAGAGTTGGCCAAGAAGTGAAGGTTCTAATCCTCGCGTAGCTCCAACATATTGGCTGTGATGTTTGTTCTGCAAGCCGAGGGTTTTCTTGAGGAGGCTGGGACCTTCCAGATCGTCATATTCTTCAACACCAGTGCCATTTGTAGTACGAATAACGCGCATCTGAGTTGCAGGAGACTTCTTCGAGACCACAGATGAACTTGAGAACCTGTGGGACCTTATCAGTACATAAGCACGTGACGGAGTTGTGGACATGGACCTTCTCTTAGTAGCTCCTGCTTCTTCGACATCTTGAGGGGTTTTCCTCTTCCGAGATTGCGGGTTCTGTATGAAAGTACATTCTTGACCGTGGAATTTACAGAGAACACATATCGGCGAATCTTCTTCGAGCACGCATCGACTCTTTCGCTTCCTCTATCGTAACACAGATGTCAACATGGTCCGGGTTTCATGCAAGAAGGGCTTTGAACATACACATGCATCACAAGGCCGCTCCTTTCTCTTTGGTTGCTGGGGCGAAGTCATCTTTGAACATGGTATCTGGTAGCATCAGAACACCAACAGCCGTGCAGCTCTGGTTGAGGTTGTGATGCCGTGATTGCTTTTCTCAATGACTAAGCATGGCGTTGATGCGATGGTCGCCAGAGATAATTCGTTGGTCAACCTCCCCACGTCCCAACCAGAATCCTGGAATCACACTTCCAGGAAACGCCTTCTCATGCAACAATCATCTAGCTGAACTTCCCTTTCCGAAGCTTTGAGCTGCCGAACTGCCGGGCCCTCGCGTGAGACTGTCATGTAGAGCTTCGCCTTCTCTGCAATGCCTCCTGCCATTGTCTGAGAGAGCGACCCAGATGGCTATGGATGGTGTCCTTAGGACATGCTCCCACAATCGCTCGTGGTACAAGTACAAGAACACGAGCTCTCGATTCAGGACCCATTGGCCAATTTGAGCATATCTGCACTCGCACCCGTCTTCCCAGACAATGGGGAAGAATAATTGCTTTTCCACCCAAAGAAGACACAGCCTTTTACCTCCCGCATGCGTTCCGTGTCGACATCGGCGGTAGGTACCAATGGAGTAAGTAGATTCCGTGGTGCAATTCTATTGGAAGCTGCTTCCAGGTGGCTTCATCTTTATCGCAGACCAGTTCTTTCTTCCCTTCTGTGGAAATCAACCTCGATAAGCAATGCCAGACACCAAAATCGATTCTCCGAAAGAAGTGTTGATAATTGGAGCAGGTGTGGTAGGTCTGACTCTTGCCCAGGGCTGTCGTGAAGCAGGCATACCTTTTCGCATATTTGAACAACATGAGCTTTCGTCAGAAAGAAGCCAGGGATGGAGCCTCACTCTGCACTGGAGCATCGCTTCTCTTGAACGCACAATAGGGCCACAGCTCTCAGCACTTTTACCACAGGTAAGTCTTGGCGATGTGTATTCGAACATTTGCTAACTTCCTAGACCAACGTCGACTCGAGTATTAAAGAGGGCGAGGGCGGATTCTTGTTCCTCAATGCTGCAACCTGCGAACCTAAATACCATGTATACCCAACGAGACGATTTCTGCGAGCGGGACGGCAGAAGCTGCGAACAGTCCTGACATCAGGTCTTGACATACAATATGGGAAGAAACTGGAGTCATTCTCGACCAAGGGCACAGAGGTCACAGCCAGGTTTGCGGACGGAACCTCTGTCACTGGTGGTCTCTTGATCGGTGCAGATGGGAACAATAGTGTTGTTCGTGCAGGATTGAAGATGGAGAATACAAAGTTGACTCCACTGCCTGTGAATCTGATTGGAGCAGTCAGACATTTCACACCGGAGCAAGCTGCTCCTGTGAGAGCGCTCAATCCATTACTGTTCTTTGCCCTTCAACCGTATACCAAGACTTTTTTGTTTTACAGCATTCAGGTGGGTCGAGACTTTTGTCAGCTTCAAGAGCATTCTGATTCATCTCTAGGAAGTGTTGGCAGACCCAGATGGTCGAAATTCCTATGATGCACTCGTAGGGGTCACCTGGATGGTCAATGATGCAGAGAAAGATGCCATCCCAAACACATCCCCTGAAAGAGTTGTTGAAATGAAGAAACGAGCACAATGCTTCGCCGAGCCGCTACTCAGCATGATCATGGATATTCCAGATGATAGCATGTCGACAACTGGTTTGCGCCTCGCTGATTTCCCTTGTGAACCTTGGGACAATCAGAATGGTGTCGTGACTCTGGCAGGAGACTCGGCGCATGCTATGACGATGTTCAGGGGCGAAGGGGCTAACCATGGCATTCTCGACGCTGCACTACTTGTGGATCAGCTCAAGAAGGTGTATTCTGGCGAAATTGGTCAGATCGCAGGATTGCAAGCTTACGAGGCTGAGATGCAGGAAAGAACGCACGCAGCCGTGTTGAAGAGTCGACAGGCAGCATTTGATGGGCATGACTGGGATGCTATCATTGATACCTCCCCGCTCATCGGAGGTAGGTTCCCTCCCACGACGGCCTGATCTTGTGCGAGTCATTCAACGGCCGAGTGATCGTGAACGTATAGAGCGTGGCTTGGTGGTACAGTTTCATATGGCACTTACATCTATGTCGGACAATATCTTGCCCTTGAAAGATGCACAAATTTTTGTTAACTTTCCAATCTCCAAGGGCGTGCTCATTCGTTTCGCCTAACGGTTACTTGCATGCAAGGCATGCTCAGCAACACACTACCGTCGTTGCACCGCTCGAATGTCTCACATGTCATTTCGTGAGCTTTTGATGTTGGGAGCTCCTTGAGCAATTCAGCGGTCTGATGCAGGGCTCCGCGAGTTTCACCAACCCTGACTCGACTCTCAAGTCCTTCTGTGTAAGGACGATTTTTCAATATAGATAGACGTGCTCTCCACTAGATATTATTCATTGCTTTTTGTTCCGGATCATCTCCTGCCACATGCAATATCCATGCATCGTTTCCTTCCATCCAAACTTCTCTTATGTCGATGTCCAACATCTAAACCGAGTCCATCCATCGCACAGCTGCAATATACGGTATTTCCTCAACAAACCGATTACACGTCACGCACAGCACGCCCTTCCCGTCATGGCCTCGCCCTTTGAAGATTACAGCCAATGGACCGACATGGCCACTCTCACCGTTTGTCTTTCGGTCACATGTTTTATCATAATCATGGTCCTGATTTTCTGGCTCTTTAGTCGGGAACAAAAAGCTCGAGAAAGAGTTACGCAGTGTAAGTAAACGATTGTCGGTTCGGGAGCTCAAGGCTAATGAGGGCAGGGCCAAGAGTCCGTCAACGAAATTTGGGAGGTCGGCTTCCGTTTCCTGCGAGAGTTTCTTTTGAGAGACACGGGATTGTTTGATCAACGCTTCTTTAATAGTGTATGGTTGGGGAAGGCGTTTGTATATACTTCGTTGAGAGTTCTGGGCTTTAGGAAATGTGCGCAAGAGACTTCGCTCCAATAGGCAATACGGCTATGGATCTTGGAATGTTGTCCGTGCAAAATGAAAGTTATATATACATTTCTAGCTTGAATTATCCGGAGAATTCTAGATGCAATACTGGCAACACCTCTTACGGCTGACTGCGAATGGGATACAGGCTTCCCGTCTACATCAAGAAGTGTCACGTGAGCGCAACGCTGCCCCTTTTTTCAACTACCCAACCTCCTCCGTATGATCTCAGCTTCCCCTTCACCAGTGGGTGCCCGAATTCGTGGCGCACGGGCCAAAAACACCAAAAATCGCGAAACGCGATTTTTGCGATTTATCTATTATCACTCTAAACACTCACTATGGCCCCAACTACACGTCGCACAAGCCGCATTACCCCTCCGCCAGGCCCTTCTAGTGGCCACGAAGCTAATACGATCAAAAAGACTAGGTTCTTCACAGCGTACGACAAAGAAATCTCATTCAAATCGCTACGCTAGATCGCAAAGGATGAAAGTACTACTGAGTCTACCGCGCGACGCTGGCTTAAGCAACGTGAAAATATGGGTATCTTAGCTTATCGACATACACGCGGGAGATCAGGCAAGCTTGGAAAGCCCTCAAAAGTCACAAAAGCTATGTGTAAGAAGCTAGTCGATCCGGCTAGAAATCCTGTCCGAAATCAGCCGTACGAAGCGCAGATTGCCTATCACAAAATTCCTTGTAAGAAGCGCCAGTTACAACGCAAGCTTAAAGAGTATACCAATAGTAGTCAGTTTTATAAGTGTGCATTTGTCAAAAAGGAAATCTCGGCTAGGAATAAGGACGAACGGGTAGCTTATGCACATAAGCATAAGGACAAAACAATGGAGGACTTTTAGTCTTATATATTCTTTACCAATAAAGCACATATTGACCCTTCGGCACAACAAGCTCCTAGGATACTTAGAGAGCTTGGGACACAGTACGATGATGAGAATATTATAGAGAGAGGAGAGAGGAAGGGAGTCAAGTTTTATGTAGCTGCGTGGGTCACCTGGTTTGATAAGGCTAAGAAGCTGGAGTTCTATAATAACGAAGAAGAGTACGAAGAACAACCCCTAATGCCTACTAAGCCTCGCCGGCGGCCAACGACTGAAACGCCAGAGGAATACCAAGCCAGACTTACGGATTGGGAAGCCCAGAAGCCTCACAAAGTCGACGTTAAGCCGCAGGGTAATTCCATGACTCAGAAGTACTATACAGAGCGTCTCTTGCCAGTTTATATCGATGCTATTCAAAAAGCACGTATAAGAGACCTAGGACTGTGGCTTTTTTAAGAGGATGGGGACCCCTCTCACGGCATGAGGAAAAGGGGCCTCGCGCAGCAGCTTAAGGAGAATAATTGGATTGTTAACTTAAAGCACCCTGCCCAGAGCCCTGATCTGAACCCAATCGAGGCTATCTGGAACATAATTAAGCAGAGGTTACGGCATAGGATCTTCCAATCTGAGGAGGAAATCAAGGAGGCTTTACAAGAGGAATGGAGCAAAGTAACAATAACGGAAGTACGGAAACGAATTTCCCAGATGCCTAGGCGATGCGCGCGCCTTATTAATAATGGTGGAAAGCCTATTAAGACTGCATTATGGTAATTCAGGTGTATATAGTCTCAATTAACTGATTTCTGGCCCCCTTATAATTTTGGTGGGGATGGCCTGTGCGCCACGAATTCGGGCAATTACTGGTGCTTTAATTTTGTTTGCTGATCTAATCCGACATAGGTACACAGGTATAGATAGTGCTGACTGGTTTCAAAGTTCACGCGTCGCGGCCCGTGCCAAAACCGCGTCTAACCCTGCCCCTCAACGCGTGTTGCCGAGCTCGTCTCCTCTGTCCCACCCTACCCTCTTACACCAATGCATCCGGTGAGAAGTGTGAACGAAGCAGATATCCTGATGATTGGTGCCCGCTTTCTATCCTCAACGAATGTTGACATGTCCATGCACTTGCAGGAGTTTACTGGCTAGGAAAAACTCGATGTGAAACCGCCATAGGCCAAGAGCACTGATAATAAACTTTTTAGATGCAGGGTTTGGGAAGACGCGACCCTAACGCTATCTCCAATACAGTATTGAGGTTTGATCCACACGTCACTAACTTATAATGGTGTCGTCCCCAGCCCTGATATTATTTCTGTCATTTTGTTCTGATTTCCTTCCTTCATAATTGAACTCTTTTCAGAGCTATCGTTTTCTTCAATTGCCCGACATAAGAAACTTCTCTAGCTAAAGCTACCAAGCCACAAAGGATCTTGCACATGCCACAAAAGCAATTATCCAGCTGCTGCTACAATTCTTCCAATTGATAGCACAATAAAAGAATCTAGAACATGGCGCTCTCACCAACTGCTGCTCGGGCATTGGAGCAGGTCAAGATGGTAACCAGCCACCTGGACGCCAATAGGCAAACGTTTGCTAAATTTAACGCACAGGGCCTTTACATGCTCCGTGGAGCTGATTACTTCACCGAAGAAGAATGGATCAAGATCGATGGCTTGATTCATAAAGGTCGATATGTATTCACGAACGGCCCACAACAACAGCACGTTCTCGACCAAGAATTGATCAGCTTCGACGACATCAACGAGCAGAACGATTTCAGCGTTCAGATTCCTCCGAGAGCTTTCAACACCATCAAAGCAGAGATTATGGAAGTCTCTGAACGGCAGGTCCATTCCCCTATGTCGGATCCTGCCGACTTGACCGACTTGGAAACACCCAATACCACTTCTGCAGAAGTTTCTTCTGACGATGAACCTTCTCTCCCAAACACAACGGACAAGACTTCTACAACGACTTCTCAGCCTGCTGAGCCTACTCCTACCCCGAAACGCGAACCAGTGGCACGCCCCATAAACGGCGGCTTGTCATTCTATACACAAGCTCAATTGGACGAAGTCAATGCCTTCAACTCAGGGCTCACAAAGGCAGGGCAAAAGTCTAAGCCTGGCAAACACAAGAAAAATGGTGAAGAATCATACCCACCATCAGCTTGGTCCCAAAATGAGGCCTCAGAGCCGGCAGCATACCAGACTCCAACGCCCTCTGAGCACGCAACCCGCTCTCAAATTCAGACCTGGGCATCAGATGTCCAAGCTCAAGACGCGTCTCCCAGCAGTACACCAGAAATTGCAGCACCAGCTCCAACCAAGACATGGACTGCAACTCCACCACTAGCACCCAAGCCTATCATCGAAGCTTTCAAGAAGACGCATGGTCACAGCCCCAAGTCAATCAACGATATCGCACAACCTAACAATCCTGAATTTCGTCCTTTGACAGCTCGTCCCGTGTCCCGTGTCTCCCACAAGTCCGCCAAATCGTCTGCCAAATCTGCTACTCCAGTACCTCCGTCAATCCTTAACCCGCACAAGCCCCTACACTTCAAACCTGGCGTTGTCATAATCGCGCCAAGAGACGTACCTAAGATGTCCCCCATCCACCTGGAGATCAAGGCCGGTGATCAAATCAAGGTCTGCAAGCACGTCTCTGGCATCACACATGGAGGCGAGAACTTGAGGACCAAACAGAGAGGCCAATTCACAGAAGATGCTTTCAAGAAGGGTGTCATGTCGGCCGAGACTCTGATCCAGCAGCAGAGAGCAGCGTTAAGTGCAAAATCTGTGGCCATGACGGCAATGAGTGTTAGCACTGTCTCCAATGGACTAGAGAGGATCGAGGGCATCAATGCTCAGGAGTGGGATGATGTTAAATACGTCTCCGAGGCAAAGACGAGCATGCCTGCACGACCCAACACAGTGCAGCCGCAGATTCTGAAGCCTACTGCTATCGGTCTTGGAGCAAGTCGTTTTGCCGACGAGGACGAAAGCGTGAAGTCCGGTAGCGAGAACCACGAGTTCCAAGGCATGAGCAAAGAGGAAATCAACCAGCTATTCGACGAGAGAGTAAGCCTTCCATCTTTCCCTCCTCTATTTATTAATACTAACACATATCCAAAGCTCGCCAAAATCCTCGCAGCCCAACAGCCCAGCACTCTAATCCAACCCCCCAAAGCACCCTGGACCCTCCCCCGCAAACCCCCCATCACCGACCCCCTCAAGAAAGTAACCCCCAAAACAGCAACCTGCTGGTGGTGGGCAACCCCCAACAAAGAATGCCGCTTCACCGCCGACGAGTGCCGGGACCTGCACGCCTACCTACCCGCCACCGCCGCCATCGACCCGGCCAACCTACGCATGGGGAAACCGACCTGGGGCGCGCTCGCCGATTCCCTGCCGGCGAAACCACCCACTGGCTCAGAAAACAGCGAAGAGGGGCCCAGCGGACAAGCGAACACGGGGCCCTTTAAGTCGAAGACGTGCTGGTATTGGGCGAACGATGCGTCGGGGTGTAATAACTCGGCGGAGGAGTGCAAATACCTGCACGAGCGCAGTCCCGCGGGTGTAGCTAATAAGCCGAATGCGTGGAAGAAGTTGCCGTGGAATCGGTTCGCTAGTCCGGGGGAGAAGGAAGGTGGGTGCGCGTGGACTGTTAATGGGGATGGGGAGATGGATGGTGGTGGAGAGGTGAGAGAGCAGGTGGTTGAGACTGCGCGTGCGGTGAATGAGTGGGGATACTTGAATAAGACTGGACCTAGTGCGTGGGCTGCTGAGGTTTCTGCTACGGTTAGTCTGAGTGGTTGGGGTGCTGACAGCGACAAGTATAAGCCGCCGCATATCAAGGCTTTGGAAGAGAAGGCTCTTGTTGAGGCTGTTGGCTGGTAAAGCGTATCTGGGCCTATTTCATCTTTTGTCTGGAGTCTGTTTCTGTTTGTGTTTGGAGCAAGTTGGTTGTTTTTGTTTGTGTGAGCGATGGATTGAGAGCGTTATTTCTTGAGTTTATGTGGAGAGATGATGTGGAGGAAGTTCAACTGAGCAATACTTCTCGAAGTTATATTATGCCTGGGAGAGTGGGAAACGGGCTTCGCTATGCGAAAAACAACAGTTATTGAACAAATTCAAGTGGGGGAGAGGAAGGATTCGGGATCTTTATGGAATGGAGAATGTATTCGACATCTTATCGATCATTGAACAGGAGGTGGAAGAAAAAGTCCTCCACGAGAGGAAGAGAAAAGAAATTGGAATCCACAATAGTATCGGAAAGCTTATGGGACCTGGGAATTGGGATGGATATTCAGCAAAATAACAAGAAACAGAGACGACTTTACGAAATGAAAATTTAAAACTATCAAATCTGGGGTGGTGAGGTGACTACTTTGAATTTCGTTGTAGTCTTCAATTCGATGCTGTGCTCTCATATTGTCCAATCTTATACAACTCCTATGCTCGCGCATACCAAGAACCTGCCTCCAGCCGGAACGCCAAATTATTACTCCAGATTTACAATCACAAATACTTACTCCTTAGCGCTTGACTGATTGTACTCATCCTGCTTGCCATACCACCAGCTTGCATATTACTGGCGAGCGCCTCTTCCAACGCACTTTGCGTCACTGAAGCATCTGCGAGAAATTAGTCAGAGAATCTCGCCACGACAGAGAAAAACAAACCATCCAGGTCACTGAAACTACTTCCCATACTCGGACTCCCTTCACTGCCATCTCTCCCCTTTCCCTTCATCCCCGGACTCCTACCCGCCAGTTCCGCGGTCCTCTTGGGGCTCAGAGGACCTGTCGGTCGCTGTCTGTGCAAACCATGCAGTGGCCCCGGCCTCTTCGTAGCAGGTGTCGAACTTGCACTGGAGTCACTGGTCGCTGATTGCAATGCTGCGTCCATACTCTTCCTATACACTGGTACCTTTCGACCCATACTCCTCGGATCTCCTCGTAAAGTGGCAGATGGGTCATGGTGCGTTGTGCCAGCTTCTGCAGGTGTGGAGAAGGGCATGAATGCAGGTTCGTCATCATCATCGTCAGCGTCTTCCGATTGTCCAAGTTTGTTTGAGAATCTCGGAGGGCGGCGGAGAAGACGGCTTTGTAGAGGAGGAGAGTCATCGGATGAGGAATCCGAGGAGCTGACGGAGGGGGAAGAGAGGGGATCTGGTCTTGGCGAGCGGGTTGGGGGATCAATGGCTATTGAGGTTGGACGTGATTTCGGTTTAGGGGAAAGCGAACGACGGTTTAGTGTTGCTTGAGCTGGACGTGGGCTTGTTTGCGGTGCAAAATTGCGGGATGTGACTGTTGTATTTGCTGAAGATGTGCGAGAGAAAGGAGGGGCTGATGGAAGTCAGTGCTGAGAATCTGTTGGGAGCTGAAGCATTACCCATAGATCTACCTGGAGTGTTTGGGATACTGCCAGGTATCGGAGAGTCTTTTCTTGCAGACAACGCAGATGTAACTCGAGGTCCTAGATGATGTGAGCTCCTTGGCTTCAACATGACGTTGAGACTGACCACCACCTCCAGAGCCCGTCCTTCTCATCGATTCTCCTCCCGCAGAATCAGCTGCACTGCCAGGAATTGGTGATGGTGCGGCAGATGTTTTCGACACTCCGACTTTCCTCATCTGTGCACGAACTTGTGATAGCTGACGTTCGTAAAGCCATGCTGCTTGTTGGAGTAGGAAGGCTAGTGTTACTTCGAATTTTGAAGCTCTATAATAAATTAGAGAGAAGCTGGCAGATGAGAAAATAACTGACAATTCATTCCCTATTATCATTAGCTATGCGGACTCGAAAGGCAGGGATGCACACAATCAATATCACTGTTCTTCGAAGCTTTCGATAGGATCTTCCACAAGGCTTTGTCCTTGGCTGCATCCCATTCCACCTTGTAATTTTAGTGTAGTCTAGGAATATGTTGGCAGACTTACAGATGGAGGATCTACGAAGTCTCCTCTGGGGAACGGCAGTCGTATGAAGACTGTGTATAATGGGTCTGCGCCCGACATTGCTTATGATGGTTGAGAAAACGTCCAGACCGGTGATGTTTCTTTATCGTAGCTTAAGGCGCCAAGATAAACATAGCTGTATTTAAGCTATTAAAGTGCGATTAAAGTGTAGAGCTACGGTTGCGTTGTACGGTTGCGTAATGATAAAGCGGTTGCGATGGTGTGGAGGTGCGGCTGTCGGATTATAGTAGCTCCGAGGGCGGTGATGAGGCTTTGGGTGAGGCTCTGCCGGGGTGGCGAGAACATTAAAACTAAAAACTTGAAAAAGTCGATAATAAGTACAGATCAGATTAGATTGCAACCGGGGCCAAAATTTCAAATTAATTGAATTATATTGCATGCGTAAACCGAATCTACTCTGTCACAGTTTCAAAGACCCGAATTATAAAATTCATGCCATAATATTATGCTAGTATAAAACTTCGCTTATTCTAGGATTTGCCCCTTTATTGCCCAACCCAACGCAGTGCCGAGCATTCGAAATGTTCGACACCAACTTCGACATCGAGACAATAGCTTTCACGCAAGTCCGCATGTTCGATGGTGATAGTTGTAGTCGAAAGCAGAAAGAATACCAATCAACTGAACTGCTGTTGCAAAGACCACCAGGATATGGAAAATCTGATGGGAACATCCAACTAGATCGAACCTGCCAGGCTTGAATGACTCGGGAATCCGCATCTATACACATCAATCAGCACTCTTCTTAGTTCCACATATCTCATTTCATTTGTTCTAGTCCATACGCCAACAATTGCTGTTTATGAACGGGGCCCCGCCCATTCACGAATGGCATACATAAACACCCCGCCATTCATGAATGGCGTGGGGTCAGTTCATAAACAGCAGGTGTTCACGTATGGACTAGAACACATTATTTCAATACTGACAGTGTAGAACAGTGCACCCAGCATTAACAATAGTCCTTCACCGACGTAATATGCCATACCAGACTGCTTCCCCATTTGCGAAAAGCCAAAGATTTTGACACCGTGTGCGAGAGGCGCGAGGCCCGATAGACCAGTACCGACAAATGTGCAGACGCGGAAGGTACGCCAACGACGACCTTGGAACCTGGGGTTCAGGAGTATGAATATCGTTGCAAAGCTGAGCGTGATTATCTGCGTAGAACATCTGTTAGCTCCAATGTGCCAAGCAAAGGTGACCATATATGTACCATGATCCAATATATCCTTTGTAAAACTGGTTCGCAGTAGAAAACCATGTAGATCCCAGATACGAAGTCTCCAAGGGTCAAAATCGCGATGCCGACGAAATCAAGTCGTAGCCATAGATGTGAGACGTGGTTCGAGTGGTTCATCAAGGTATGGTACGCTGCCGACATGCCCAGGCATGTTACGGCCGTCAGAAGGAAGAACGCAAATATCAGACGATCGCCAATTGTGGCCTTTGGGTACTTGGTCTGCAAGTATTGATGAATCCCAACTTCGGCTGCCAGGAAAAGAATTCCAGGTATGAAATGCGAATGAATGTTGACAGTCTCGTTATGCATGTATAGCCAACTGGCGAAGCACGCACGAACAGAGTTTGATTCGGGGCGATAGCCGTGACGAATGAAGTCATTGTCTTGGTACCATTCCGGTATCTCGTCGTAGGAGAGGAGGGCTGGGTGAGTGCTTTCGAAATTGCTCGTCAGTGGTACGACCTCCATCTGGACCGGCGTGGGTTGTTTTCGTTGACGCGACAATGATTCCATCTTGGTCAAAGAAGCCTTGGGATGTTTGTTACATCCAGAGTTGTTGGCTACTTTCTTGGGGGACAAATTCTGACGATTTCGAGGGACGAGCCGATATTCAACCCTCTGCCAACAGTCACCGCCGCAAGGCACGGGGTCTGGGCAACACAACCAGCGCCGTATCTGCGCGTCCCCGCGTCTCATCACACAACTCCGAGCGGCGATGCTCGCAGGTTTTAGGGACAGTCCATTTGTACGGAAGCAACTCAAAGGTGATATGCTTCGAACCAGATAGCTTTAAGAAATATATATCATGTGACCAAGAAAACTACCCTAGGAGTTATCACGATTTCTGCTTGCGGCGGCGCAGATGAGGTAGGGGGCCGCACGTTTATAGCCGCACGCTTGGAGCCGCACGCTTAGAGCCGCACGCTTAGAGCCGCACGCTTAGAGCCGCACGTTTACAGCCGCACGTTGAGAGCCGCATGTTGGAAACGCCTGGTCTGAGCAGAGGATGCGGGGGGTTTTAGGCGCCGTCGCTTGCACAGGCTTACATTGTGGTCGAATGTGCCTCTGGCCAATGAAATCTCCCGGTCCAGCCTTATTTTGCCATCTGCTCATCAAGCATTCGGTCATGACAAGGGAGTGCGAGAGGATTTCTTCCTTGTTTCTCGACTACGATATGTAACATATTATCTCACAATGCAGCTCAACCTAGCCTTTGTTTTCTTCTACTACGCCTAGACGGGGCGACGATTCAGTGTGATCCAGCGCCAACGCAGTCTGAACTCTGGCTTGTGGTCATGTTGGTGTTTTACAGCTACACAGTGTTCCTCTAGCGCCATCGCAGTCTGTATCCTGGCTTGTGGTCATATTGGTGTTTTACAGCCAAACGGTGTTCCTCTACCGTCTCTTTTCAGGCTGCTATTAAAGTCAACGATACGGAGATGCCTCCAAGCGGATTACTCAAATCTTTTCGAGAAACTCTCATCCTCACTAAATTGTATCAACTTCAAAAACACTTTCTCCATTTATCTGTGCCCGTTCTTGCTTTCGCTGGATAATACTCTGGGGATATTCTGTGTCCGTTTATGCGACAAAGAGAGACGATGTTTAGCAACAAAACAGCTATCACGACCTGTACAGTGACTGCCGCGAGTAGCGGGCTTGTTTATGGATAGGTGCACCAACCCGACAGCCGCGGGACACTCGACATCGCATGGTCCAGCTTATTCACCATTTTTGTCTGCACATACACGATGTTGTGCCTCAACGTTCCTTCGGAGGACGAAATCCTATGGGATACCATACGTCGTCGACTGTTCTGGATGGCTATAGCAATCGCTGGCCCAGAATTCGTGCTTACCTATGCCAGCGGGCAGTGGGGCACAGCCAGGGATTCAGTCAAGGCTTTCAAGGCCTCAAACTCCCCTTAGTGGACGATGGAACACGGATTCTTTGCCGACATGGGCGGGTTTCTTCTCGTGCCACCAGACACCGTTCCATTCCCCGCCACTGCGAAGCAGATCCATTGGCTTATTGAGCACCGCTATCTACCATTCCCGGACGTTACATCGGCTGAACTGGCAGACAAGTCTAAGCAAGATACGGTTGCGAAAGTAGTCACCTGTTTTCAGATTGGCTACCTGGTTCTTCAATGCCTCGGGCGAGCAGCTCAACGCCTCACCGTAACTACGATGGAATTGTCAGCACTTGCCATTGTTGTCTGTTCCATCATGACAAGCCTTTGTTGGTTACATAAACCTTCCAATGTCCGAATTCCGATCAAGTTGCAACTTAAGATTAGCATAGAGCGGATACTCAGGGAAGCCGGGGAGATTGCAGCGACGCCATATAAACAAACACCGCTAGACTTCATCGACGATCTGTGCCCTAGTTGGTCTTTGAACGTGCAAACCTTCATGAATATGCCTGTCGCACCCTTCGAGAGGCCAATGTCGCGGCTCGGCAACGACAGATTCCCCAACCTCAAGGGATATCAGGAAGCAATTCTTTGCGTTGCAACCTTGGTGTATGCCTCTATACACGTCATGGGTTGGAACTTCGAATTTCCAACAAGAGCAGAGTTGATCCTGTGGAGGGTGTGTAGCATGTTCTTGTTTGGTAACACTGTTGCTTTCTGGATATTCGAAACTTCTGCTGCCTGGTACCATATTGGACGCTGGCAGCGATTCTTCTGCAGTATCTTTTGGAAGTCTAAGCTTGAGGACGTGGAGAAGGCAAGACTAGCAAGAGAGGCTGCTAGAGTTCCAAAAATACTGCCACTGAGAGCTGAATTTTGGAGTATCTTTCCCCTCGCTTGCACATACGCTGCCGCCAGACTCTATCTGATCGTCGAGGCCTTCCTCGGGATGAGAGCGCTGAATGCGAGTGCTTACTCCACTGTGAACTGGGCGACATACATCCCACATGTTTAAGGATCCAAGATATTTGTCTTTGGTGTTTAATCTTCGGATATTTCGATCTGCCTCTCCAACAAATCTTTGACACACGTGACCAAGTCTTGAAATATTCCCGAGGTCCTGTCGCGGCACGAGCCGTTCACTAGCTACGCCAGGAATCCGTAGTGAAACTCTTTGCATCTCTTCTCAAATTTTGCGTAATATTCCTGACGTGCATCGGAGTTGCGCAATTACACAGGTTTGATTGGCAGTCCTTGGGGCGATTTGAACTAGTGGGGTTGATAGATCACCCCTTGGCACGGATGTCGATAGATCAAATGAGTGTTATGCATTGCTATGTTCGGAAGCCAGCGTCGGTGACATCACATTCACCGCATCCGGAAGAGGCAGCAGCAAGTGTAAGGTTTTTGATTGTATGAAGAAAGCTTTTTTTCAGCTTTTTAAAAAAGCGCTCGTGCGAAGTGTAAATAATTAATGCGATGAATTATAATGCGTGTATTTTTGAATTTATAATTTAAAATAAAAAATATATATTTGTATTACGATTTTTTTTTCCGATAAATTTTCGTTTAAATTAAATTACTTTTTGAACTGAGGTGTAATGGATATCAAAGATAAATCTTAGGAGAGATGTGACATACATTTCGAATTAAGCAAGATTCGAGAACTGCACGTCTGAACGAGATTTACTCTTTCATGGCTATTACCGATCATGATCGAGTACGAATTGACCAATCTATGTAACAGAATTAAGTTTCATTCTCTTCTGTTTGAACAAATTCATCTCTAACTTCTACACCAGCGTCACTCACAACTCCAGCGACGACTTCGACTCGGATCTCTTAACAACTCCCGGCCTCTTATCAATATACCCCTCCCACTCATCAACCCAAATCACCTTCCCCTCCTTTTCCAGCCGCTCCACTCTCCCATTTCTCGCTCCCTCCCAATCTCCATGCTCATCCCTCCCCAGCACAACCTGATTACTCACCCCCTCCTCCTCATGCGGCCCAATCTTGATCCGCGGATCTCCCTTCGTCAACTCACAGAACCTCAAGCCAGGCCACGCCCTCACATAATCGCTCCGGGTCTCAATGCAAAGCATCCAATACACCGTTGACGTATCAAAAGCGTTCATCATCGACTGCCAATGCTCCAGCCGGTCGCGGTTCCGCATCGCGGCCGCGGGCCCGTACACGCGCCGGACTATGTGCGGTACGGGTCGCGGATTCAAAAGGTCCGAAACAAAGTAGCCGCCGACGAGGTCAGCGAAGTCGCGGGTAGTGGAGGTTTGGAAGCAGAATTCGATGGAGGTGAGATAGGGGTTATAAAGGCCGAAGACGGGGGATCGGACGAGGTCTGGGCGGCGGCGGGACCAGGCTTTGATCTCGTGGTACAGGTCGAGGGATGTGAAGGAAAGGGAGAGGAGGAGGCCGTTGGGGACGTATTTCTTGACCATGTGGATGGTGGTGTGATCGTCGATGATGGCGTCGTAGATCCCGAAGCGGCAGTCGGCGTTGAGGAGAGTCATGAAGAATGATGATTGCTGCGGGTGGCGAGAGTGGCGAGAGGGCGGGAGAGGTTTGGGTTTGAAATTTTGAGCTCTCTTGCTCTTTTCGAGGAACTGGCGGTGACTCTGCTGAATTCTTTGCATGTCGCGGACGAATGTGTTTACCCATAGAGTGGTGGAGTCCGCCGTCCTTATTGTTGTATCCTCGGTGCTGGTCTGTAGAGGGGAGACGAGTTGCAAAGAAGTTGCTGTGGAGGTTGGGTGAGCGAACTCCTCTTCCGTGATATCTTTGATGTCATCTCTGACAGGAGCTGTTGTATCCATCTTGGAGGTGATTGCAGAGAAAGCTGATATTCAATGACAGAAAGAATTGATAGCTATTGAAGTTGCAGCTGAGAGGAATGGTTGAGTTTGAAAAGTTGTGAGTTGTGTGTGTGATTGAAGGAATTCATATCTCAAAATCATGAATGTGGGAGTTACTTTATAATCCAACATTACGATTTCGACTGGAAGGAAAGTCTGCCATTGTCTCCAAAATTTGGTACTCGACGACGTGGACCGCAAGACGGCTTAACACTAGCCGCATAGTTTCCGCACAATGGCATATATCAAAATTTTAACTAGCTTTTGCAGATGTGCCTTCGATAGTATTGTTCTCGTCGCTCATTGAATCTGGGTCTCACAATGGTAAGCTTCTCGCTTAATTTGAAATGCGGGGCTGAAATTCAGGGGAAGCAGGCTAGCTACTCAGAAAGGCTGCACGGAGGAAGTATATGCGCTTAGAAGTAAAGAGGTACTTCTTCTTAGCACTATTGCAGTTGACAGACATCATTAGATGTAGGTCTCCCTTTAAAGATTCGTGATGTGCAACAAAAGCTTACTTTTTTTCACTGTCATGATTCTCACTCGCAAAATGCGCACACAGCACCGCCAGCGCTGCTAGCGCTCAGCGCGAAAAGAAACACAATGTCTAAAGAACGAAAAATGATAGCGACAAAATATCCACAATGGCAAACCACCGTGCACTTGGTCAAATTATCTTCATGGGAAAAGAAGTGGGAAAAGAAGACTACTCGGATGATACGACTACGCTTGCAGAGATCGCCACAAGTCTTGACTCCGCGGTCGGTCTATCGAGATTACTAAATTGTAGGTGGACTGTTGATATAATAGAACTGCAAGGATCTTACTAACTCAACGCATTGTCTGGTCCCAGGAACTTCCCCAACGAGCAAGATCCGCACGATCATCGCAGTCTCTCACCATTGGCAGATTCACAAACTCGGAATCGACGCATACATTGATCGCTGCGAGACGAACCCGTACATTCGTGACGGAAGAAGAATGAATCGCCGGAGCGGATGAGCTCAGCTATCGCTTTCTTTTCGCATAGCGCGATTAGCTTAGCTTACTTGCGACACGCAGGTCGTCGATCTACTCCGAGAATGGTAGATTCCGCCATAGCTTACAAATTAAATCAAGCAAATCTTGCCATTGAGCTCTTTATGTCAATATTCTCGTTGTACTACCCCAAACTCTGCTGTCCTCTCCTACCCAACCGTACATCGGGCCATGAATCCGCCATCAACTTCCATCTTCGACGTTTCAGTCGAACAAATTGACTTCGCTCTATGCCTGACGTTGCAATTAATCCTCCCGCTTTTCAAGGGACATCGCATGCGCCACGACATCCTGTCCCTTGATTCAGCATGAGCGAGTCTAACGGGAGAAGATAGGATGAGGCGATGTAACCTAGGTCGTGGCATCATTCATCGCTCTGAACAATCTAGCTAAATGTCCCGAATGTCCTAAACCCCAACAACCATTTCACCAGCATCCTACCCCTAGACCATCCAACCCTTCGCAATCACCTTCCCAAGAATAAACGTCACCACATCTAGGCATTACCCGCCTTAAACAGCCTCTCAGGCTCTCCGCCCCTTCCATTCTTCTTGGTACCTGCACCATTCCATCTAGATTCGATCCCTATATCTCCGACCCCACAGCAAATATCTCAAATCAAACTACCGTGAAACCAATATTCGAAAGCTCAGAACTTGCACTAGGAAACCCCAACGGCTTCGATTTTCTCAAGAGATGTTCAGATAGTCTCGCAGGTCCGCACCACTGCTCAAATACTTACATTATACAGTACACTCACGAAGCGCCAGCAAGTAGACAAATCATGAATAGCGAATTCCTTCCCCGTTCATAACCTTTCCCTCCTTCCTTCCTGGAACGCAAAGATGTGGCCTAAGCCACTCATCACTTAATATCCAATCCCCCCTTTTCCGCCGTTTCTCCGTCGCATTTGGAGTCCGATAACCACTCCGGAGATACTTAGGTACCATGGGAGATCAGCTCACCTGATTGATTCTCGGAGTGACAGGAGGTATTGTCTGCGTGGCTACTACCAATTGAAGCTCCAGCTCCAGCTCCAGCTCCAAAGCCTTACTTAGCTTGGAAATACAGCAGTAGTAAACGGTCAATCGATTGTGGTGAGACATTACCTTTTGTTTCCTTCCCGGAAATTTTTGTTGCGGAGAGTACTACAACGCAATCTGATTAAGAACGCTAGAGTCTGCTGAGCCATTCTCATCTCTAACCTCAACCTACGGCTCTTAGACTCCTAGCTTGAAAAGGGTGGGACTATACGATACAAGCGAAAGCGGTTTCTGAAGATCAAGACTATCCTTACCTTGGCTTGGCACATGTGCTCACCCTTTCAAATCAACCCACAACAAAAAAATGGCAATATCTTAATCTCTGTCATTCATAAACAATCATCAAAAAAATCCCCACCAAGCACGCCACGCCACGCCACCCAACCAACCAGCCCAATGCTATAAAAACACCCAACCATATTTATCTTATCTATATACAACATATTTTCTATAGAACAGTCAAAACCTCGCACAATCGCAAAATGAATTCAACTGAATCATTATCATATCACTTCAACAAACTCCCCACATCATGCAACCGGATACTCTCCACCCTCCCGGGCGGCTGCCTGCGATCACTATTCCGCTGCACGCTCCAGCCCGCGCCCCACCCCGGCAGCGTGCCCTGGACCGCGCCCGAGAGGTACAAATCGTCGTTCTCTTCTGGTCCGCGCCTGCCGTGGCTAGAGACCGAGACCGAGTAGCCGTTACTCCCGCTCTCTTCGCTGTTGCCCCTTACGTGTTTCTCGCCTCTTTCTTTCTTTGACTTTTTGCCTTTCTTGGGAATAAGATCAGGGGATGTCATGATCCCCATCCTTTCCCTCTTTCCTCTCAACCCCGGGCTCTTCGGGCCGAGGTTCGGACTCTTGTAGCTAAAGCCCGCGGGTTTACCTCCTCGGAAGGGGTTATGCCGTGTAAGGAAGCCGCGAAAGCCCGAGGAGAGGACCACGCTGCCGCTGCGGGAGTCGAAGGCTGTGGAGCCTTCGCCTGCGAGTTCTTCGAGGGTTCTGCCTCGGGTCTCGGGGACGAGGAAGGAGACTAGGATTCCGCAGAGCATGAAGAGAGCGAAGATCTGCATCAGGTGCGGAAGCCAGGGTGAGCAGGCGCTTCCTGAGCAAGGATGGGGAGCGTCTTTAGTGAGGAGTGGTTGGGCGATGACTTGGGCGACTATTGCGCCGATTTTGCCAGCTGCGGCCGAGAGACCGTGACCCGTGGATCGGTAACGGGTTGGGAAGCATTCTCCTGGTACCAGGAAAGTGGTAGTATTTGGGCCCCAGTTGAAAAATACTTGGGCAAGTATATACAGGCCTAGAAGGCCGCCTTCAGGCAACTCGTGATAGCAGAAGCCGATGATGATGAATACAATAGTTAGAAAGAAGAAACCCCCGATCTGAAGTGGTTTGCGACCTATAGTGTCGACTGTAGCTACGCAGAGCCAATATCCTGGAATGGAACCTGCGCAGACGAGAATGAGATTTCCAATGGCAGTGTGGAGGAGTGAATGGTAAATGGTGCTGCCAGCAGAGTAGCCAATGGCGTTTAAAACGATGCTGTTGTTTAATCCAAGGCCATAATAAGCCAGGTCGAGAAAGAACCAAGATGATGTGGTCCCAAAGATAACTTTGAAGTGTTGCCACTGGGAAAAGTATGCCAGAACATCAGGCCAAGATGCTCTGGGGGCAGCTAAATGTCGACCAAATCTCTGTTTAGTCTTCTGCTGCGTGATGGGATCAACTTCTCCTTCCTTCTTGTTGTTCATATAAGCTGTAATATCAGCTTGAGCTTTCTCGATATCATGCGCGATATCAAAAGTATACCGAGGCGTTTCAGGAATCGTAATGCGGTAATACAAGGCGAAACAAGCAGGTACCGCACCGAATCCAATGATGATCCGCCATGATTTGTCTCCAGCGATCTGACAAACTTCATGGCAACTCGAATAGGAAGCACTGGTGCTGTAGAAGGACTTTTTGTACCCAACGGTCGTGATTAGCGCCACTATGGCCGCAGCCAGTTGTCCAGCACCTTGCATAGAGAAGACAGCCGCCATCATTGCACCACGCCAGCGTGTCGGAGCAAATCTATGTTGAGTTAGTTTATGCTTTATGGGGCAGTCGTCCGTAAACGTGGGGGTCAACGATTTCTCGCCAAGAAAAATCAACATCAAAATCTCCAAGAGATACTCACTCAGAAGTGATGACTGCTGATAATGGGTAGTCTCCTCCTATACCTATACCCATCATCACCCTCCAAAAGATCAATAACCCAGTCATAGTCATTGCCTTGCTTGGCGCGGCGAGGGCTTGGGCAAGAGTTGCCGCAACGATGATAGCCAATTCCACACCATACATCTTCCTCCTCCCCACCACGTCTGCCAACCAACCGAATCCCAATTGACCTATAACCGCACCTCCCGACGTGGCCGCTTTGATTGCCGTGTTGACACTGGTAGGCATTACCCCAGGACTGCTCCCTCCGGCTGCACCTTGCCAGTATACCATTCCCAGGGTCGAAGTGACGAGATTGATGGCAAAGATGTCGTATGAATCTGTGAAGAAGCCAATACCTGCTACGACAACAGCTCTGACATGATACCTAGAAAGTTGAGATGAAATTAGACTCCATATAAAAATTGTTGACAGCAAGGAGATGCCGGTATATGTGGGGTACTTTGGGAAGGAAGGTTCGAAACAAAATGTTTGACAGCTGAGAAATGTTCTAGAAACACTCACCATCCGAACGGGACCTTGTCAATCTGAAATATAAAAAAAAGTCAGTAAACATATTCTCGGAGAAATGTACCTGCTCGCCCCATCTGAAGACTTACCTCCGAAAGCGCCAACCTCCTGCGTAGATTTGGGTCTTGAATATGCGAATAGTCATTGTGGAAATTGTGAAAGGCCGCATTACCGCCATACGTGCGAGGACTGTAGGAAGTCGGAATCGCAGGTTCAGGAAGGTATTCGGAATCCATGGCCGAGGCACAAATAGCCTCACGAAGAGGCGCTCACTAGGGACGACCAGAACGAAGGAATTGTTTCTGCAGCGCAAGGAAACAGGACGGGGAAAATGGCGATGCGACGGACGGACGGACGGACGTTTGAAGGTTATGAAGGAGAGTGGCGGATCGTGGTGGAACGTCGTGCAACAACAAAAGTCGTCGTGGGGCGTACTGATGGCGGGCTCGCGATGGGAAATGGGAAAAGGTACAAAAACTGCCGAGGGCTGACTGTAAGACTTCTTTATGCAGCACAACACCGCCGTCGATGGAAGCTTGCCTCCTCAGCTCTGGGCTTCCGTCGCGGCCTGCTGAATGTTGGTATGTACGTCGTCTGGTCGAAAGAGTCGAGCGGGGGGGCTGAAGTCGGTCGGTGAGTCGTGAATGAATTGAAGGTATTCAGAAGTCGGACGGAGCAATGGTGGACGTCGATCAGATCCAGGTGGTGGTGGTGGTGGTGGTGAGGGTTGGTGAGGTCAGATCAGGTCGGTCGGCTTTCGGTTGTTGAAGTAAAGGAGCCTAAGGACGGTGACGGCTAACCTAAGCTACCCTGCCTGCCACCAGTCCAGTGCCATACATCACATCACATCACATCACATCACTTCACTACTGTATGAGGACCCCACTTGCATCCCGCAAAGCCCCTGATTTGACTAACCTCAGAACACTAATTGTGGCGGCTGGATTTGCAGGGTTGGACGGCCGGCGGTGGGATGAGATGAGCAGCACCATCTGGTCGCCATTAGAAGGCAGCGTCGGGCCGCGGGGGTGCCTGTGCGCTGAGTACTGAACTGGATGGCCATGAGGGGGTGGAAGTGGAGCGGTGGAAAATTGTGCCTGATCCTCCCTCTGCTACTGGACCAGCGACCATTTGGCATAACAGACTATTACTATTACTTCACCGAACGAGCAGGCCTCGCACGCTGGGAGACCAGAGGGTCCCTTGTTGGTCAGAAACGGAATATTCACGGCTGCTGCATAACTTCAAACTCGAGGCTCACCGGGACCCGTCTCTCCCCGCAGAACCCTGAGAAACACATGGCTGCAGCTTGCAGGGTGCAGCGATTGTGCACTGTGATAGCCGACACTCGAGCTGCAGCTCCAGCGACGGTTCTGGATTCGCAAAATACTGTCTGTACTCAATAGAGCATCATCAGCTCGAGTGCGGTCTCAGACTTCTTGGCAGTGGCCCTGGTGGTCCCAAGAGCGCAGAGAATTGGCCCGCCGTTTGCTTTTTGGCGGGGTCTAGTCCACTGGTGGCAGAGCAGAGCAGAGCGACTTTTTCTGGGAGCAAGTCAGCCGCGTGCCCTTCACGGACCGAGCCTGTCGCTGCTCGCCATGCTGCCACGGGCCCCCGTCGGTGTGGTGGTTGTACAGTAATTGTGACGGTCCCAACTCCGGGTTACAGATCCTCTTCTTTTTTTGATTCCCACGAGTCTCTCTGCTCTCCCGCTCAGACTCAAGGGACGTGCTCTAGCCGCAAAGAGCAGATGGTAGCGATGGAAAGTCTAGATGGAGATGGAGAGCCAATTATTGGGAGTGCTTCTGTTCTGGAAAGGACATCTGCAATCAAATCATGACCCGATCCTCTCCATATTCAGTCTGCCTCACTGGGCAGTCCCTCGTTTCTTACCCCGTCAGCGCTCAAACTCGCCCTGCTCTCTTGATACCTGATGTGATTTCATCGCCGCCGGGATGAGAGAGAGGATGAGCCCACAGCGGCGTAATTACTGTAGTCATTGGACATGTTGGAAACTCCTCTGCCCTCCCTTCTCCTGTTCGCTGCTGTGTATTTCGGTCGTGGATCCCAGCAACCAGGATGCGACGCAATGCATGAGTGAGTGTTGAGGGTTGAGATGAGAAGCGACGACGACGACGACGACGACGATGATGGATGGCAACACGTGGGGGAACTTAAGCTTCCCAGTGGCTGTCGAGAGCCGTCACGGTGGCGCGCATCCTTGCGGATGGCTTGCATGGCGCATGCATGCACGAGGGGGTTTGAAAACCGCCTTATCGATACCGAAGCCCAAATTGGAGGCTGGTCTTTATGCTAGAGAGAGACTGTACGATTGCGACCTATTTGATCGTATGGTAGTAGAAGAGAATCTCGTGTTGCTGAAATGAAAAGAAACGAGATATATGCCATGCACATCGAGTTCGAGGAAGTGCAATCGCAATACTCGTACGCGTTCCCACATGTCTTAGTTACTTAGAATTGTGTTTCGGGCCCATCATCACATGAAAATCTCCGAGACCTTCGCGCTGCAGCCGTCTACCCCTTGCGCGTGGTATGGGGGTGAGAGTACGGTACGTTTCTCTTGGCGCAGCGAATATGAACATTGCTTCTGTGTCTCCTTTTGGAATTGTTCGCGTTGGACAAAAAGCTCAATGGGGTAAGACGAGAGGGAAAGCGATCTTGGGCAAGTAAACGGATTCGGGTCTGACATGCATGCATTATAAAGGAACATTTGAATAACACAAGAAATGTTGGAAGTTCGTACAACCTCCGTACGTCGCCCCGGATTTCTCCCACGGGGGCGAAAAGAGGAGAAACATCTTCTTCTGTACCTGCATCGGTGAAGACTTCGAATGTTCTATGCACCGTCGATGGAAGAGGCCGTGCCTGTTAACTCGGAATAAGAGTACGGAGTCGGAACTAACCCTGAGATGTTCTGTGCTTGATTCATTGGGAGTGAGGGCACGGTGTGCATTCACCTATGAAAAGCGGAGATCTCTCAGTATGCTTTCTGCAGCACATGTTACACTTATCTAGTGAAGTTGGGCATTGTACACATTATGATCATTGGCGCTGCAAGTCAAAGATATAAAAAAAAGCCTTCAACAAACTCGAAACAATGGCTGCTCCACAGAACGATTTCTTTATTCAAGAGGTAACCACTCGGCAAGCTTGATTTGTGGAAGAAGCATCAATAGTGGCATTAGCTATCCGTGAAAGTGTATCTTCATTCAGGGGTACATAAACAAATAGAGACAATGCAAGCCTCGCGCACAAACACAATACTGTGTGACTTAACCAAGAGACATTAATAACATTAACACCCGCTGCAGGTTTCAGAAAATATTCTCATCAGGTAAAAAATGGCGTAAACTTTGTTTGTCCTCATTGAACGTTTGGTATTGATAGGCGAATAGGGAAGAATATTGGGGGCGGTTTCCTTTCTTTTCAATAAATACTAATATTTAGCTTACTTATTAATCATACTTTTCCAAAATCTGGCTGGGGTCTAGACCCTCCATTATCAAAAGCACAATACCATACTCAAAATCAACCGTCGATGATACGCTCCCCGCCTCCGCGTTCCGCAAAGCTTGGCTGTCAGCACTCGCCAAGGCATCCAACACCCTAGCCTCCCTCCCAACACCAACGCTATCCTCCAAACTAAATCAACAACACATGTCTCAACGCCAAACATCCACCACAATAATGGGGCCCCTAACCATTACCCACTACTTCCTCCTCTTAACCATCTTCTCCCTCTCAACCGCCCAATCCACACGCAACGGCATCAAATGGCTCCTCCCCAACCACAGCGCCCTCATCCACCTCCCCACTCCCGATCTCCCCCTCTGGAACCCAACCCTGCACCTAGGACAAGACCTCCCCACCGCGCTCCTCCTAAACTTCACTCTCGCGCGCGATAACCGCACTTTACTCCTAAACAACCTACCCATCTTCCCCTTCCCGAACGTGCCGCCCCGGCTCTCCGCCCCGCAGACCGCTGTCTCGCTCGCGGAGTTCCTGGGCGGCGAGCTGCCTGATTATGGGGCGTTGAGTGTTTTTGAGTTGGATTATTACCGTGAGGAGAAGAGGGAGAGGGAGGGGGGGAGGGGGGATGTCTATCTCACGGTCGATATCCTAGGCGCCGGAATCGCGGGGTATAACGCATTATTGCGGGATGAGACGCAGAAATACGTGATCCTGACGATCCAAGAGCGATCACCTTGTCCTTATCCTAAGTCGATGTCGGAACGCACATACACGATCAAAGACATCACGCTCCTAACCCGCTTTCCGGACCTGGCATTCACATCGCCAAATATGCTGAAGAAGTGTAGCATGTGGTCGTGGCGGTGCGGGGATGTAGATCAGTATCCGTGGTATCGGTACGTGTACCGACAGGCGTTCGATGGGTGTGGGAGGAGGGGGAGCGCGAGGCATGAGGTTTGTCGGCGGTGGGAGACGTTGAGGGAGAGGTTGGGGACGTGGCGGTTGGTGGGGGTGTTGGGGGTTGTGGGGAGTATGGTGGTTTCGCCTTTGGTTTATGGGGTGTATAGATGTGTGAACACAATAAGGGTGAGGCAAGAGAAAGAGAAGGGTCGTTATGAGGAGGAGGAAGAGTTGCTGAGGGACTATGAAGGTTCGTCTGAGGAGCAGAAGATGGAGGTTGGCGAAAAGCAGGAAGGGAAGCCAGTGCTTCTACTTCCGGTCGAGTCTGCTAAGGTATGAACTGGATTTCGTTTTTGAAGCGTTTATGGGTTATCATGGTCATCGTAATATTTTATATACACTAAATAATACCTATCTCCTTTCTCCAAGCGTGTATAGTTGTCACCCAACTTTGGCATTGATTGCTTAAGATTCAAATTCAAGCGACTAAATACTTTGCCGACCATGTTTGGTAAAGTATATCCGTTTTCTATATTCTACGTTTGCTATATGTCGTTTCCTAGTGCGGCTCAACGGCTAAGTCAAGCTCGTGGATATTAGGGGCCCGCCAATTCGGATCACAGGCAGATCTAAGAGTGGGGGACAATCCACTAAAATGCGGGGCAAGTTATCATATCTCCGACGTCGAACAACTCTCTTCACTGCATCCCATTCCATTACCGTCCTTTCATCCCTAACAACACAAAAGACCCTCCTATCCTTATTTCCCCATCTCCTTGCTTGGCATCTTCAAAACTATTCTCCCCAAAAGATTTCATTTACAATGGAAAACACCGTCCCCGAACCCCAAGTTTCAACCCCCATATTCCTCCCACTTCTAAATAGCATCCCACCTCATCTCGCTCCCAAGTTTGAATCTACGTACGTAGAATACTACAACAAGTACTCGGCGGGCCGTCTAGCGACGCATCAAATTCCAATTGAGACATATCGCGCTAATCCTGCCGCTTATAGTAAGTTGAATGTCTAGTTTTGTCTCTTCTTCTCAGGTGTCGAGCTATCTTTGGAGATGGAAAGTCTATTCTATCAAAGACAAAGAAGACCATTCCACTCGTCGACTAATCCAGAGATGGCCCGATTTGCTTGAAGCACGCGGGTCAGCCAAAACTTGGTTCTTTAAATACCCGACGAATACTCCAATTGCCCCTCAACTCCCCAAACCACTATCCAAACCAAGCTAACCCCTCCAAAAAGCCATCACCTACGGCCGCGCCCTCTACCCCTCCACCGGCCTCAAAATCAGCACCCAAACCCTCTCCGTCTCCTCTCCTCCGGGCACCATCACCATCCAAATCTTCGACCCCGAAACCACCCACGCAGCCAAGAAACCCGTGTACGTGAACTTCCACGGCGGCGGATGGGTATTTGGCGGTTTGCCGACCGACTTCGATTTCTGTAAACAGGTAGCGAAGGAATGTGGTGCGGTGGTCTTTGACGTGGATTACAGGTTGGCGCCTGAAGAGAGGTTTCCGACGCAGGTTGAGGATTGTTGGGAGGCGCTGAAATGGGTATATCCCTTCTTCTTCTTCTTCTTCTTCTTTTTTTTCTTCTTCTTTTTTTCTTTTTGCCGAATGAGATGAAAATTAACGCGAGATATTAGATACACTCAGAAAAAGCCCCAGAATTCAACCTAGACCTAAACAAAGTCGCCATCGGCGGCTGCAGCGCAGGCGGGCACCTAGTTGCTGTCCTCGCTCATTTATGTAGAGACCACTCCCTGCCCTTAAAACTCCAACTCCTCTCCGTACCCGTATGCGACCTGTCAATCTTCAACCCCGACGGCTCTCTAAAGTCAAACCAACCCTACCCTTCATACTCCGAATTTGGCCCTTCTCCTCCGCTTCCTTTGGAACGCATGAGTTACTTCTTCAAGCATTTCCTCGGCGATATCCAAAAGACGAGCAAGTACGCAATGGGGGGAGAAGAAGAGTGGAAGATAAGTCCGATCAAAGCGCGGAACTGGAAAGGGTTAGCGGATGCGTTGGTCGTTACGGCTGAATGCGATGTTTTGAGGGATGAGGGGGAGGCGTATGCGAGGAAGTTGGAGGAGGGCGGGAATCGGGTGAGGGTTGTGAGGGTTAAAGGGGCGCCGCATATTTTTATGCAGTTGGATGGGATATTGGAGGCGGGGAGGGAGTATAATCGGGTTGTTTTGGAGGCGTTGAGCGGGGCTTTTAGATGATTGCTTAGAGGAGATGGTGATTAGAGGGGATGGTGATTAGAGGGGATGGTGATTAGAGGGGATGGTGATTAGAGGGGATGGTGATTAGAGGTTAGATTTCATGGCTGGGTCTATTTAGAAGTTCGTCCGTTGTCTGAAGTATCTTCATTTCATATTGTGCGGCAATGTTACAAATACCTAATTAACGTACACACAATCCCATTAACACCAAAACACCACCCCAAACCCAACCTAATCCATCTCAACCCTGACTTGAAGTCGGGATAGACGCCGCGGCAGCAGCAGCTATCGCACCCGCATACTTATACTTCGCCACCGCCGGAATAATGATAATAGCACCCAACCACACCAACACCACAATCGTAACAAAGATCCCCCCCAGCGCCCCCAAAATCTCCTTCGTCCGCTGCGCCCTCTTCTCCTCCCTCGACGCCTCGAGATCGATCTCCTCTTTATTCTATGCCCCCCCTCTCATCAGTACTCTTCTCTCTAACAGAAGACTTCCTTGCTTACCTGAACCTCTTCCGCCTTCGCATCAAGCCGTCCCTCTAACCTCTCCACGGCGTCCAATAACCGCACCAGGATGTCCTCCCGCGACGAGTTTTCCCGCATGGTGATCACGCTCTCGGTTGCGCCCCAGAGGGAGATGGCGGGGTCGTCGGCGGGGCTGGATGTGGAGGTGCGTTCGGGGCGCTCGCTGGCGGGCATGACGGTCGCGGCGCTCTCGTCGTGGCGGTGCGGGAGAGAGGGGGAGAAGGATTGTTGGTCGAGGGGGATGGTGCGGAAGGATGGGGGAGCAGTGTTGGGGAGGCCGGTGAAGTAGTTGTTGGCGGTGGTGGAGGTGGGGAGGTTTTCTTCTTCGAGGGGGACCTGGGGTTGGTGTTAGAATGTGTGATTGAGGTGAATCGGGAAGGGTTTTTTGGTCATCAACACTTGTTGATGTATAAAGCAATGTGGGGGATGAAGTAATGGAAGGGGGTGAGGAAATGAGGATATACTCTTTCGTAGCGGGGTCCCGAAGGCATTGTGCTCGCAGCTAGATTAACAAAGGAGAAGAAAATCAATCACAGAGCAAGAACTGTGTTTGAAGATATGTTTCGAAATGCCTTTCAAGTCAAGACTTATGAGTCTCGCGACGCAGCAATGATTTCAAGAGATGAAGTTGCCCTTTCCATGGAAATTCCGCTGGACATCGAGGTGCTGTGCCGCACTACGGTCATAAGGTTGACTGGTAAGGCTGAGTCGTGGACCGGAGACTCCTAGTGGAGCTCGAGCACTGTTATCTCGAGACTTATCCTGACGATCATACCAAGCTGAGGAGTCTACATCAGGCAGCGAGAAATGTACCCTGTCGAAAGCACGTGATAGTACTTCCGATTTTCAAATTTGGCGCAACATTATTTGCTAAATAGGGTGTTTATCTATACAAGTAGATCTTTCTTGACTCTATAGACCCTTACTCAAGAAGAAAATACTTAAGCAATGCCAAAGTCATGCTGGGACACGTGACACCACTCTGTCGTTAAACTTTCTCGAAACTTCAAGGTATCCTCATATCAACAACTTTGAAACGATCTACCAAGAATTGTCGAGCACACCTTTTTGAACAGTTGATACAACCATGAAAGTGATAGCATAAGTAAGGCAATTCAAAAGAGAGTGTGAGCCTCGAGCTTGCCCGATTTCAGAACGGTGCAGCCATCACGATTTGAAGATGCGTGCACTGCCTCGGCGCCTCATTTGTCCTATTGGCCTTGTCTCTGATTGCCGCAGGCGTCAAGTAAACGCCATCGGGAACCATCAAGGCTATGAAAACATCATCCAACATCCTTGTGGGAAAGACTAGAACCAAATTACAGGAATCATGAGCTATCCCGGATAATTGCTCTACTGTACCGGACACCTTTCTCTCTTCTATATCCGTTCCGCAATCACACTTTCTCGAAGACCAATGTCGATCAGAGATGACGATCAGGCGCGGGCGCAGTGTCTGCAGAAGCCTCTTCGCCGCATGCGCGGAGAGATTCGGCTGAAATCCAGTGACGATTCATTCCTTTCTTGGCTTGATGAGAATCTCCTGAGCGATTCAGAAGATGAAGATAGCTCAAATAATCCCGCCCCTAGGCCTATCAAAACTCCGATACGGACACCTCGATTGGTCATCGCGATAGACTATGGAACCACTTCAACTAGTTAGGAATATCCTCTCATGATAACAGGCTTCAGCTAATGAAAGTCAAAGGCGTCGCCTATGCTTTTCCAAGCTCCGACTGCGCCAGCCTTGATGACATTAAAGTCGTGCAGGACTGGGGCCCACATATGGGAATCTCGAGTAGAATACCAAGTCTCATCTCCTATTCGCAGCCAAACAACAGAGAATATCAACAATGGGGAGCAAGCATAAGCGAGTCCTCCATGGTAATCAAAAACATCAAGGAGGAACTTGATGGATCAAACAACAGTTTGGCTGAGCTGCAGGGTATCCTGCAACCTTCGGAAGGGACGAGTAGTCTAGACTTCAATGATGCGAATGCTTACGGCGGGAACTCAAAGCAAACACGGAAGAGGCCAGAAGATATTGTCACGGATTATCTAACGAAAGTTTGTTCGTACATGCACCTCCTTGACGGACTCGAGGGATCCCATCTGAGGTCAAGAATAGAGGTCGACATTATTATTACAGTACCAGCGGTGAGACTACTTGTCATCCCTTTGGATGACTTGAAAGCTTTAGCGACTAATTTACCAACAGAGCTGGTCTCAGCGTGGCAGAAATTTGCTCCTTCAAGCGGTCAATAATGCTGGATTTAATGCAGAGACATTTCCCAACCTCAGGAACTACACTATAATTCCCGAGCCAGAGGCGGCCGCGATATATCTCATAAGACACCTCGAAGACGATAAAAACATAAATTTTCTCAAGGTAAATCCTTTTACCACTCATTACCGTCAAGGTCATCGGGAATCGGCCAAATCAAAATCATAATCAGACTGCTCTTGCATTGTTTTGTCTATTATTTTCAAGCTCCGACACGCTCAGAGGAGGGTCGTAACTTGAAGCACTGCAGGCCTTTCTTTTAGCAATCTAAAGTCTTCCTTCAAACTAACTGCCAGCAGCTAAACCAATGTTTCGTCGTGTGTGACGCCAGTAGTAGAGCCGTTGTAAGTTACTTTCTATATTTATCGTAATGTTCAATGTTCAATATTCTAACTATTGGCTACCCTTCGCAGAAAACCATCTCGTACAGAGTCACGCAACTGAAGCCGACTCTAGAGCTTGAAGAAATAAGCATTCCCACAGGTCTGAAAACTTTACTTCGGGTTTAGAAGAACCACTAACATGTCTTATAGACGGAATCCATGGGTCGGAGATCGTCGACGAAAATTTCAAGCGATGGCTTCGAGGAAGACTGGGTGAAAGGAACTACAAGAAGCTAGATCCACATAGCACAGGCCAAGGAATAGGTGCCTCTGTCACCGAGCAAGAGAATATGACACTACTCATGAGACGTTTCGAGGAAAAGAAGAGATCGTTTGTCCGCACAATGAAGGAAATATATCTGACCTTGCCGCAACCTATGAACATAAATAATATCTTGGCAGGGGTTTTACACAGCGATTTGAAGATTACTGGGTACTTATATCAATTCTATGGAATACAGTTTTTTAATTGACGGACTTTAGGGAGGACATGAGAGAGTTTTTTGACCCATGTATAGACGGGATTATCAATCTCATCCTGGGGCAATTTCAGCAAGTCCATCTGAAGAAGAATCGAGTCAAGGTACATTGAGCCCTTTCCATAAGTGCCAAAAGCTGATTGTAAAGGACGTTTTCTTGGTTGGAGGTTTCAGCGAATCGCCATACTTACGGGACGAAATCAAAGAGTCCTTAAGATTGAGAAGAGTTGCATTGCGTTATCCAGACAAGCACAAGATGTAAGTGTACTTTTTCGGTGGGTTGAAAGCTTCTGACGTTTTTCACGAAGCCACAATGCAGTTGTTCAAGGTGCAGTTATCTATGGCATTGAAAACCCCGCCGATGGGTACTCGCCCCTTCTTTCGGATCTTGTAGGAAATGATGTTTCCAACAAAGCTCCACAAACGCCAATTGAAAACACTCCGGGCAGAGTTGCGGACGTTGTTCTTGAAAAAGAGCCGCTGCCGTCAACCCAAGATAGCTCCGATGGGACTGTGACAACAGACTACGAAGGGACAGCTCTACGCGGTACGGATGGTATTCCGGAGTCTACATTACCTACCACAATTTCCGAAAAAGTGGACAACAAGCAGAGAGAGGTAGAAGACACGATATCAATTTTCACGGACAATCAGTCTTTGGGGTTACCAGAAACCCTGCGTACAACTCTCATTAAGGACATTGCTGCCAAAGTCTGGGATTCCACACACAGCTCGCTAGAGCTCTGCGACGATGATGTGATCCGTATATCAGCGGCACTGCCCAATCTTCTGAAGGAAATGTCTCTCGAGCTTGCATGCAGTGCGAACACAGTCATTGAGCAGCGGGCGATCGCTTTCATCCGACGCTATAGAGGGTGGGTAAAGACTTTTGGTTGTCACTTCTCGACTTTAATCTTCTCAAGCGATATACATGCCATCCCCAGTTTTCTTAAGTCTCTCTGTCTATGATTCTCGAGCAGAACAACTCTTCGTCCTGTTACTAACACTTTATTACTAGATATATCACAGATTTCTTTCAAGCGTCGAGGGACACGTTGGATGACGAGCCTGCATCAAGTCGCCGCAACTCTGACGGATTCACAGTGGAAGAGAAAATTGACCTATGGAATATCACTGAGTCACTTACAACCGATCAGCCATCTGAGTATGCGCCGTCACCAGAAGAGTCATCGGAGACAAGAGTATCAGAAAATGTGACGTCTATGATACGCATGGAGATTTCCAACGGAGTATTTGAACAGTACCCTCGAGAAGATGACCATAAATATGACGAGACATCTGGAGACGAGAACTCTCTGAAGAGCGGAAACATAAGCGATGATGAGAAGTTTAGTCGCCATACTACCATCCCAGATTTGCCACAAGCGTGGTCTTTCATTTTTGGCAGCGAAGCATTCACCCGCCTTCTCATCAACATCCAGATTGTCTCACGTTTGACTCCACGGCAAGGTGAAACAGTGGAAGAGATACGCAATAGCATTATTGAGGAAATATCCCGCAGTGCTAATTTCAGGGAGAGAGTATCTTCAGGGTCTACATTCTCCGCATTCTTTCAGATTAGCTGGGATCCACTGTTCTTTTTGACAGAACAGTATAACACGCAAAATCTACCACCCATCAGAGACGTAATCACGCTGAGTGGAAATGCAATCGATGCACAAGCCACAACCTGTGGCCAATACGTTCAGCAGGTATGGTCCGACATAGGACTAGAAGTATTAGAGGCAATTCAGGGGGCTGTCCATGACTCTAGATCTTCTTGTAAATGTAAGTGTATTCTATCATTCTTGGCCAGCTTGCTGATAATTGAAGCTATCTTGGCTGATGAGACTATCTTGTCTGATGGGACTATCTTGAATGTGGAGATATCTGGAGGATTCTTACATGTGAATGCGAGAGGAACAATGAGCAGATTGGCCAATGTTGGAGAGCAACTTTCATGGATGGGCGCCAGTTGTCGATCCTCTCTACTGACCAGCAAGATTTGCTATTGCACGCCTTTCATTGTAACCGCTAGGTCCTTTGTACCATCATTTTTCATCGACTTCACCTACCAGGACCTCGAAGATGACTCCCAAAATGGCTCATGCTGGAGGCAATTGTTCAAAAATCCAGTTGTTGCAAGGGGCTTTCCCATCCTTGCCAGGATTAATGATGAAAAAGGCTTGGAGATCCCATTAAACATGATGGCTGGACTGGGTGGAGCTGAAAGGGCTACTGTGTTCAACGGTCAACTGGTGGTCAAAGGATTTTCAACGATGTTTGTGCCCACGAGAAGAATTTCTAGCTCCATTCTCTGGCATTTCCTTTTCAACAGAGACAACTCTCGGATTTCCTATTCCGCTGCGAAGCAGCTCGTCGCTGGTCAAGATCCTGTTACCGTCGACTATCAATGCTTGCCTACTGCTCGAATGTTTTTAGGATGGGCATCGTCAGTCCAGCTGCATACAGGTACGTTTCTCTAGTAAACTAGTATCTGTGAATGCTGACTATATTGTGTTCTTCCTAAGGTACCTCCGATATAGAATATGCAAATCTTGGATTCACTGGATCCAACTTTGCAACGGCAGGTTGTGCTCTATCGGGCGTCACAATCTCAGGCGGCAGGTTCATCACTGGCGGCGCAAGCTTTGTACCAGGAAATAAAGATCGTATGCTATCGCTCTCAAATTCAGAACCGTACTACCTGAAGATGGAGTCGGCAAGCACCTGGAATGTGGTCTTCTATGATACTGATGATCGACGTGCATGGCTGGTCGACGGAGGTAACGCTTTGCTCCACTTGACCAGAGCTCGGCTTTCTCAGAAGCGCCTCGCAAGAAATTTAGACTTAAATTTCGAAGACTTTCCTTACGCAGATTCAAGTCATGGGCGACTTGCTGCATTGATATCTTTGGGAGTCATCGCCGCACGTGATCACGTTCTTATTACGGATTCGGCATCATTCGGACAGCCTTCAACAGCAACACACAAGTGGGGACTGAAAGATATAGTTCTCGGTTATTGGCACATTTTGGAACAGATTCAGGATCATCAAGAGGTACTCTCCAACCCTGGAAAGTCAATCAGAATGACCGACCGAGAAAAGCTGGAGGGATTCGGCTTTGTGGATATCATTAGCGGGCGAACTTCGATCCGACCCCGCGTTGCGTATCTGGAGCCTAGTGGCAGAGGTTGGGTGGATTTTCTCCATCAAATACAGGCTATAACTCTCATGGCGAGAGGGTTTGGAGAACTAATCCGGCCAACAGAGAGAAGCAATCCGTTGTGCAAAGCCTGGAGACAAGTCCCGAAAGGAAGAGATTATCTTGTGGCACGCGTTGCACAGCTCTTTGATATATGTGATTTTGGGGGGAATCTCGACTGCCAACCCTTGGAGCTTGTTCAGGGGCTTTATTGGCATAAAGGAGGTCATCTTTTTGAGCCTTGTAGCGCTACTACTTGCATGGCAAATTGCGATCGGGTGCAAGTGCTTCTTCCCAAAGCGACTCTGGGGTCGAAGAAATATCCCGATGGACTCTTCGAGGGTGAAATGGAAGGAGCCGTTGTTTTTGGACACAGCAGAAGGCTCCCTAAATTCTGGCCAAGGAACCCCAAAAGTGGACCATTTGATGATCTCGCTGAATGTGACGCTGAGGATAGTAGAAGATCACAGAGTCCACCACCACAAATCGACTTCCATGATAGTGGACTGGGAACCGAACTCATGGGCACCGATGAGTCCAGTAAGGTAAGAACCAGAACGACTGAGTCACTACCGTCACGAGTTTCCATTGCAAGCAACGCCGGTCCAGCTGTTATGTCAGGGGCTATTACAGATATCAACTTGAATTCCGAACCCACAGCCAGACCCTCTGAATCTGACGACCAAGTTGTTCTCCCTCTGCCAATCGCCTTCTCACCTCCGGCGTTACGAACGCGGAAAGGCAAGGAAGCAATGCGACCTCTGAGCAATTTGATGAATAATCTTCGTAGGGTCTCAAGTTATAGAAAGAGAAAAGAGTAATATGTATTATAGTCTAAACAATAAACAGTATCAACAAATCTGGGTTTCATATTGTTCTATATGTTTTATAAAGAAACACGTCCCACTCTCACAACTCTCATGGAGAATTCGAATTACTAAGCCCCCTGCCAATTGTGGGCGTTTGCTGGGCTTACCGTTCTTACTACGTGGCTTCGTCAACCATTGAAGATTTTCCTCAACAGAGAAGACCACTCTCGGTGAAAATGCTCCCGAAAACAAAAATCACAAGATCTCATTCGAGCAGTGCATGGACGAATCCTTGCATCATGTGGAAGCCATACAGCGGAGATGCCAAGATCTAAGCCCCAGACAAACTGAATTTCCAGGACATTGGAATACAGATTATAGACTAAGCTAAGCAGAAAGCAGACATCTTTTCAATAGATCTCGCCTTTTTAATGTCCTGATTTGACGTCTATATGTAAATAGTAAGCTTGCATGATCAAAAGCTTAGCCGCAAGTGGGTTCAAGCATCTCTCCCCATATTCGCTGCCGAGAACCGACAACGGAGTGTGGATTATTCTAGTATTAAACTTGTATATCCCGTGCACTGCGGCACAGATTTGGGTGTGCGTCCCGACCCATAGACATGAGGCACACTACTTGGCTGTAGATAAATTAGGTGATTCAGCATCGAGCATGCCCACAAGGCCAGAAAATAGGCATGCAATGTCTTGTCCTGACATGCATATGAAAAGTATACTACAGTCAAAATGCAGAGTATTAGCAACGCCCCCAACGGGTTACTAAGATAAGCAACACTTTCAGCGCTATCCCACGTGTGATTGAGCTTCGGGAAGGATACTCTTGATTTCTCAATTATTGTTAAGTGACAGGATTCATGTAGAGAATGTAACAGAAGTATCTGGACGAGTCGTTAAAACTATTACACACATATCAACCCCGACCCTAAATGGAGGTAGAACCCATCTCAAGCTTTCTTAATTTCGTGCGCTTTCTGAGTATGATTGCTCGAAGCAGCAATATTGGTACTAGCTACGCAATAGTCAGCTCTCTTTCAAGAATAACAATAGCACCAACCACAATACTTTCTTATGACTACCAACATAATAGAACAAACAGCATTTCCAAATGCACTACTGACAGCCAATGCACCGAGCGCTGTCTTAGACTCCTTCTCTGGGTCGTGGTGTGCAGAGAAGGATAGAGCGGTGGTGGTCAGTGAACCGGCACAACAGCCAGCTATTTCCAAACCATCAGCGATGCGCAATATCCTCGCTTCTCTGGAGTCTTCGTGTCGTTCCGCGATGAGGTGACAGAGGATGAGGTCGACCCCGCAGCCGATATTCATGATATAATTCCCGTAGGTCATCCAGCGAATGGAGGCTTCACCATCTTTCCTGAAATCAGCTACAAAAAGACACACGGTTCCGGTGATGCTGGTCAAGGTACTGATCGTGTGTCCTATAAGCTAGATTTTCATCTCTGTTAGCATTGAAATCTCACTCTCATGCTTAATATTCTGGTTGGTTTGAGGTACTCACCAAGACCCAAAAGTGTTCGTCCAATTCTTCCTTCAAGTCTTCACTGGCATCCATGGCACGTTTCCAAAAGACCAAATCGAGTATGCGTCCCAGTGAAACAAAGATACTACAAACACTTCCCACTCCAGAGCACCACTTGGCAACGACGGAACCTCCAACCAGGCGTGGCATCGCTTCTGTGAAGGCGATTGGGACTTCAGCCATAGCTGCGAGCATTCGAAAAACTCCGACACCTGTAGTAGTCCATTGTTTGGCGCTGTGGTAAGCATGCTGAACTTTCTGCACAAAATTAGCTGTAAGCAAACAACACATATACCTAGCCTCCTAGAAATGGCGAACTTACCTCGTACTCGACCTGATTGCGACGCGTCCTTGCTTTTGGACTCTGCTTAGTGTCGGGTTGGCTCGAGACATCTCGTTTCGCGAAATTCCCGTCGATTGCTTAGGCTTGCCTTGAGATGGGGCGCCAACTTTACTCACGTTGGAGCTGGTATTCATGGCAACCATGCTGAAAGCACTCATGGCACTCATATTTATTGTTGCTGGATGAGGGTTCGTGGGCTTCGATATCTTCTTGAAAGCCTCTTCGAACACACTTCTGATATCAAGGTCCTTGTCTTGGATGTTGTTGATGAATTCGTCTGGCCGACTATGCACGTCGAATGGCAATCTGTTTTTGTCTCCAACAAGCATGTTCAATAATGCTGCTCCAACGAAAGAAGTGACATTGAGGAAAGAATATTCCTATGCCATGTAAGTTATTGAGTTACCGAAACCGCGTATATTCAAGTTCACTCACCTGACCCGTTGTATACTCAAAAATGGATGTCACGTAAGGGATTCTCCAAACCCCAGAGATGAGTTCGAATGCTTGCTGGAAGACACCCGTCGCTACTTCCCAAAACATCGTGATCAGATTCGATATCGCGTCAAAGATCGTCCAGAAGGAATCCGCCAGGAAACTAGATATCTGATCAAGAATAGATTTCGGGTTTGCGACAAAACCTTGGAGTCTTATCATTAGGGAATCAATAAGACGCATGGCATTCGCTAATTGTGCCTCAAGTGCCTTAGGGATTGTTTCGGAGAAGATCTTTACCAAGGGGGAGAAATCTGGGATTCTGAATTCGTCTCCGAATTCCTCTGCTATCGCTCCTTGAGCTGCCTCGATCAAGATGCTGAATGGATTGAACCTCATGAGAAATTTCATGATTGGATTGTCAAACAGCCAGGCCAGCATCGATTTCTTGCCATCAGGAGTTTTGGGATGGGGTCTCTTATCTTTGATATAGTCGTCAATTTTGTCTCTGGCAAGGTCCATGCCTTCAACAATCGCTGCCTTGTTAGTCTTCATAAATATGTTTGTCTTGGTCTGAGTGGCCTTGAAGGTCGCGATAAGAACCTGTGAATGTTAGAAGCAATCTCACCAAAAGTCATCTGCGAGCATAATCACCTCTCGAGTCTTTCTAACCCTGGCAATATCGAATTTGTATCCAAGCAAGGCCATCAACTTTTTCTTACCGGCACGAACCGCGTTCTTCAGGAATGAGGTGAAGGTAGGAAACAGCGTCTCCAACGAGTCAACTACTGCGGAAAACACTTCTTCGACAGCCATTCGGCTGCATTGGAGATGGTGGAGTGGTCGTGACCGTCAGTTTCAAAGACAACCGTTAGATCAGATCCGTGGAAATCTTTTCCAATCATCGGTTTTGCATTACCGTCTAGGGCAATCACCATTGACAGAAGGTTCTTGAATAGCTCTACACTAGCTTTAAACCCTTCCTTGTTCTTTTGCTACTCTGCATCACTGAATACGGGAGTCCCGTCCACAGAACAAGCTTTCGCAAAGTCGTCTGCAAACTTTATAGCGTAAAGTCGTTCAATAACTCTATCTAGCATAAACTTTATTAGTAGCCGACTTTTCGTTAAAGTAACGATACTTACTTGACTTATAGAGTTAGTGTAGACTATAGTTAGCTACATAGTCAAAGTACATGTCTTGTTATTTCAATGCGGCACCTTGTTCATCGAGATATAAAACCTCGCTAGCGTTGGTTTGAGCATTGAATTGGCACGAGATCTGCTGGATGCTTGTTCGGATAGGGAGTCCTGAGTTCTCAAAGACCATCTTGTTGCCCTTGAAGGTCCGGATGCCTTGGATGTAATGTAGCTCATTCTGATCCCTCACGGCGAAGATGGTGAACTTGGATTGGGTGTCACCAGAGTCTTGATCAATGGCCTCAGAGGCTACGACTTGTTTGAACGACACATTCTCGGCAAAAGTCTGTACTGATGACGCACTCTTCTGAGTATTGACAAAGCCGAGACCCTTATCGGAGGCCAAAAAGAGATCAGTGACTCTATAATGCACGAATAGTCAGCTCTTGAGGCTTTGCGAGCCTTGAGCCAGACACAGGAAATGGAGAATTGTCTTACCTTGTGGCATTGGCGTTGGAATACATACTTGTGATCTTTCCGCATTTCTCGGCCAACACGAGTCTAGTGTTTGTGTACTTGCCATCTTTCCCGAAGAGGTCGATCACGCATTCAGTTGCTCCCTGCTGCTCAAACAAAACATATATGCCGAACTCATTTTCCAGTTTGGCCGGCCGTATCTCCAGAATTTTGTCAGCATCACGGGAAAACGCAAATGTCTGCCAGGGATGTTCAATTTCCGAGGAAGGATCAATGGTGTAGTGCGTTGCTGCAATATTCTCCTGCTGCTCTGAGCCGGCAGTAATGAGGAATGGTGCTGAACTGGCTGAAGTTGATGGTCTGGGACCGACAAGTAAGTACGAAATCTTCTTCAAACCGGCATTATTGATAATGGCAGTCCATTTGATGCCTGGCTGGTCAGTCAGTAGACAACCACGTATGTATAATGTACACTTACTTTGAGGTTCGAAACCGGAGACTTTGTTTGATTTCAACGTAGCGGCGGGTAAGGGGAAAGAGGCATGGTGGATATTTGCCGTCCCGTTCGTAGATACAGCTGCCACGGCTATGTGGATTACCTTGATGTCGGAGTCCTCTTCATTCTCTTCGATCAAGTCAAATGTCTTTATCTTGTCGACCTTTTCCGGCGTAATATCGAACAACTTCCAGCCATGAGCACCTCCATTGATGTGCACGAGGCAGTGGAGACGTTGTTCACTGCCGATAGCGAAGACGACAGGCTGGCCAAGGGGATCCGAGACCAAGGAGAGGCGCTGGCAACCTTCGAAGGGCTGTACCGGGGCGCTGTACTCAGTAAACTCGGAGCATACGGCAAGGCTCACAAATCCTCCGTCTTGCAGTTCTGAGGCGTCCTCGTTCTCATCCAGTGACCTGGGAAAGGGGACGTTGGTGGGCAGTTGAAGTACCTTGGACAGAGTCCCAGGCATCTCGAGCGTGGGAGCCGACATAGGTTGGAGTGAGGTTTGATTTTGCAAAGCGTAGACGCTGGCATGCTAGATAAGAATGCATGGCCGTTTGTATATATCTATATAGTCGGCATTCGATCACACCTTTTGACTGGGCACTCGTCTACCAAAGTTAGAAAATACTTCGAAACACAACTTCCCCAGTTCTCATGAGACATGACCTCTCAGAATTCAGGAATCGAGACAGCTTTTCCAGCTCCCTTCGAGAACGCCACTGTCAATATCGATAGCCCACGCTCTGCATTATCGAGTATCACCGAGGATCATATCCGTTTGAGCACATCCAGCTTCCTCACAAAGAGCTATTTGCATCTAATTGAGGCTTTCAGCTTGTTCTCTGCGCTCTGGACGGGTGACGGGTAGTTGAGCTGGACGGGCCGTTGCCGTGCGCCACTAACTGATTTTTCAACGCGGCATCGATATAGTGTGCAATGAACCCCGCAATACGGAGGCCGCAGCCCAAATTTTTGGAGAACAGAAACAGGGTATTCTGCGCAGTAATGCTAACATCAAAACATTACTATTGCATAGCCGGTGGGCCGAGGGCTCTATTGCCGACTATGACTTGATTCTCTCCATCTCTGCGGAGGCCATCAACCGCCAATTCAAAATCCTTTATGATACAAAGATTCGGACTTCGGATGATTTCAAACCTCCTTCACGTACTAAAATCAAGGATGCTTCTCCGGCCGCTCCCAGCGCTGCCGCCAGCCCAGCCACTCCTTCGCGGGGGGTCAGGCTAAGCTGGCTAACCTGAATCGGCTGGCTTGGAGTAGGAAGGCTAAGTTTTCGGAGCTTCTGGCGAGGCTAAGGAAGGTTGCCATAAGTTGTGGCTAGGAGCAGGAAGGCTGCTGATAAGGCTCGGATTAATTTGTACTACCGAGGGTCTGAGACTATTTAACCGAGATTACTAATCTTAATCTCCGACTACATCTTAGCCCGGCCTAAGCCAGCCACCCCCTAAGGCTGAGCTGGCGGATTAATTTCTATTGGCGAGGTTAAAAAATCACTGGCGAGGAGGAGGAAGGCGGTGGCGGGCTGAGGAAGGCTGTTTATTGGCTGGGCTGGTGGCAGCGCTGGCCGCTCCTGCCGAATATCTCCTCTACCATCGCTTGGAGATCCACCTTGATAAGAAGGGCAAACCAAATCCCAACTATGGACTTAGTGCCTTCATAGATTGTCCCCAGGTCAGCTTTGATGGCCTGGCAAGCAAGGTTAACGATTATCGGACTGCCAAGATCAGTATCAAGTTCATAAAGGAGGGCAACGTTTGCATACACCCACATCTCCTTCAATAGAAATCTTCTGACTATTGAATAGGTCGACAGCAAGTTCAAAGAGCCCTACATCACGGAGGTTATGCAAATCGAAATCCAGGAGACTATCGTGACAGGCTGGACCATGTCCTGGGAAGTCAAATTAGGTCGTCATGACATCCAGGATATCATGGCAGGTTTGTGACCCAATCTCGACCCCTCGAGAATGAGGATCACAAGCTGACATTGGCAGAATTGATCTAACCCGCTCAGAGCGGCGAATCGTCTTCGGTGCTCGATCCAAAAACAGCTACAGCGTTCAAGGATCTTCATGAGCTCAATAGAAAAGAAGCTGAAAAGGCAAAGGCTGATGGCGTAGATTCGCGGAACTTCCTTGTGTCCTCAATTTTCTGCGTTTTCCAAGCGGCTCAAATGGCCAACACATTCCAACTGCGCAATCCCGAAGGCAAACTCCTTGAGCTGGGTGAAGCTCCAGGCGACTTCACGCTCACCGTCAGCAAGTACTTCACTGGGTAAGTCTCACTCTACTGTGATTAATCAGTCTTTTAATCATGGTTCTGTATAGGATGCAAGTGAAGGAAGGACAGATGACTCCCGACAATCCATTTGTCTTAGGTTATGGAATCAGTCAAGAGTTGCTCAACATCAAAGAGGTCAACAGCGAGATTAGTCTTGACTTGACTCCAGATTCTTAGTGCCCAAGTCTTTTCAACTCACATGCACTCCGGGTTCTATGGATTCTTATGATTCTAGATACACCTTTGGCACGCTCAACTTTTGCATACTGACACACCGTTCTGCTTTTCCTAACAATACCACAGAACAGCCTAGCCGCAACACGCATGGAGAAACCAATCCATCCGCAGGCGTGCTCGACCAGACACTCTTCAACAAGACTCGCACGTCATCTCACGATGGCGTGATGGCCTTCTGCAAAGAAATCATCTTTGACAAATACATTTGCGAGAACCTTGGCTCGAAGTTCCTCATGGACCCCAAGTTGATTGTCAAAGGATTATGTCAGTGGAATGGTTCTTCACTGGAGGAAGACAACCCGGTGGAAACGAAGATCGTCTCGCAAAACGGTAGACCTCCCGTTTTCAAGATGGAGCGGAAGTTTAAGCACCATATGTACGATGCCGACGAGACTTTTATGAAGAACCGACGTGAAGTAGAGGGTAAGTTCACTACTACATATTCCTTTGATATTATTTTGTCGGTACTGACCATGACCATCAAGGTTCCACTTGGGTCGAGTTGTCTATGACTTCCGACTTGCTCGATAATCCCACGTCTCTAATTGACAAAGATGCCAAGAGGCGCACTTACATAGACGTCTTGTACGGTGCCAACGTCAACCACAGGGTAATACGGTCTTGATTGCTGATTTCCACCTTCACAGCTAACAGGGTCACGCAGAACCAAACTCAAGGGAGGATCGGGTCGCTGGTACAGATGGAGGCTGGCTGGTCAACACAGTACTGAGCAGCCCCAGACATGCGCTACAAAGCAAGACTTATCCTTCAAGCGGGCAAAGCAGGCGTCTGGAGTGTGACACGTGACCCCGACAACCCGAAGTACCCCTACCCATGTCGATTCTGGAAATCTCCTTGAATAACTGCTGAATCTGCAGAGTACTAAAAGCAATACCCCAGAAAAGTTTTCTATAGGATGTACAAGTATTTAGAGCGCCCCAACCAATAACCGAAAGTGCACCACCAATAGTACTTATCGACATCAGCATACCTCCCACCTCCTCCTCCGCCTTGGATCTCCTTACCGAGAGAGTAGAAAGCAGTCGGGATACCCAGTACTCCGAGCGCGAACTGGACTTCAGAACAATCAGCAAGAAAATTCCCACTATCAAAATCATAGAGATTGAGGTAAGATGCTACCTTTCAGAAATATGATCGCAGCGCGAGGCCACCCCACAGTCCGGAAATCAACACCATCTTTCGTCTTCTTGAAAACCTCAAAGTCGTTGTCTCTAGCTGTCTCCTCGGCTGCTAACATTCCTTCCTCCAGACTCGGTGGTGACGAGGTTGTCGTGAATATTTTCTCGTCGATGGAACTATGGGTGGCTGACATCGTGCAATTCTTCGATCCTAAAGGAATCGAGATGACACGGTCTAGATACCTTTCCACTTACCAAACTCCTGGGAATATCTTCTTTATGATACAGATGTCAGGCACAGACGATCCCACTGACTGTTTCCACTTTTGATAGGCATGGTTTGCTTGAGTGTAAGTTTGTGTAGCGTCAGCTATGGATGATTAAACTGCCGGTAACTGGAAAGGGGTGGAGTAGTGAGTGATAAGCGAACCCCTTTTCGCGCCGCGCTTAAGGCTGACCTTGAGATATTGATGTGACGGAGGACTCCAGCTCTACTTTTAAAGACTGCATGGAGATCGGAGAGTTTATATATCGATGATACTTCAATGTTCCACAAGCGATCGTACTTTTCAAGTGCTGTCGATATAGACGCAAAATATCGCTCCCTCAAGCGAGCACATCGCTTCTGAAACTTCGAAAATATGAATAGCTCTTCTTTTGGAGGCTCTTTCTCAACATGCAGATCAAAACCATCTTGTGGGTCAAAGTTCTAGAAAACTTGAGTTGAGAGCCGTGCGATGTGGAATGTTTTCAAGTTTCCGTCGGGAGCTGTTTCCGATGAAAATAAGCGAGATTTCCCCTGATTTCTCTCATCTACCCCACCTTTGTTACCTGACTCGTTGTTGTAGACCAATATCGATCATGGTATTCTCAGCGCGCTCGACATGGATATAGAGTGCTGTGGAGCAGTCGGAAATCTGACTTTGTCGCTCACTAGAGTTGGGCGATTCTTATCAGCTGTGAGCTGATGCTGCCGACAATACTTCGTGGTTTGAAAGGTGGGAGAGGAAGAGTTTGATATATCCTCAATCCGTGATACTCGTTCGTTTTGTGTGTGTTACTCAAGTCCAGGATTTTCTAAACGAATACTTTCGCAATGGCTTCGCTTCAGAAGGGTTCGCCGCTTGATACGCTTCTAGAAATTGGAAGAACAAGCTCTGTACTGTCACCTGGGACAATTGGTCTATTTCTAACTCTTTTACTTTGGACTCTTTATGTAAGCACTCTGTGATCATCATTTCAGCAAGTTAATAAATCATAGAAACAAGCAACACAAGCACAAGTACCAAAGATTGCAAAGACTCCAGAAGCACCAGATACGCTTCCATTTGTAGGAAATCTCATGTCATTAGGAGGTCGACTCAACGAGAATGACTGCACCATCTACTCTCGATGGTCGAAGAAGCTCGGCAACGACATCTTCCAGATGCGTCTTGGTAGCGAACGAGCTCTTGTGGTCAACACATTTGCCAAGATCAAAGATCTCTGGGTTGGCCATTCCAACTATTTGATCGATAAGCCACAGCAACATGGCTTTGCCAAACTTCTAGAGTACGATTTATCTGGAGCAAACATGACAGAACCGATTCGTCGCTGCCGAAAAGCGGCCACCAGAGCTCTAGGCAAGCCACTTTGACCAACATACTACCACCTCCTAGAACCTTCGTCTGTGAGGCTAACGAAGGAACTTTTAACCAAAAGACAAACTCATCTAGACATCTACCCATACCTTCGCCAAATCGTCTTCGACCTAGCACTCTCGCTTACGTACGGCACCGTCTCCTCTGGCGTCGATGACGAATTCACTGACGCTCTTGTCGCATCCATAAATCAGATATCCTACTTTAGAGCCTCAACCCAAAGATTCCGTGACTACGTTCCCATGCTCCGACTCCTGGTCCCCAGCTTTGCAAGCGGGAATCTCGTTGCGTCTGCAGAAAAGGAACGCCAGAAGAGACTCGACGTTATCTATGCCGCGTTGAAGGAAAGGACCGCAGCCGGCGAACAGGCTGATTGCATTGTCAATGGGCTTGTGAAAGATAACCTCTCTGAAGGCGAGATTCACAGGACCTGTAAAGCGTTGCTTCAGGCTGCTCCGGACTCCACTGCGTCTTCTGTGTATCTTGTGATAGGCTGGTTTTCCACTCCTGAAGGGCGAGAATTCCAGGATTTGCTGTACAAGGAGATTTTAAAGGTGTACGGAGGCGATAGAGATAAGGAGTGGAAAATGGCTTTCCGAGAAGAAAGTGTCGAGCTGCTCGTATCGCTGTATAAAGAGACCCTCAGATTCTGGACAACGACCCCCTTTGCAGTGCCAAGGACGACGGTCAAAGATGTCAATTATGCGGGAACGACTATTCCGAAAGGAACAACGATGATCATGAGTGCTCAACAAGCAAATCATGATGAGGCCTGGCACGGAGATGATGCAAAGACATTTAAACCTGCTAGGTTTGTGGGCAACCCAACCAGTCTGCCACATTTGACTTTTGGTGCTGGGGCCAGAATATGTCCTGCGGCTGCGCTGAGTAATAGGATCATTTAGTAAGTTGCCTGACCGTTTTTTTTTTTCATTTCAGAAAAGAGTGTTCGCTAATTCTTGAATGGTGCTCTTGTTATGCGATTGGTTCTTGCATTCAAGATCCAGGAAGGTGGGAAGGATGCGAGGAAAGCCAATACCGACATGTTATGGTTCTCGGACGAATATAAAAGCCTCGTTGCGATCCCGAGAAGATTCGATTGCTGTTTTGTGGCGAGAGGTGAGAGGTGGGTAGAAAGTAAAGTCTGAGGGAGGTCAAGTCAGAAGCTCGAAGGTCAAGAATTCAGGTTCATCAGCATGAGTGAGTAATGTCTTGATATGAGGCTGTCTCAAGAAGCTGCTTTCAAATATTACAGCACCTTTGATCTGGTCGACGTCAGTCACCGTTCAATGCAGTGATGGAAGAACACGACCTACTTAATTTGACAACTTGACCTTTCATCACCATTAAGCATGCTTTTCCAGTCCTCTGGATCCTTCCATACTCCTTACGATCGATCATGCTTTGTGCATCTCATCAAGAGTTATTCAATTCATTCACAACCAGATCCTGCAACGGCCATGAAATCCAATTCTCCCACTCCTTCCCAAGGACACCATGTATGCTCTTCAGCAACCGCCGAGACATACCTCGCATACACCAAAAGTCGTCCACTTGGCCGAGGAGGAGACAGTAGTGTGCGAGTACGATCAGTGCCTCTGGTTGTCGCAGATTAATCATCGCAATAAAGACTTCTGATGCCATAATGGGCCATCTTAGGACCAGCCCAACAGCATCAACGTCCTTGCCACCGTAAAGAATCATGAGATATGCATCTTTCAACATCCGAAGAGATTCTTTTAAATCTTTTATCTGACTCTGGGTGAATGCGACTAAAGATGTTTTTGATTGCTTTGGGTCCCAGAGTCGTTCAAGATCGTCGAATTTGGCAGAACATTCCACAAGATCTTCTGCTTCCTCTTGAAGTTCATACTCAAGTGTAATTAGCATACACGCCAGTCCACCATCTATAAGCCAATGCCGGGAGACTTCAAGGAGAGGAATTATACCTCGCAAAAGATTGACCCATGCTATATGAGCATGCGTACCTTCGACTGCAGATTCTATAAAGAATAAATCTGCAGAATAGTCCAAAGAAACCCACGAAAAGATGGCTACGAATGTCGAAAAGGCAAAGCAGGCCTCGCAATTCTGACGAGTGACATTTGACATCGCTTGTCGATAAGTGTTGATAGCTTTGTCATAATGGCATGCTGCTGCAGCACGCATGATCTTCTTTTCCTCTGGTCGCTGGACCGAAAGGTGTAATGCAGAGAATGCGAGAAGGCCATGGAGCAAGAAGTCGTGCGAAAATGCTATTTGTGGTATGGTACACTGCCACATCTGCCGTGCTTCTGACCTCGGACTCAGATTTTGGCTGGTGACTGTGATGAAGAAATGGAATAGCTCTAAATCTCGCTTGTTGAATGTGGCAAGGGAACGATCTTGGGAGGGTCGGCCAAGGAAGTTGTGCAATACTCCTTGACTCGTGACAACGAAGTTCGGGGAAGTCGGAGTCGATTCTCCACTTGCGCTTAAGGACTTGTTCAACGCCCTTATTTTTGGTGGAAGGTATACGCAATGTGACGAGCGACTGAAACAATTCAAACAAGCTGGTTTTGCTTCATCGCACTGGAACAGCGTCAGTGTGGGCTTGAATTTTGCCCGCTTCTACTTTCTCGGGGGATTGAAGTCTCTGATTGGCGCGCCGTGGGACTGGATGGTGCAAGATCATGCAGACAATATCAAGCTCGTACCTTTATTCTCTTTCTTTTACATTCAGAGCATCCGTTTCGAGTCTTATGATGCGGCTTCCTTCGTTGAATCATCAATTGTTCCATGTTACGAATCGTGCATATGCAGTACCAGCCAATTGAGTTACACAGAAATGAAACCCGCCACCAAATAAAGCATTGGGAAAACTTTTGGATGGGCCCAGATGGACACTTATAGAATGTACGAAAGCAAACGAAATACGTATACGAAGAGCGGTCTGCACAGAAGCCCCGATAACTGCGCCACATAAGCTGACGGTTCGAGGAGCGAACACGCTTAGGTCGACTGGGTTGAAAGATAGGCAACAATATGTGTAAGCAGCAAGGGAGGGTAGCGGTGAACATCGCCAAATCAAGAAGCAGGAACCGTGATTCTACACAGGAATCAGGGCGACTGCGTTTGTTGAAATTAAGTAAAGCCATAATTCCAGGCATTCCAACACTAGAGATACGGTTCAATAATATCTCCTTCTCGCTCAACTATGATTAGAAATCATTAAGTTACGATCCTGCTAAGAAGTCTTTTCTCTCTGTGCTGCAGGTCAGATTAGACTTTAAGGTTTTTTCTCCGATTTCGATCTGCGTATGGCGCAGGGATGTACACACACGTGGGAAACTTACCACAGGTATCAAGGCCGGGACTTATCAAGAGCGGCAGTTACTAATTAACGCATACCTTAGTAAGACTGGTTATCTTGCTTCAATTTCCTCTACCCATCGTCCTCTACCAATAGAAGACTGTATCCACCCTCTCACCTGCACATTTCATCAGAAATTATTTCCCTCTGGCTCTTTGCGGCAGGTAGCATCTCTAAGTTTCGGACCTTCTTTGCTCGCGAAATCATGACTACCCTGGAGCGTATCTCTATCATAGTTCACCCCATGATAGTGTCGAAACATTCCATGGACATGAGCGACAATAAGTATAAGTCCATAGACCTGGAAGTTGTGGGCCATCACTTAAAAGTCCCAAAATCTCAGCTTTAATTACCCTGTCACAAGAAGAACACCGCACATTACTCTTTAATCTGTCGAGCAACAAACTATTTCAGCATGACTACCACATGCGCAGGTAACTCAGATCTGAACAGAGAGAGAACCTAAAGTTCAAGCTAATCTCTGATCAGCAACCCAACCCCACAACGGGAAGAAGTCAGTTTGGGATTTTTGCCCTTCGAAACCTGCCGCGTATCTATTTGTAGTCCTATTCGCTCTCACTACACTTGGACACTTGGTTCAAACCATCTACCACAGAAAGCCATATTGCTTTGTTCTTGTTATATCAGGTCTTTTACAGGTAGCGACCTTCGTCTTCAGGCTCATCAGCATAGAACATCCATCCAGCAGTGGTGCATATGCAGCATACTTTGTACTGATGGTATATTCCTAGCATGTCCGAGATAACAAACCATGCGCTGAAAAAGAATAGATTGCTCCTCTCTTTACAAATGCAGTGGTGTATATGGTGATGGGCAGAATGACTTGGAATTTCATCCCTGATGCGAAGTTGTACAATGTCACCGCGTGGAGATTCGGAACTTTGTTTGTCATCCTTGATATATTGTGCGTTCGGAACCTCTCTCAACATCAGAAACACTAATTGCAGTAGCGCGTTGTTCGTTCAATTATCGGGAGCCTCTTCTGCAGCCGGAGACAACAAAACCGATGCGCAAATTTTGAAGGGTCAGTTGCCCTAGAGCCAAATTGATAGAACTAACCGATCTCGTAGGCCTCCACATTTATATGGGTGGAGTTGCACTTCAGCAGATATTTATCTTCATCATCTTGTTCTTCGCCATAAAATTCCACCGACTTGTGCTACAGCAAACACGCGATGGAGCGGAGGGCATGCAGAAGGCCTTGATGCTACTGCAGATTTTATATGCTATCTTGGCATTGATCACCGTAAGTAATTCATCCTTGATATACACGCTCCAACTAAACTTGTTGCGTAGGTCAGAATCATTTTTCGACTTTTGGAATATGCAAATGGACTAAACAGCAGTATTCCGCAGCATGAAGTATGGCAATACTGCTTTGATAGTGCATTGATGTTCCTAGCACTTGTTCTGTTCAATATAGTTCATCCTGGTCGAATCATGTCGGGAAAGGAAAGCAATATCCCAAGTCGAAAGGAGAGAAAGTTGAAGGGACTCTGCAACAAGCCTGGGATCGGGAGATCCAGAGAAGATATCGTTCTTCAAGATACTTGACTCAAGTAGTTGGGGCATGGCAAAATGTATCAGTTTCAGATACCAGCTTCTTCACAGGAGTGAGCATGGATGGATAGTAAGATATGGAGGCTGGAACACAGTTAAAGAAAGGAAGAAGATCAGAGCAGTGAGATGTATTTGTAAATGGCTTTATTTTCAACATCATCGAACGAGCAGACTACAGTGTACCCCCTAATCATATGTTAGTTTCTTGCCACTCGATTATTCTATTTTGACTTGAAGAGGGGAGAACTTATGCCGCTTTAAAGTACTGAATCAGGGACGGACTTCGAATCTTGATACAAATTCTGCTTTTGCACTCTCTTCAAATTAAAGCAGCATGCCTCCATACTTTTGGCAAGCTAAAATATGATCAGGGGGTGCATTGTAGAGGTCACCCAGTTTGCGTGTTTAAAAGGGAACCGATAACCACATGTTTTTGGGATGAATCAAACCTCTAGGGAACTGTTCGTTGAGTACTTCATTCATATTGATGAACTAAAATCTTTGTAGGGTCAAGAGTCTCGAACTTTTTACACTATATAACGTCCAGAATGTCGCGCAGCACAGCTCTGCGCGCGCTCCATGCAAACATAACTGAGGGTGAGATGATTGAAGTTCACGTCATCTGTCGCACCAGATTGTGACTTTCGTGACTATGAGACATTCGAAACGACGTGCAGCTCTCAATAATTCCGTGAATACTCCTACGTTTGTGATGTCAAAGTCATTTAGATTAGTCTTATGCCAAACGCAGTAGAAAGCTCAAGCTGTTCGTGTCCTGCTACGAAAAGGTTGAGCTTGCACGAGACGTGATTTCTGCTCACTGCCCAGCAGACCCATCAAACCATTATTCCTCACAGCGTCCCTCTTTGTCACGACAAGGAAGCAAGGGTTATGGCAGGTCACTACGTGTGGCAGGTCAGTCAGTGACACTCCCGGAGGGAGTGGCCTGTGCGTAGCATAAGAAGGCCACGACCAGAGGTCAGGGGGACACGATTAACTCGTGACACCACGACAAAAATCAACCGAGCCTTTTTCTTTTTTTGAATTACTAAAATTTGAGAGTACCACCCCCTTATTGCGCAACTACAGTGCTCTAAATAATAAATCTAAATTAGTAACTTTATAAACGAACCTCATTCAAGTTAATTTATCTACTTTTTTAAAGGGGGCAGCCTTAATTGCGAAGTTGAGAGCTTATAAGGCTGCCACGCTTAAAAATGAAAGGCTGGAGGGGAAGTATTGATGCCTGAGGCTACAACAAAAGTGGTAAAATGCTCTGGCAGCCTTATAAGCTCTCACTCTCACTACACTTTCTACACTCTTTCAAATAAGTGATGCATTTACTAATTCAAGGGGCCTCTACAAAGTTACTAATTTAGATATTTAATTTAAAGCGTTGTGGTTGCGCAATAAAAGAGTGGTCATTCTTAGATTTTCATGATTCAAAAAAAAAAAAGTTTGGTTGGTTTTGCCGTGGTGTCACGAGTTATGCAATCTGCTGTAATAATTATTATTACGAAATAAATTTTATTGCGATAATATTAAAACCGTTTTCTGCCTATGCAATATTAAGACTATTTAATCATCCGACACCCGGTCTAACTCTCCATAGGTGTTGGGGACGACCACCCCTTGCATGGCCTGATGCCAATCGTCCTCGACCTCTTTCTGCACCTTGGCAAACTCCACAATTGTATGTTCTAACGTCTCGGCCACAAACTTTGCATCTTCTTGCAAAGCCTATATTGCTTTTTGTATTTGTTGGTAATACTTAACTTCCAACTTAAGCTAACTATTTTTTTTCGTTAGCTCATAGATCTTTTCGAATAGGCCCGGGATCATCGCCTTTTTTAATGCTTGTAAACGCTCGGGAGTTGTTTCGAGAGTTATTATTTTGCTTTAATAGCGTTTAATCTCGAGATCGACAATAATAGATGCTATTAGCTTATTTGCTTTCTTGCTTTGCTTTGAAGATTGAGTGATTAGGTGCATATTTTCGGATTTTAGGGCTGATAGTATAATATGAGGTGGTCTTTGGTGAAATTGGATGAGATACCTGGGTTGGGGCTAGAAGTAAAGTAAAACCCCAAATTTTTATGCTGAGGGATTGCATTTAAAATTCCCGGAGCTTAATCAGTCCTATATTCCATATCCTTTAAAGAAAACTGCCTATTTTTGGCAAAGAGCGCCGCTAATCTAGTAACGAAAATATACTTTTAACAAGGTATTCGGCAAGATATTAATCACAAAAGCAAATTACGCATTTGAAAATGTGTTTAATATAGATATACATCTTTTTCCGATTTCCCTATCAGGCTACGTGTTGGAATATTCTGTCTATAGACAGCTCAATTTCAAATTTCAGTGCTCGGCAGCTTTGGATGAGGCCTTCGGCGTCCTGGGCTTTCTTGGCTTTCTGGCTTGTCTCTGCTTCTTGCCTTGCCCAATTCCACCCGATCTATCCTGCGAGTGATGGGCGATAGAGAATGGGCATGACGATGACAAGTGCAGAAGAGCTTGGGCTTCCTGTCTCACTCTTTAATGGAGAAGTGAGGAAGGCTCGTCAACCAGTGTATGAGAGGACGGACTTCCTGGCGGACTCTTTTCACCCCGAATCCAGGAAGGCTCGCCTTGCTTCGCCGCGAGTTGGGCGCTCTCCTTCATAGATTCGATTACATCCTGATGGTGCTCGATCTCCTAACGAAACATCTCGTTCAATGTGAGGATCGTTTCTAACTCGGATTTGATCCCGCCCAACACCTCGCATACAGATTGATAGGCTCTAGCACATTTATTGTACCTATGTTGTTCTAGCTGTAGAAGCCAAAGCATGCTAAATTCATTGCTAATCCCTAATGGCGACTAAGCTGCTGCAAAGCGCCAAGGTTGCCGCGTTTCCACTCTTCAGAGCGTCTTCCACGGTGGGGCAATGCGGACTTGATCACAATTTGACACCAGCGAAGTGCTGCTTTATCCTTCCTTTGCTTTCCCCTTCCTTCATCAGAAAGGAAATGGGTGCGAGAACGCACAGCCGACCTCAACACCAATGGATTGTGTTACCATTCAGCTGGGAGAGGAAGTCTTGAACTGGCATAGATCGATTTGAGCTGGCCGACTTATATATGATCCACGTTGCAAATGAAGGCTGCGCTGTTTCCATTTCATCTCTCCCACTGCTTATTCCTCTCCTCCTTTACTACAATGAATGGGGATGGCTATTCTAAGCGACCAGCTCCTCGCCAAGACTATCCCCGTGAAAATGGCCCTTCCGATACTGGCTGGGTAGACGGAACCATTCATGGAGGACATGCTAGATATCGATACACACAGCAGCAGCAGTTCGAAGGCCCTCACTACCCCGCCGGTCGATCCATGCAGAGCAATGGGCAGTATGGGTCCCGTGGGAGACCTGCTTCCCAGCCTTATTCACAGAGTCACGGACGGAACCCGTCACGAACTGCGGAGGCTCTAGGTAGCCCCTTTGATAGCTTCAGGTCTCCTAACACACGCTAGCCCCACACCTCAGCCTAACCGTCCCGCCATCGACAACTTGCATTCACCTCTTCGGATCTGAAATCATACACCCTGCCCACAAAAGCCTCTACAACAAGCAATTATTCCTGCAATTGTCCTACTAAGACAACCCCCTCCACTTCATATTACTCTTTGCAATCAACTACCGAGTCTTGTAACGATACACACTCCCGACCATTAGGCTTTAACAATATTCTCGACTACCTTTGCCGCGGACACAGCGATATGCCGACTGGGCTTCGCGCGGCTTCACCTTCCGTCGATTCGGGCATTGCACTCCGAAAGTTCAAGAGAGAAATTGGAGAGAAGGAAGAAGATTGGGCATTGACAGATGCAACAGCAACTTGGGTCTTAAGCTTGATCGATAAAGGCCACATACGGCAGACATCTCTGCTTTCTCTCTCCGTGCAAACTTTATCATTTCGAATTGCTGAGTAATGCTTTTAACGTCATCATCCTTCTCTCTGTTGAAAAATGGTTGAGGGCATTCTTCCATGGCTGTTGCATGAAGAATTAGCATTGGATTAATCCGAAATACCTATAGGGATACTCGCCATAGGGTTTTGAGAAAGAGTTTAACAGATAAAAGGTATCGATGTAGTGCTACCTGAGGTCAGCCTTTACTTTTACTTGGGCTAGGTTGGACTTACGAGGATACTATTTTCTAGCTGTGAGGCAAAGACGTCGGTTTTGTGGAGTTCCTTCGAGCAATGTGCTACATTTGGAAATGTGTATAAGTGAAGATGGGAGGTCGTTGGAAGTTGCAGAAGAGAATACAACCCGTATTTTATTCAAAATAAATTAGACCACTTCTCTAAGTCCATGTTTCACTCCAGTCGAGCAAGCCTGACAGGGACCTGGGTTTGTAACGACCAAATGGCAATTAAAAACGATGCACCTTTCTTTGCCACCACGTACCTTGACTCTCGGTCTGGGTAGACAAGCGGAACTTGGAAGGGATAAGCGAAGGAGAGAAACGACCGCCTTTGCTTGTGAAAGAGGTGTTGGTATGGCGTGATCTTGAGCATGCATGGGGATGCATTGAAAAGAGTCGGGGAACGTACAGTTCTGGTGTCAAGTTTAAGCTGTTGTATTGGAGAAAAGAGTCGCTGAGCTTCGATGAGAAGCGGCGCTCAGCCCCTGGATCACTTCTTGGACCTCTTTGAACGCTTCGTCTCTCGCCTCGACTTCGATATCCCTTGAGGCTTCGCGCCCTTGACTGCTATTAACTTCTTCTTGGACGATGCGTGGCTGCGAGGGCTTGAAGGACTCGGCTTGCGTATGTTTGAAGGATATCGTGATGGAGGTGTATAAGGCGGAGCTGGTTCACCTCGTTTTGGGAGTATGCCAAATTGAGGTAGATGGCCGGCAATTCTTCGACTTTCTCGCTCCTTCTGGTATACTTTGGCTTGTCTCCTGCGAGGCTTCGGTACTTGCGCAGCACTATTGTCGGGCTTTGACTTATCCGGTTGGATGGAAAAAGGCTCTCCAATCGATATTGGCTTTGCGGCGTTCGATCTTTTAAGCTTGCTTACTTGGCGCGAGGATCGGCACGACCCACGCGAACGGCGTGAGGGAATTCTCGAAGTCTAGCCTGGAACACAAAAGAAAAAACTGGTTGGTGGCAGATGGAATTTTTTTCGTACTCGGACTTTGTCCGAATGATAGGTAATGGTGGAAAGGGGAATTGTGGAGCCGGAGCTGAAAGAATGGTTGAGCTGACAGTCAACTGCAGCGCATATGCATGGGAAACTAGCTATTGAATAGGCTCGCGGGTCGCGGGTCGGGGAAGAAAGGTGCCATAACCGGGCCGTCCGTCTTGCGCTAGAAGTGTCGAAGGATTTGAAGACTACTGCACTCGTGGTTCTGGAAAAGGATGGTATTCGAGATTTGAGTTGAGACATCGAAGCTATTGAGACAGCTGTCCGTACTGTCTATGTAGCGTAGTTGTCTGATCAGACAAAAATATACTTTCGCATATGCATCGATATTTGTAAGCATTCCGTACCAGACTTCCATCGCAGCGGTAACGAATAAATCCACGTGTTTGGTTCGGGGCAATATCTGCTGCGTCGTAAGATCTCACATCATCTTATCTCTCTATCATATCGAGCCGTTCGTATCTATCTATCTCAACGGAAACAGCGAATCAGAACCCCGTTCTAGCGAGAAGAGGGAGTTTATCCAGATATGTTTGTATGTTTGTACTTCCCATGAAGGGTGTTCATCTCTATTATAAATCTTATATATATACGCACGCTTTTCTATATACAAAATCATCGCCCGCCAAATCAATCAAGAAGCATGCATTTCATCAAGTCATGGCTCGCTCAAATATAAATATAGCAAAACGGCCCAGCAAGCGTACTCATCGCATCCTTGATCTGGATATCCACCGCGTTAACCCCCAGCGAAATGGTATCGGTCAAGGTCCCGTTCCTGCTGGGCGGACTGTTGTTCAGTGTGATGGTGCCCGCGATGGCGTTTTGGCGGTTCTTCAGGTCTTGGTTTTGCCAGATCCACCAGGTTCGGTCGATTTGCGCGTGGTGCAGGAAGAAGGCTGGGTCGCCGGGTGAGGTGAAGATGTCTCCGCCGGGGTCGCCGCCGATTGTGAACTTTTGGGGTGTTAGTTTTTTGTTTTGATGAAATAGAGAGCGAAGAGCTTGGCAATCCTGAGAGATGGAAGAGGGAAAGCTTACATGTCCTGCAGTGTGTACACCGTAGAAGCCCACAGAGAAATCGCCTTGCATTGTGGTTTGGAAAGATGCAATGTCGGTGTTTTGGGTGATGAGGTCGGTGGAGTTCTGGTCGGTGCTCCATTGTGAAGATACCCAGACGGAGACGTCGCGTTTGAGGCACCGAGGGTTATACGCTGAGCCTGCGCCTGTTGATACAACTTCAGGTTCTGCAAGAGTTGGAGCGACAGGGCCGAGGTTGACGGTCATGCTGGAAGAGAACTATAAGTACTGTGCTGAAGTGAGGATTTTGAAGAAGGGACTTACTTTTTGAATGGTCCGGTCTCAACACAACCACCACCTTGTCCTGGTGGAATGCAGTTCAACAGAGTGGGGAGAGCTTCAGTGCAGTTGTGTGCCTCATAGACACCATTGCCGGACATCGAATTGGCGGATCCATCGAAGACTGGTGAGTTGACTGGATCAAGAGCAGTCTTGCCCCAGTTCCAGTATGGTTGGTAGCCAGTGTAGCCGCACTCATTCCTGAGAGCTTGCTCATATGTCCAAGTGAAGTATCTGTGCCATGAAAGGAAATTCGTCTAGAGTGTGTCAGTATATCACACTAGGTTTGCGATCAGAGGTCAGAACGTACGGTTCCGTGGATGATCAGGGTTTGATTGATGTGAGTCCAGACGAAATCGTCATATCTGAGTAACAAGTCAGTACGAGAAGATTAGAATTTAAACAGTTCGTAGGGTAACGTCGTGTCCCAGAGGTCAGGGGCAGCAAGACTTGGTGCACATAGCGACAAACTAATACTGGAAATAGCCTGAATTGTCTTACCTCGTCTTGGCACCTGGAACAAGTGTCTGATTTGTCTTTGCTGGCTTGGACATCAAGCAGAGAACAGCATTGGTGTAAGCTTGTCTCTGGGAATTAGATAAGGTTGACCTTAATGATGATCAGCCCTGCAAGTTATGATAGGATTGATGACTTACCATTCTCTTCTCACAGCGACATTGGAAAGACTGCAGGTTCCTGCCTTTCCTTGCAGAGCGAGTTCGACCTCGTTTACAGCAAGGTTGAGCAGGCCCTGAGCGGCAAGAATGTCTGTTTGGATCGTGGAGGCGGGTGTGTACGCAGCTGCAGCAGAAGCCGCTATGACTGGCGCCCACACATTGAAGGATTGGAAACGCATCTTTCAACAGGAAAACCCTTACGTCGGGGAATTAAACCGTTGATATTCTTGTTAATCTGAAACGTAAATTTGAGAAGATTGTTGTGCCGTCTACTACTCCTGAGAAGTGCATGCAGGACAGAAGAACGTCCAGTATTTGAACCTCGTTCCTCCCCGGTCAACCTGTCGATATCAGAGAGGCGTGCCTGAAGGCTGCCGGATATTACTGCCATGCAGCGTTGGTCCTCGTAATACTATGGGGAATATTGGTGGACATCCAATCCACCTTCGAGCCAATAGTTCGGGACGGGACGGGCGTCGACTCCCACGAGTGAGAGAAGTCGAAGGAAGGCGAAAGGAAGGTGTGTCAAGGGTGAGGGAAGGGTCTGATTGATTCACGCGGTTGGATCGGGGGCCTTGATGTTGTGCTTCTAGCCATCTCGAGTAATACGGGTCCATCAGTTGTTCGGGGGCTGCCAATACCTGGTGAACATGGGTAAGCGAGCCGTGGGCCATGCAGAAGCCCTAACCCGTTGAGCCGGAATGAATGTAACTCTAGAGACGAAAGCATTCGAAGCACACTCCTTCTCGTCCTGCTAATTATCGACGGGGCGTTGTACAATTCAAATCTAGGCCTAAAGCCACTGGATATGTCAATGATCGGCAATTACAAAACGCAGTCAACCTGCTAATGTTCTCCGGTTTTCTTGGGATCAAGCGAAGTCGTCTCCCGCAAATCAGACGAAAGGGGACGGACGTGGCGTCAATGGGCCCCGGAGCTTTCCACTGGATTGCCCCCTAAGAACAGACACCCGGTTAGCTTGACAGCGGGCGGGACTACTGTAAAATACACTTTCTCCGACTTGAGGTTTAGGGTTAAAGTAGCTGCTGAGGTGGTGAAGGGAGGTTTTCACAGCTTGAGGAGTCCTCCCAAGATGTTGCAGAAGACTTCACTCTCGAGTCTCGACATCTTGTCGACTGCCTCGCTAGACCAGCATCTGGACCACATGGCATTGTCAGGGTCAATGAAACATTACCTGACGATAAGATTCAATTCAGGGACAGCGACAGTGCGATAATGGGATGTACTTACCCAGGTGTGTTTGAGGCGGTGCAATAGTCCAGCCGAGTAAGCCTGTCGTGATTGGCGCGTTAATCTGGCAGATTGCGGCCGAAGTTCCGGGTCCACGCGGATCTGTACCTTATTCTCACTTCAGCAAGAAAAGCCGTTGATCCCCAAACCTCGACCCCTTCCACCACGGCCACTAGAGCTCTTGGGGCAGGTACGGAGGTGTTTCCATGGGGTGATTGACGTCCCAGATATCCGAAGGACCTCGCAGCAACAACCATACTGTAAGTACCTAACCATGCTGGTCTGTTTGGGTCAGTCAGGTCTTTTCCCAGAGTCCCAGCAGATGCAGATGCAGATGCAGATGCAAACGCAAATGCTTCCATCCCAGCCATTCCAGCCCCTCCAGCCCCTCGAAGAGACACCTCGCTTAGGCCACACGTGGAACTGCGACAGGTACCTCGATCGATCCCAGATCATACTTACCTCCGTACAGTACTGTACAGTGGCACCATGCTACACCACGCCTGCGCCATTTCAAGCCAAGCGGAACTTGGTGGAGGAAGTGTACTTCCTTCCAGGTACTGCATCGACGGCCTGGCAAGTTTCAATGCAGCCAGTCCTGATCCTTCACCTGCTCCTCAATGCTGGCATTAACATTTCTCATCAGACCAGACATTGCAACATCGGGACCAACTCGCAGGATCTCGAAACTGTGGATTCGACCTGCTGCTGGCAATAACCGTGCTGTTTTCTGTGGATAGGTGGAACCGCCAGAACGGGCATGTCAAAAAGCCAAGACTGCTTAAACTTAAATCGAATCCTTCAAACTTTGTCCGTGGTGGGGCAGCTGAGATTCAGGAAGCAGAACCCTCTTTTGCACATCCCCCGATCTCCAGTCGTGCGGACCCACCTTCTCCGTCAAGATCCTTCTCAGAACAAAAGAAACATCGTCGAGGCGCGGGAAAGATGTTCTAGTGAACGGGAAAAACATATACCTTAAGCCAATGCCGACATGGAATAGATTGACAGAAAGGAGACGAACAAACGCCACGGAGTCGGTGGCTCATTTTCCGAATGAGTCTGAAGAACCGTGGGTGAATCGGTAAAAGCCCCTAGTAACTCGAGTCCTGGAATCGGAGAGCAAGGATCTGAACTTGAATGTTGATTGCGGCCACGAGTTCTTAATTTCATTCCATGCATTAGCGGTTTGCGAATTCTGTCACCCTTGAACTGAATTGACAGATGCGATAGGAGCAGAGTTATGGGGAACTGCTCGCTTGACTCGCTTCCGACCAAGCCGCTTCATCGTATCCGTACCGGAGCTGTTCAAGTGAACATTGCAGCAGACCATCGCTTGGAAGCCTCGGTAGCTAACGGGGTAGTGCCTTTCATCCTGTTTGTATTCGGCAAACTCCAAACCTGTGGCGCTATTGACTAGCCTTCCTGTGGACTCCTTGCATCACTATGTGCGATAGGTACCCTTTTCTGGGAAAGGTACCATCGTACCAGTTCCTGAATTGGTTGTCATCATGCACTTGCAGGAACTGGCGAGGAGGACCATCTGAAGCTTGCTATATTCCTCATACTATCCCTCACGGTTGCAGTGCTGATTCGGGTGCCAAGAATGCAAGTGACCTTCTTCCTCAGGAACATGTTCATCCCAGGCTCGTTCTTTCATCCCCTCGGTAGGCTCGGGTAGTATATAGAAACGACAGCCCCACAAAGTGACTTGTAGGGTTCTTCAGACGTTGAACGCAAGATCTCATCCGTGATCAACCTGTCAGGGTTTTACTTCTCACACGGTCCTCCCCTCCACCCTTATACATCTGGTCGATCGCAATCCTCAGTCTTGGTACACGATTAACGAGGGTTTTCAAAAGGAAAGATCAACCTACGCATGGACTTGTGAATATCCCATTATCAACGTCGATATGCCTTCGGTTTTCAGGTTGGATGATGTTGCAGAAACCTCGACAGATACATCGACGAACGCTCCTTCGATATTAGCTATCAATGGCTTCTTCTGTGGAATTACGGTGCTTGTGGTTGCAGCTAGAGTGTACGTTCGAGCGGTGATGTTGAAAACAATGGGCACAGATGATTATTTGATCACAGCAGCAACAGTAAGTGAAGACTTTTTGTTGTACTTACGCCAAGCGAAGTCAAATTTTGGAGCGAAGTCAAACCGCGGAATTGTCCGCGTACGGATCAGACTTTGACGCACTCACTTAGACATCATCAACTGCTCTGAAGCCCTCCTCCACAACACATCTTCAGAACAAGCTCAATTGCTTGTGCTTGAGTCAAATTTACTGATTCCTTCCTAGATATGCGGTGTCGGAGTTCTGATTTGCTTCATCGGAGAAACAAGCCACGGAGTAGGAATGCACATGTCGGCAATAAAACCAGCAGAGCTGGTCAAGATGCTCCATTGGCAATACTTCCACTCTTTAATCGTGACTGTCGGAATATCTCTCATCAAGTTATCTGTCGCTACGTTTTTGTTAAGGCTGGTGCCTGGCAAAGGATATAAGATATTTTTATACTGCATGATTGGTGAGTTTTGGCTAGATCGCTCTGAATGCACAAGCTGACAGTCATTTACAGCGTTTTTGGTTGCTTTTACATTATCTAGCGCTGGCGTAAGTGTCTCTACCATTTTCTCTACTGAAGAAAGGATCAAATGCTGCATATATTTTATCAAGGATTGGTCTAACGAGTGCTCAGACACTCATATTCTCTTGTATACCCATTCGAGCAAGCTGGGATGCAGCCGGCGAGCCCAACGCAAAATGCTTCAGCAATGCGACATTTACCGCAATCGGCATGTTCAACAGCTGTCAGTATTCCAAACACCTCTCTCACAACATTTCTGACCTGACTCATTCCAGGCGTAAACATCGTAACCGACGTCCTCTTTGCATCCCTCCCAATCCCCATGGTCTGGAACCTCCAAGTCAACATCCGCACCAGAATCTCCCTCATCGCCATCTTATCCCTCGGATACTTGTACGCCACCCCAAACCCCCCATCCCCCCTCTTTCCCTCTCTTCCACACTAACAAACCCCAAAGCGCCTGTGCCGCCTCGATCGTCAAAACCGTCATCCAATCCAACGTCCTCTCCAACCCAGACTCCACCCGCAACGACTCCTACTTCATCTGGAACAGCATCGAACTCTACGTCGGCATCCTGGCCGCCTCGCTGCCCTCGCTCCGCCCGCTCTTCCGCTCCATCCTCGAGACGACGCGGTCCCTGCGCACGCGCGGCATCACGTCCAGCGCCAATATGGGCGGCACGCGACATAAGTATTATATCCACGAGGATGGGATTGGGATGAATAGTCTGCAGAGCCAGAATAAGTTGGCGGGGGGAGGAGAGGCGAAGGCGCCGTACGATGTAAGGATTACGGGGGTGGAGAGCGGGAGTAATAAGAGCGAGGAGGAGATTGTGAAGGGGGATGGGGAGAGTAGTGAGGATGTGTGGCCGTTGCAGGGGATTAAGAAGACGGTCGATGTTACGGTTTCTTAGGGTGCGCGGTGGGGAAAAGTTGGGATGGGGATGGGATGTGTATTATGATTTATGGGAGTGTTTATTGTGTGTAAATAGGGTTTGGATGCGATTTGATACCAATATTTAAGTGTGGAGTTATATTTTTGCTGCCTTTCGGTCTTTCAAAGCGAATGAGTGTGAGATATGTTACGAATATTGGAATAGCTACCAAAGGAAGGTGAAGTGTCAAGGAGTCTTTGTCCCCAGCTAGAATAGCTCCGTCCCCATTTGTCGTTTGGCCACAAGTGTGGAGCTCAGTCACATCTCGGTGCTTCGATGTTGGTGCGCATTTCGCAATCCATCCACTCATTTCCAGGGTACTTGGTAATCGGAGGCCTTTTCGCATTTTCCCCCCTCGGTTCCTTCGTCGTTTTTCCAATACCATATCATGCTGTCTCGCCACCCCAACAACACAGTCTGCTTGCATACGTTCCAGTCTTCGGTCCAAGGACGTAGTTCCGGGAAGCGTCCTTTGAGGAACGGAAGCATGGTTTCGTGAAGGTAGGTCCGATCAAACTCGAGGTCACGCCTATTATCAAAATGCCCTCCCGGTACATCAAACTCTGCTTCAGCGACCCAATATTGGACCTGTTGTACCATGATGAGCTCTCGAAGGGCCTTGAGCCCTTCCACGGATCTCTGGATGAGTTTCGAAAAGTTCTTGTCTTTCAGGTAGCTTCCGCAGCCTGGCCTCACACCATCACTATCGTAATCCAGGGCAAGGTAGCGGAGTTTTGTCGTTTCTTCGTTGTTCAAAATGCTGAAGAAGAGTGGAGATACCTTGTAGAAATCCTCGTCCAGGTATAACGTGTCCAGACTAAAGTTGAAGCGAATCCTGGGATGGTACCAAACAGACCCGAAAGACAGCGGATAGAATAACAAAACAGCGTTTCTCGAGTCCTGGCAGACTTCCAGAGCAACAGGTGTTCGGGTGATAGTGTAGAAACATTTCTCCTTTTTGAGTTCTGGTGCCCCTGAATGCGTGGGGTTTGTTTCGCAGGAGTTGTAGAGAACAATCGACTCCGAATACGGCCGCCAAGGTGGACCTCCACAATCAAATTTGACCTCGACGACTCGCGGTGCAAGGCTCCACTTCCCTGTATAACACCAAAGTTAGTGTTTGCTTGATTCCACCATGAGGTTTTTAGAGAACAGAGAGCACTGAGGTTAGGAAACGCGGAGACTCACAAATCATCCTCTTGATTTCTTCAGGGAATCGTGGGAAACATGTAAACTTCCGGACCTCCCCTTCGGAATCTGCTTGATGTTGATTCATGAGAGCTCTTCAAGGCTAGGACTTGGATATGATGAAGGACGCACAGAAGAACACACAGAGGAACGCGACGAAAGATGGAAAGAAGAAGAACAGCTTCAGAAGAACAGAAGAAAGACATCTTTGTCGCGTCCTCACATGAAGAGACCCTTGGTCATCGCAGGCTGTCGTACAAACTGTCATAGGATCGATTCGCGATTTGGGCGTCTGCAGCTTCCCCTCGAGATCAAGGCAGCGACTCCTCAAAAAGCAAAAGAGGCGTGGATGCCTGATGCAAAAGCCCTTTTGTGGTGTTTCAGCAATTGCTATAATTCGATGCGTCGTTGTGATCATGTTGGTTCTATCCAGGTGCACAAAGCCATTCATCCTTCTTCATCTCCTCGGGCGTTGACATGTGTTCCAGGCTCCCTTCAGGCCTCAGGACGGGGCGTGCGCTCGGAGCTTTAGTAGGGTTTGCCCCTACCCGTCAAGTAGATACCCGCCCGGGATTTTGAAAGCTTCCGAGTAAGAGTGTCTCACTCGGAAAAAAGCTAATAGAATCCCAAAGGTCTCAAAGAAAGAATGGGGAGTACACGATATTTGTATAAAACCAAGAAAAAGGTAGCACACAATGTGTTGTAAAAACCTAGGTACACCCAAGAATGTACCTTATCCGCAAAAACTCAACACGGGTGTACCCGCCCGCTCTGTACCTATATACAACCTGGGTGTGGGGCGCACCCCGGCGACAAGTTTGCAAGAAATATGATGTATCTCTGTGCATGCACATGTACATCCGCCAATTCATCATCCCCGAATCGAACTTCTCAATTCCTCCGAGTCCCCCTTTTTTTTTTCTCCAATTCATCAATTAGCAACCTGTTCCGCGCCATCAAATGCACCTTCAGCACCATTATCGTCTCAAAACCACTTCCCTCCCAACGTCCCTACCATTTCCACTCAATCGGCTCGCATCCACCCAAAAGGGTGGTTCCCTGCAAAAGATCGCTCTTTAGCCAACGTCGATCGCACGCGAGAGTAATCGCTGATGCAGCTGTGCAGATGATTCGGCTAGAGTGACGAATTGCCGGGTCGGGCATCAAAGTCTCCTTTTTTACGTCAATGTGATCTGCGAGGAAATGGTGCAGGGGATGTTGAGCCGAGGGCTGGAAGTTTGCAGATGAAATCGAAAGGGGGTGATGATGTTGTATGTGAGGCATATCTGCGGTCATAACTGGAAGGAGAGAGTTTGAGGCTACAGAATGATGTCGATGAATCGGTTAGCTGCAATGACAGGTACGAAACAGAAGACAGAATTTCACGGAGTCAAATGGAACAATGTGTTAGAGACACAATCTCTCTTGCATTCTTTGTGCATGCTATGTAGGTACAATGAAGTAGGATCAGTTATCTTTTAGAGAGGGGAGATCCATCCAGTATCATCAATAATGTATCAGTATCTATTTCACAGGCCCTCGCCATGAAATGCAGCAATTTTTCGCATCTTGCATACGCCGCCCAATGCCACGCAATGAAAAAGCGGTATCAGATCTCCATCCATCGTACATAATAAATCAACAATGCTTGTTTGCTTGTATTCCTTCACTCCCACCCCAAATGCATCTAGACGCAGAATCACACCTCCTAGTATCCTCTATCTGCGAGGTCTCTTAGAGTCACGTCCTCGCTCCATGCCTTCGTCGCTGTGTCTCTTGCGTCCACCATCTTCTCTGGTTCCACGAGTGTCACGTCTCTCATCACCTCGAGTCTCTCCTCTCAAATCTCTGCTTCGTCCACTCGGTCCTCTCTCAGAACCACCACGCTCGCCTCCCCAACCTGCTTCATGGGGATCACGAATGTCGTCTCTCTCACGTCCCTCACGACCATCGCGTCTTCCTTCGTTTCGATCACGGTCTCTCTCCCGCTCACGGTCTCGTCCATTGTCTCTACCGCCTGGTCCATCTCTGCCAGAACCCGAATCTCTTGGTGGCGAAGATCTGGGTTGATGTCTCTCCTTGTCAACATCTCCACGTTCTCCTCGAGGACGATCAGTACGATCACGGTATTCGTTCCTCAAACGATCGTCTTCGGGGCCACGCTTAGCATCTCTCTCGCGCACAGGACTTCTCGAGCTTCGGCGACTGTGACGGCCAGAACGCTCTCTACGTCCATTGCGATCTCTATCTCTCTCATCAACGGGGGCAACGCTGCTCGGAATCAGATCGGCACGATCAGAGTTGTTGATAAGATCTCTGCCAACCTCTCTAGCGGGTGGTGGTCCAGGAGGTGGTGGTGGCGGAATCGAAGGAGTTGAAGGACCAGAAATCGGGGTATCAGGTCCGATTCCAGAGCCCATTCGCCCACCACGTCCGCGGGTATTTACGCGATCAGGTCCATGTTGGGCCTGTTGTAGCATGGTGTTGATGCCAGCAAGCTGACGTCTACCTCCTCGAGCTGCACGTTCGGTCGCAGAAGCTGGGCCTGTAGGTGCAGCAAAACCATTCTGTGGAATTGTTGGGCTTGACTGAGACCCCTTGGGCCCGGAAGGAGGACCTGCAGCCGTGACGACAGGGGGGACATGTGGTCTTGCATGATCATTGCCTGCCTGTCTCGGTGGCTGAGGCTTGATCGGAGTTTCGTGGGGGTTAGCGAGTGCTCGCAACCGCTCTGGATGGATCGGAGGTGTAGCAGCCGGGCTTGCAGGTTGAAGTGCTGCGAGGCGATCTGGATGGATGCTGGTAGCAGGTGAAGCGGTAACCGGTGTGTTTGGTGCGGAGGTGCCTGTCGTAGAGGTGGGATCATACTGACCAGATGCTGTGCGTCTCGGGTGACGATTTACTGACGGACCAGTCGGAGGCTGCTTGTCTGGGCTTGGTGGACGAGGAATATCAGCTTGCGCAGGGGCTCTGCCAGTCTGACGAGAAGTAGGAGCGTTGGTAGGGCGATTGCCACGAGAATTTCGATCACGAGGACCTGACGGTATATCAGATACAGGGGCAGGGTTCAGCCGACCAAAGTTTGGATCTGCTTGCTGTCTGGGGTTTGCGTTCAGTCGTCCATGGTCCAGATCCATGTTTCTGGGTAAGGGTTGAGAAGGTTGGAAGGCTGATCTATCATTTGGGGCGGCGCGGTCTCTGTCAGCTGCTCTGTCGCTGCGAGGACCCGCAGGCGGGGGCTGAGAATCATCACCACGGCCGCGTGAGCTCGAGTAAGGTTCTACGGGAAGATTTCGGCCTCCTCTGTCATCTCGTCGAGAATCAAAGTGATCCTTTTCGGAAGGGTGTCTTCGGGGTGACTGAGGTCTCGAGCCTCTATCGCGTGTATCTTCTCTTCCACGTCGAGGTGACTCTGAGCGGCTAACTTCTTTCTCGCCAGAGATTAAAGCAGCTCTCTCGGGATTAATGAGTTCTTGTCTATCAGTATTGACAGGCGGCACTCTTTCGGTGTTTGCTGCAGGTCCACGATCTGAAGACGATCTCGGTGGCGGCATATCGCGGGATAGGCGACCATCATTTGAAGGTCGAGCGCCATTGGTGAATCTATCGTGATTGTCACGACTGGGCTCTCCTGTCCAACGAGGGGGTGGGTCTGGCCGAATGCGCTCACGCTCAGGACCAAGACCTCTATCAGAAGGTCGATTCAAGTCCCTGGGAGCTGGTTCGACACCTCGTCTATCATTACTGGAATACTCTCGGGGTCTGTCTCCTGGTCGGTTGCTAGACCTATCCATTCCTCGAGGATCTGACAGACGTGAGTCTCTGCCGTCTCTTCTCTCGCCATGGCGCGGAGGATGTCTATCCATCAAATCTCGACTCGGGAACGGAGCGTCAGGCCTATTTGGAAGACTTGGGCTTGCTCGGTCAAGTGTAGAATTTCTGGAGTCTGGTCGTGGTGGGATATTGGCATGGGATTGTGGCTGCGTAGAAACGAGCTTTGCCGCATTCTCACGCTTGATCTGCTCTCTTCGATCCAAAATTTCTGACTTTTTCGGCTCGAGTGTCGGGCGGGGGACATCGGCCTTAGGATCAACGGATTTGTTGATGGCGTTGGTGGATGACGTAGCAGTGGGAGCAGAGCCCTTTGCATCATCAACTTCACCATCTTCAACTTCCATGGTATGAGTGACTTTCGGAGTAGCTACACCAACAGAACTAAGATAGTTAGCAAGTTACAGAAGGCATTGTTTATTGGGTGTCTTACCTTGCTCGAGATTGAGGTTTAAACTCTTGGGCAGTGGGCTTTAGAGTAGATTTAGGGACAGCCGCCGGTACAGATTTTGGATTTGTCTGTGCTCCATTGGTTTGCGTTGGTGGGATCTGTACGTCGTTAGCCTTCTTACTCATGAGGTTATGATTTGATGTCACTTACCGCACTGTGGAATGCCTGTACCATAACCCATTTACTCGATGCCAATCTCAATGTGACCAACACTGCGTTTGCCGCTAATGCAAGATCTTCACGTACGCCCTTCTCGCGCTTAGCAATGACCTCTAACTGCTTGATAAAGGCATGGCCCATGAAGTCAACTGCCGGGTAAACGTTGACAACTGTTTTCAAGATTGTGAGAGCATTGCGGACATGCATCCACTCAGTGCCCTCCAAACAATCGCGAATTGCCGAATTCAGGTTCTTGTGCCACATGTAGAGAATGTTGCGGAAGCCTTTCTCACCGTCATGTTCTAGAAAAGCCTTTGGCTTGCCTTCTTCATCCAAAGCTTTCGCAAAGCCAGACAATTTTTGAGTTGCCAGACCCAAAGCTTCCTTCTGATATAATGCAATATCCTCGTGCCATCGAGCTAGGTCTTGAAGTGCAAGGCGAATGAATCGTCCTAGATTTTCGGCCTCTCTGACTGTACAAGTGAAGATGAGAGTCCGGAGACGATTTGTCCTGAAAAAGCGAGCGTAGAGCGAGAGTGTTCGAAAATGGGGGACTCCATTATCATGGAGAAATCTAACCATCTTGAAGCAGTATTCTGCGTCGATTGGGGAGAGGACGAGACGAGGAATCAAACACTTCTCCAAAAGGGTGTCGCTAATATCATCACCCCTGGCGGCTGACAAGAACCAGCTGGCTTTGTCTTTAAGCAGACGCTGTTTTCGCATACTTGCACCACCAACAAGCTTCTTCATTTCCAGAAATACAGCCTCACGAACATCAGAGATGGCCTTTCTCTTAGCCTTCTCCTCTTCTCTCGCATGAGCTGAAGATCGAGACGAGGATGATGAGATTGTGACTTCTTTCTCCTTTTGGATAAGACTCTCAACAGCTAAGTCATAGCTTGGTTGAGGGACGACGAGATCATTAAGCGCAGATGTCCAAAAGGTTGCGTAGAACTCGGGACTGATAGTTTCGAAAGTGCTCTCTGGGAGAATGCTTCTAACAATCCCGATAATAGCGCTCATCGTGTTTCCGGAAGGGACAACCGGTGATTGGGGTGGTTCCGAACCAGATGTTGAGCGAGTAGGTAAATCTTCTTTTACATCTGTCATTGGTGTGTCTTCCTTCGTGATACCATTGATCAAATTGGCGTCCGGCGTGCCATGATCGCCGTTTACCAATGCAGCTTCTTCGCCTCCCATCTTGACATCACCGTCAGCATCTGCAATTTCTTCGGGTGGCGTGAGAGCCTTCACAACTCCATTCGGAGCTGCCTTTGGTGAGTGGGACTTGTTGTATGCCACGCTCACTCGACCAATCATAAATGCAAGCCCTGGCTCTAGACCAAAGTCCTTTAGTAGCTCTGGAATTCCAGGCACGTTCTCGTCAAAGTCTTCGACAGAGAGGTTACTGCGCAGGAAATCAAGGTACTGGGACAAGATGGCCTGGGTATCATCCACCATGGTTGCCAGGAGCTTGATGTGGGCATCCTCGTCGGATATCTTGTAGATAGCGGATTGTCTATGTTGGGCAATCTGAATGAGTAATTCGCCAGCGAGCTTATTATCTGTCAAAGTTCGCAACAGTCGTTTGCCGGTTTTTAAGCATTCGTAGCGCTTGTCCTGAAGTTCCATGAGTGTGAACTTTCTTAATGTCTCGCCTCCAGTCATCGCGATAATAGATAAATCGCCGTAGTCGGTACTTGGAAGCACACCCGCCATTTGAGTGATAAGTTCCTTCAGAATGACTAAGTCCGTGGCATTGACTCGAAAAAGTTGATCATTGACATATTTGAGGACTGGTGAGAGGTTCATAAGGCCGTAGCGTTTGAATACTTTGCCTGAGAAAGTCGACAATGCCAGCAACCACTTGCTTGGAAGCAGAGCGAATTCCGCGTTGGTTCGCTTTCTGTTCTTTCCGCCAAGGGCAACCAAAAGGGACCAGACCAAGACATCAAACCCCAGATCAGAAAAGTATTTAGCACACTCCACAACGACTTCCGTCAAGTTATTGTATGCTTCAATCTGACCCAGAGCCACTTCGAAGACAATTCCTGGTGAAGAATAACTTGCCTTTGCAAGAGTTCGCGCCATGCTCGGAATGTTGTTCTTACTGATACGCTTCATTGTGGCGTTTGTTTCGGCTCTGGTTCGGGTGAAGACTGACATGATTGCTGGCAGTCTGGATGTTGCACCTTGGAACCACTCGCCATAGATTGAGTATCTAACAGAAAGTGGGTAGAATCTGAGGAGGTCCCATATCTCATTGGCGATCTGAGTGTTGCCCTTCGTCACGCTAAGAGCTGGCACAAGTAATCTCTTGAGAAGGCCTTCCCATCTGGTCAGATTTTGCGGGGAGTGGTCATCGGCAAGATTCTTAAGACCAATTCGAGCCAGCTTAGACAGGAGAGCAGCATCTTTTCCAACAGCAGGCCCAACGAAATTGAGGAAAGTATCGCAAAGCGTGAACATGTCATCCACATTTTGACAGACAGGAACATTGTCAGCCCACTCATCCCAGTAGAAGCGGTAAGAAGTGCTTTCATTGGTGTCGAATTTTTCGGGAAAAGGCCACCTCAATTGCTTCTTGGAAGGAACTTCTGTAAGTCGTACTTGGCCCTTGGGCATACCGCTCTGGTCAACATCTGCGACTCTCTTGGTAGTGAAAGCCTTATTGAGAGTCGCTGTAGGTTGGACTGTTCTGTAAACTTGGTCGATGGAGTGGTGTAAGATGCGATTAATGAGATCGACAAGATCGGGGTATGCTTCTGTAAGCCATGGGAATCGACCAAGAATGTACATTGCTTCCGGAATAGCGCCAATTGTCAAGAGACAGGTTAAAAGTTGGACCTTTTGGTCACTTGGCTCGTCAAGTTTGTCTTTGTCCTCAACTTCGGGTGCAAGCTTTGCGGCTGGCTCGGCTTTGGCCGGTGCTGCTTCTCGAGCTCTGGTTGTAGGAACAGAATCATCTGTCAGTGCACCAGCCCTAGTAAGAGCGTTATCGCCTCCACTTCGTGCAGCCTTCTCCTCCTCCGCCAATTTCTTCATCCTAGACTCTCTCAAAGCTGGCATATCTTGGTCCAAGGGCCACAGATGTGGATGAAGATCCCTTAACGAGATAAAGCCAATCTTGATCAACAAAGCCGCCAGGTAGATCAGATTTGCTGGAAGCACATCTTCTTTATCACGAGCCTCAGATGCATAGAATCTTAATTTGAATCCGAGCAACTGAGCTGCAACTCGATTTCCTGATGGTGGTAGGGTTCCAGTAGCTTCAATCCATGCTCGGTCTGCATCGAGATCTGCGTCACCACTGCCTCTCGCCTTCAGGAGTCTCTGCTTTATCTCATCGCCAATGATAGGTGTACTTCCCAGTTCGAAGAACGCATCCAGACCAATCTTCCGAGCTCGGTCCCAAAAGAGAAGGTCTCTCTCTAGGCGCTTATCTTTCGACAATGCTTCATCTTCTTCGGTAGGCATCCATCCAGGAGAACTAGGAAGGGCCCATCTTGGAAGACCTCCATGTCTCATGCTGCTATCCAATTCTCCATTTCTAGGCCACCAGGAGCTGATTCGAAGGAATTTGACGAAAAATCGGAAATGCTTAACGAGTACAGCTGCGAACACGTCGAGTGTAATGTCAAGGACTCTACCAACATCCAAGTCAAATGTGCCGATCAGAGCCTTGACTCTTTCAAACGTCTCCTCAACATATTCCTTCGATGGGGGTTCGCCACCACTCGTAGTGAATAGCTCCGTGACGAGTTTCGAATAACCTTCCGACTCCTCACGTAATAGATTGTAATTGGCTTGTCGGTATAGAAGATTCGTAGCTTGCCGAACGCCAACGCGGATGAAGGTGTCACGAGTTAAGCCAAGATCTTGAAGCATCTTCGCATCAAGCTTTTCTCGCATGGAAGTTGCAGATACACCTGTTGCAAGGCAGAAACTTCGAAGGAGTTGACTGGTCGGAGAGGGATCTTCAGCTTCGTACATGATCGATATTTGGTCCAGGAAAATGGTATGTGGGTCGAAAGAACCACTGGGCTCTGCCTCAGAAAAGAGCTGTGGTCCAAGAATCTCTTTCAAGCAGGAACCAGCATCCAACGCATCAAGTTGACCATCCCAAGTTGCACGGACAATCTCTTGAATCACACAGGAGAGATCCATTGGGTCCTCATCCTGACGTGCCTGCGAGCCTCTTGCAATAACCTCTGTACGACCAGTTGCCTCCCACGCGGCCATTCGTTCTTCGGTGAGGAATTCATAGTAGTATGGTGCTGGCTCTCGCTTCGCAACCGGACTGGGTAGATCGATTGTAGGTGTAGGGGTTTGCGTAGGAGTTGCTGCTGCACTAGAAGGTCGAGGAGGAGGAGACATAGGTCCAGGTGTAGGAGTAGCTCTACCAGCTCCGCTCAGGTTCAGCTTATTAGGATTGTCGCGACCGTCATTTCTTCGTCCTCCGCGGCCACCAGCGCCTCCCTGTCCGCCACGGCTCGATCTTCTTTGTCCTTCACGCATATCTCCTCCTCGATCATGCTGTGCCAGAGCGGCGTTTTGCGGTCGATGAGGGGATGGTCGATTGTCACCGCCATCCACCGATGCGCGGTCGTTTCTCTTGCGTTTGGGTGCCATATGCACTGTGATCTGAGGTAGTTCCTCAATCTCGGCGCATAAGGAATTAAAGGTAAGGTAAGGTTGAAAGCTTGCCAGCGAACGTGATGAAGTGGTGTTCAAGAATCAATGGAAAGAAATTTGCGATGTTGATCGTTGAGTGTCATCAGGTGTTGCTGGTTGACGAAAGATCGCAAGTAAGAAAAATTATTTGTAGGAAGGAACTCTGCCGAGCTGCTCGACGGCTTGGACTTCAACTTCACGAAGCTTTCCATTCACCTTCAAGATAATACGGCGTCCGCTCGCGTCTGCGGCGTTAGCGGCCCAACTTTAATCCGGCAAGTCCATGGGCCACGCTAGCATCAGCCACACAAGGCTGAGAGGCTTTAAACTGCCGAAACAAACTGCGATTTCGGGGCAGAAATCTGACTGGATACTGATGACGTTTTTTCTGGATGAATCATTCCTATCAAAATCATTTTTACAGTCTCAGATGTTTCAAACCACTCTCCAAACAACACGATGACCGATTCTGTGCCCAATGGTACAACAGATGCTTCTGTTGCACGATATGGTCAGTTGTGCCACTAATCCCCCACTCAAAGAAGAATTGGTACTGAATACGTCCAAGAAAGAACGCATCAACAGCCCGAAAACCCTTTCGCAGCCTTGATACCAGATCAGACTATCGCGATTATTCCTTCCTTCACTCTCGAATCGGGCGTAACACTTCACAATGTACCCTTAGCATACAGCACGAGAGGCAAGCTTTCACCAAATCACGATAATGCCATGGTAATTTGCCATGCATTGACTGGCAGTGCGGATGTTAGTGATTGGTGGGGTCCTCTACTTGGAGGTCCAGGACGTGCATTTGATATCTCGAGGTTCTTTGTCATTTGCATGAACAGTCTAGGCAGTCCTTATGGAAGTGCTAGTCCTGTTACATGTAAAGATGGGAACCCGAAGAATGAAAGATACGGCCCCGAATTTCCATTGACGACTATACGAGACGATGTGAAGTATGTATGAGATTGTTCCTTCAAGGTCACAAGCTAACACTTTTTTTTAGCTTTCATAAGCTTCTTCTTGACGATTTGGGTGTACGACAGGTGGCCGCGGTCGTTGGAGGCTCCATGGGCGGCATGCTTGTTTTAGAATGGGCATATTTTGGGAAAGATTATGTCAGGTCAATCGTTCCAATAGCTACTTCAAGCCGACACTCTGCATGGGGAATCAGTTGGGGTGAAGCACAAAGACAAAGCATTTACGCGGATCCAAAGTACGACGATGGATACTACCCCTTTTCGGACCCTCCTTCAACGGGTCTCGGAGCAGCACGCATGTCAGCTCTTCTTACATACAGAAGCCGAAACTCCTTTGAAGCCAGGTTCGGAAGAAACATTCCAGATGCATCAAAGAAACAGACCATTAGCGATAACCAAAATCCTTCCGGAGTTCATCTCGCTATCCATAATGACGGGCACCGTTCAAAGCGTTCTCCACTTTCCAGGCCCGGAAGCACAACGTCTATTCCCCAGAAGAGCCAAAACTCAACCGTTACTACTGGCACCTCAACTCCGGCAAGTAATCCTGCGGATTTTACAGACCCTCAGTTCCATGGTGCTACAAGTGACGCATCACTTACGCCGCCTCCATCCGCCAACGGCAGGAAACCTACGTCGACCTATTTCTCGGCACAATCATACCTCCGCTATCAAGGCGAGAAATTCGTCAAGCGATTCGATGGTAATTGCTACATAGCCATAACACGCAAACTCGATACCCACGATGTCTCACGGTATCGCGTTTCCAATGACTCACAGGACCCCATCGCCGATGCCCTGTCCCAGATTACTCAGCCTACACTTGTTCTTGGCATCGAATCGGATGGCTTATTCACATTCGATGAGCAGAAGGAGCTCGCAGCTGGTATTCCCAACGCAACATTGAAGAAGATTGATAGTCCAGAGGGACACGACGCCTTCTTGTTGCAATTCGAGCAAGTCAATAGACATATTTTGGACTTCCTGACGGATGTGCTACCGGATATCATGGGAGTTCCAGGTAGCGAGGATATAGCTGTAGAGGACGGAGTCGGAGCTGTCACGAAAAATAGCACTTTCGGTGAGGCGGAGGTAGATGATATTACCGCTTGGTGAGGATGCGAAGCATCACCTTGTTTAAAAAAGCCTCCAGATGGAAAGGCCAGGATACCCAATTCAAAGACTTGCAGACCAGACATGCAATGAACAATCGTACTGCACAAAGACTAGTCAATGCTATAACTGTGCTATCTCTTCCCTTCCGATCCGAAGCAATATCCCCAGCCCATCTTCTTCCGGCTCTATCGCATCAAAGTCCCAGACTCTCTCTAACAAACTAGAGACCAGTTTTACACCTCCACACCCACTTTTTTTCTTAATGTTCTCCATTCTCTCCCTAACTACAGTCTCGCAACTTTCCTGCCCCTTTCCTGCAGCCCCAATGATGAGCAACGGCCAAGTGTAATAATCCATATTAAGCGCACATTCAATATATGAGCCCATCTCCCCGATTACACCAGCAGCTTCAGCAACCAAATCCAGAATCTCGCTCTGCTCCCGATTCCCCAGAAGTCTCGCAAGCAGTAGCTCAATAGATAAGACGTACAACCGTACCCCAAGCATAAAATTAGTATCCAGCTCATTTTCCTCACTATCAATGTCACCCATAGACCCCTCTCTCCACTCAAAGAACCTCGATTCCAGCCCCTTCGCTTCTTCCATCTCCACTGATTCTTGAAAACACAACCTCGAAACCTCCACAACCAAGAAATAAAGCTCGGGACTAACGCCCAATAACGGAGATTCCATACTTTTCTCACCAGGAAAAAGTTCTAGATGTTTTGAGACGACATCAGACGAGACATCGCAAGATTCGTGCATAAGCATCGAGATCGCGGATGTGTTGCAGAGGATAGATTCGGCGATCAACCGCTCGAATGAGGGATCTGGGATTAAATCTTGTTTCTTAAAGGAGAGTTGACGGGAATGCAGGAGGTGGGAAGCTGCTTCGAGGTGTTTTTTGATGGAGGGGATGTCGTCGAAGAACCAGATCTGTCGAACTCTGGTCAGATGATTAATTCGGGAGAGAAGAGGGAGGAGTGGAGAGTACCTCAACGAGATAAGCAAGCACCAACACCATAATAAGCCAATCCTCCGTCCCTTTCAGCAACTTCTTCTCCAACTGCTCGCGAGTAGCGGATACAGCTTGAGAATAGTATTCGATCCCCGTAAGGCGATACGCGGGATACAAGCACGAGAGATGGACTGCTGAAACGGCAAGCAAGGCGTGCATAAGACTCGAATGCTGGAGAGCTCCATGAACGAACCAGTCGCTGGTGAGGTATATGGGGTGGACGTGTGAGCGGAACATTAGAGGTTGGAGCGCGGAACGGAAGTAGTCGAAGAGGGTGCGGGCTTTTGGGGCTTGAAGGGTATTCACGCCCCAGTCGTCCCAGATGCATTCGAGGGAGGAGGGGGTTGGAGATGAAGGGTCTGGAGAGGGATCTGCTCTGGTGTCTGGGATTTTATGGTTTGGTTGTGACGATGGGGATTTTGTGCTGGGCCAAATACAGGCGAATCCATTGCGAGAACAGGCAGAACAAATTGGTCTTGATTCGTCACATTTCTTTCTCCTCTCTCGACCTGTGCTTAATTTAAACTTATATTCTCGTTTTTGATGGAGGTTATGCTGACATTTGAAGCATCCCGTCTTTGTCCTGAGCCTTGGTGGCGGCCTTCTCCGGAAGGGAGATGAAGTGGTCACCTCCTGCATTGTTTCGATTAGATAACAGCGTGCATTTCTGATGAGGTTTTTCCTAGACAGGACCCCACCAAGAAGATAAGTGCATCATGCGAAGAACGTTGAAGACGTTGGTGTCAAGATGCAGTAAGCAGATGCGGGATAAAATGTCCTTCGCGGGGCAAAGGTGGGGCAGAAGAGCTACGTTTCGCTAAATCAAGGGGGTCGCTTGGACTTACCGTATTGAGATGGTGGAGGATATCTCTTTGCTCTTGATACACTATCGGGCTTTCTGGAGGTCATTGAGGTTCAAGTATTGCTTCGAGTCGTTCAACAATAGAGCTAAAGTTTTATCTAGACTTAGATACCAAACATAGCCTTCACGCCTTTCTCGCCATTCATCTGACCAAACCTCTCCTCGTTGATGAAATAACTTTCCGGAAACTCATTACCAACATCCTTCCCCAACATCAACCTCGCGAGTGCTTTCCCACAACCCCAACTATTAGGCATCCCATACCCATTAAACCCCGCCGCAATCCATTCTCCATCTCCATTCCTCTCAGTGATAGAACCAGGCAGCTTCCCCACCAACGGTAGTCCATCTGCTGTAAATCCCATCACTCCCGTCCAAGTACTCTTCATCCTGGGGCCATCCTCACTATCTTTTCCCCAGTTCTCCTTTCCGAAGAACACCGGCAACGCACCCGCGAGATGAATCTTATTGTGCACATCTTCCTCATCATCTCTAGGATTTCCAATCGAGTCAAGTCCGTCATCTTTCCCTCGGACTAAACCACCACCATAGAAGAGCTCTCCAGTCTTGCCATTCTGGGTGATGTAGTCCAATCCCACAGTATCCCATAACACACTCCAGGATCTCTCGTTTCCTAGACGAGGAAACAGTTGGCCTGGACGTTGCACGCTCATGTGGCCTCGAACTGGGAACAGCTTTCCCCGTAGTTTAGGAAGAATGTGGCCCGTGTATCCGTTCGTACAGTACGCTACTTGTTTCGTTTTTATTGGTCCACGTGCGGTCATAACTTCGTACTTGTAATCACCAGAGTTGGTGAGCGGCGTGACTGCTGTTGCTGGCGTTTGAGTCTCGATGGTGAAGCGATCGGGGTAGTTTGACAGTAGATGATCGAATATTGAGGTGATCATCCGGTATGGCCAAACTGCTCCTGATAGCTCCACTGCTACTCCTGCAACACCAGACATTTTGAATTCCTACTCTAGTCAACAACATTGGCAACGATGTAGGACAGCACATACCTCGAATCCGGAATCCTTCTTCTCATAAATCTTTATACGTCCTTTGATCTCCGGCCAATCTGTCTCGAGCCTTTCTTTCGTGCCTTTCATACTCTCCACTTTCGCTTCGTCCAATAGCCCACAAACAGCCACGACCCTCCTGATTTCACTGGGTCCCAATAACTCATCTCCAATGTTTTTCAGATCATCGTAGATCATATCATAGTGTGCCAATCTGAATTGACAGATCTTCTTCGCTTCATCTTTCCCAACGTGATCTACCAACTCAGAGTAATCGATTGCCGGATGAGTGGCGATATGACCCCCATTCCGACCTGTTGCTCCAGAGGTGATAGTTCTAGCTTCCAGTAACATGATTTTAATGTTTGAGTCAAGAGCTAGGAGTTCTTTGGCTACAGAGCAGCCGGCGATACCTGATCCAATTATGACAATGTCAGTAAAGCCCGGTAGGTGTTCTGACTGTACATTCTCCAATGCATGGGGCGGTTTCTGCCAGTAAGCTTCCGTTGAATCGGCTCTTGGAGCCCCTGGGTCGGCATTTATACGCTCCAATGTTCTGGCAAGTGCTTCTGTAATCTTGTCAATGGTGCAACGGAAGTGAGCGTGGTGGACATACCCTTTGTTGCCATGTTGTAAGTCACTTGCTCGTAATCCTGGCAGCTGAGCTCAACCCTGGGACAGAAAATTTCAAGAACGCCTAGGAATGAACAAGAGCAGACTCGGAATATTTATAGAAGCGATTGGTAGCGACTGATGGTTACAGTAGCGCAAAACGGCGCAAAGTAATGTTATTGGCTGCAGGAAAGTGGGGTGTGAACTACCATGGCGAGAGCTCAACACAAACATCTTTCAGAACAGGGTCAATAAGTCATTCACAGATCAGCACAATCATAAACATGGCAATAAGTTAAACCAATAACCATGGTCCAGAAAGCAATGAGTGAATGTGCTCCGTGCTTCACCAACGGGCGGCCAATGTTTAAGCTAAACTGAGTGACAATACAAAATAACTAGAAGCACGCGCCAGAACAGGGCTTTAATCACGAGTTTAAAAATTAAATTAAGTCAAATCCAAAGCATTAATCACGAGTTTAAGATTAAATTAAAAATTAAAACTCGTGCATACTAACCAAAATCCCTAGGCGCTACTCCAAGTTCTACTTTCACCTTAAATCCTGGGTGCCACTCCAGTACTCGCCTCAAGTTCTGCTCTCACCTCAACTCCTGGGCGTCACTGGTACTCACCTCACCTCACCTCAAATCCTGGGCCCTACTCCAGTACTCACCTCAAATTCTGCTCTCACCTCCAATCCTGGGTGCCACTCCAGTACTCACCTCAAACTCGAAAGCTGATAAACTCTGATAAATTCTGATAAACAATTTGATGAAGGAGTGAGAGGGTGAGGGGTGAGACTTACATTCTTACTTAGTTGCAGTGTTTAAGGGAGAGAAGGAAAGAAGCAAAGGGAGAGGGCGGAGGGTGGGTATATATAAGTGAGGGGGAGACTAAGTTTTAAACTTTAGCTTAAATCTTAAAAGGGTTGTTGAGCGAGAACTCCAACTTTTGGTGAAACCTTTAGTACGTCATAGCGTGAGGTGACTTGGGTGGGTGGAAATGAGGGTGGAAGGGTGGGAGTGAGAGGTGGAGGGAGAATGAATGAGGATAAGGGAGTAAGGGTTAGGAATAAGGGAAAGAGATGGCAAGGCATTTAAATGTTGGGGAAAGGAATTATGAATTTAGAGGTAAAAATACAATAAAAATCGAGTTTTAAAAAAAGGGATAGAAGGGTCAGAGTTTGAGAGAGTGAACTTGATGAGGTTGATGTTGTGTTAAAGGTTAAAGGTTAAAGGTTAAAGGTTAAACTTAAAGGTTAAACCTATCGCAGTCCAGCATTTTTGACCATTACACCTTACTGAAATAGGAAAATTCGGCCAGATTAGGCAAGGCGCTCACACCCAAAGGTTGTCGCCACAGGGGGAATGTTCATGGTCCGGGTTATAGATTGACAAGCAGTAATCATAGTGTTGAAATAGCAGAGACTGTGCTTCATTTTATATTCGAAGCGCCGCCCAAATTGATTCCCAGTGTATCCTCCCATCACTTGAAAATGAGTCTGTGATTTGTCTCGAGAGAAGATACCAGAAGTTAAAACAAGAAAATATGTAAAAAGCGACGTCATTTAGAGAAGGAAAAGATAAAATCCTCCATGGACCGATGTTCACATTCACACCTCGCAACTTACTGGGAAACGCCCTTCGCTCTCTCCCTTAAACGCATACACCCTTCATCATGAGCAATAAGTCAATCGCTCCCGGCCCTAGAACTATTGCCAACTCTTTTGCAGTTCCATACCAGCTCACACTCTGGCGCTTTGATAAACTTGCCGAGGAAATAATGACAAGAAGCGAGGATTGCGGAGCAACGACTTGACAGGAACTTCGTCTAGCGGACATCGAAGGAACTCGAATGAATCAAAGACACCTTAAGGAATAAAGAAGGCTCTGCCACTGCCAACATCAAGACAATGGCCTGCGAGATCGTTAGTCAAGGTGAGAAAGCTGGGTAACGAGATGTTGGCGATAGCGCTCTGTGAGGAGACAGGGGAGGCTTTTTATGCGATGTGCCATGCCCTAGAACTTGCAATAACGCAATAGCAGTTGTGAGCGGTACATGGGTACAAAGGGCGAAATGGGAGGACAGGCCAATATTCGTTCACCGTTACCTGTAGGCCGGCATATGAACCTTCTGTATCTCGTGCTTTGAAATCTTAGGCCATGAAAATCAGCACTTGCAGGGACGATTTTCTCTCGTTCCATCACCGGATTCTTGATCATATATGCCTGTGCATCTTCAATTGTAAAGAAGCTCTCTTGTACAGAAGGGCATCCAGTCACCCGTGGACCCGTGGATGCCCATTCCCCTTTGACATCCCTGGTATCATTGTATCGTACAGTTTTCCCCAAACCCCCCCTCAACAAAACGCCGCACAATCCTGACTCGCCTCGCCTATGTATTTACCTCCTTTCCCAAACACCCGATCACCTTGGAAGCATGCCCATCTTCATGCAGTGTCTTAAGACTGGTGCAGTTCTACGGGTCGAGCCCTGTTCTTCGGCTTTTCAGATGCTTTCCCGTCGATCCCCTGAGACAAGGAAGCCAGCATCACAAACGTCCTGCCTGCATGAGTTCTTTTGGTTCAATATGTCGCTCGATTCTGGTGATGTGTCCGCAACTCAGGAACCTCCCCTGCCCTTCTAATAACGTTCTTCCTTCTCCCGCCTCTCCTTCCTCGGGTGCTTGATCACGGTGCCTGGCAGATGGTCCTCCTTCCAAAATCGACACACAAAAGCATTACAAACCGGTTCCTTCCCATTCGACCCCATGATAACAGACGGACAATGATGTCCATAAATACAAAACTCCAACTCGCAATCCTGCCCATTCAAGCAAGGATTCAATCTCGCCAGATATGCCATCGCTTTCAAATCTTCCTCGGTAGCTTTATACTGATGCTCGAAACAGCACTCATCCCCTTTAGCACACCGACCTCGTAGATAATGGATATTAGACAATTTGTTGGTAGTGGTTCGTCGTTTGATCTTGTCGAGTACAGCGGCATCGACTGTGATAAAAGATTGAGACCACGGGGGTCAGGGACCCAGACTAGCTTAGCTGGGGCGGGAACTGGTGTGGGTATTTTGACGGTGCCGTTTTTAACTTTGACAGGAGAGGCGATGGGAGGCGGGAGAGGAGCAATAAATGTCACGCCGGCCCATGTGGATGAAGGCATTGGAGAGGAAACTAAACGATTGATGAGTATTTCTGCATGGAATATATTGTCGAAATTTAGTATACGGAGACTGGTTGCTGCGAGTTCGCGGACGGTTGGCGTGCCTTCGATAATTGTGATTCAGCAGCGATCGTCTTGTCTCACTACTTCGTCGAGGAAGGGGCGCAGCTAGCATCGTGAGAAATTCCTAGGAGGATTTGTTTGCAGTTATGGTTAAAGAAAGTCAGTCCAGGTCAGCTAGCTCTCGCAAGTTGTTTACCTTTAATCTTCGAATCAGACCTCTCTTTTCCGTGTCCAACGTCGATGAAATCGAATAAAGCTTCTCCTTGTGTAAATCCTAATGTAAATCCCTCAAATCATCTGGGTTTGCAATCTCGCCGCATAGCTTTCGAGAGTCCCGTAATATTCGCACAAGCTTTGGCCATAAGTTCGATCTCGTCTGCAAGCTCTCTGCAATGTTCGAGAATGGAATTTCGAAGGACGTTGGCTGCTTTGTTTCCTCCTTCGATTCCCTAGTGGATGAGATCTTCGTTGAACTGAGACAAGTTAGCTGATGTCTGTCCCAAGGCTGCAGCTACTCACGATCATACCATCTGAATCGATCAAGACCATTATATAGGATTTCGATTCTGCGAAGATCAGCAGGCAAGGAGCAATCTCAGCAGCCTTGTCGTACCTTTATGGAATCAGAGTCGACGCTGACTTGGCCTACACGCTGTTGTGCCAAATTCAACTGGTGCTGCAAATCCCTTCTAGAGCGCCCAGCATCGTCCAGGTCCAATTGCGCATCCTCCAATTCCTTTACTAGTCTCGCATCCTCATGTCGCAGACCACTCTCCACCCGTTTGCAATATAACAAATAGATCCTAGAGGTGGCACGACGAATTTTCAGCAGCAGACGCATGGTAGCCTGGACCTACCTTTATTAACTCGTCGCCGGTATCTCGTTGCAACTGCATGGCTTGAAATCACTCGACGAAGTCCATGGCCATCGCTGGTAGTTGTGCCATTACACTTCACACCGACAGGAGAACAATGAGCTGAATTTTGAGGGCGTCGCGTGTATTCCGCCAGGAGACGCGAGAGTGGGGTCTAGCGAAGCCTCGCCTCTACCTGTGAGATTAGGTAAGCACGACAAATTTTGCCTGCGACAATCTCTCAGACCTCAACAACCATCTCGATATACACAGATTGTTGTTGGCAAAGCTTCGCAGCCAGCGACTATTCATCGGTCCTCTATCCACTACTGACTACTGCACGATAAGACTGTTCCCAATAGTATGTTGTCGTCGAAGAGAAAGCGCATTCATGATGCTACTGTTTCAACAGAGCATGGACTCTTAAACTCTTCGAACCATGCCGTTACCTTATCCGAATCCGAACCTGTACAACTGAGCCCGCAATATCAGGATAGGCACTTTCTATCGAGAACTCTCCAAAGACTTTTCGAGCTCTAGGAATCCTGGAATCATTATGCGAGGCCTGTGATTCCCTTGGCTACACAACACCTACGCCTATTCAGGCGCAATCTATCCCGATTGCATTACAAGGACGAGATTTAATCGGCCTTGCAGAGACTGGTAGTGGCAAGACTGCAGCCTTTGTGCTGCCGATTTTACAGGCATTGATAAACCAGCCACAGCCTCTACACTCTCTTATCCTTGCGCCCACCCGAGAACTTGCGCAGCAAACCTTGAAAGTCATCGAAGTCTTAGGTACCTTGGTATCTGTCCGGTGTGCATTATTGATCGGGGGACTCGACATGGTCTCACAAGCGATAGTTTTGGGAAAGAAGCCGCATATAGTGGTTGCGACGCCAGGACGTCTGCTTGACCATTTGGAAAATACTAAAGGTTTCTCGCTGCGGCAGTTGAAATATCTGGTTCTGGACGAGGCGGATAGGCTGTTGGATCTTGATTTCGGTCCGATATTAGACAAGGTTCTGAAGATACTACCGAAGAGAACGACATATCTATTCTCTGCAACCATGTCCAGCAAAGTCGAGTCACTACAGCGGGCGTGTTTGTCAGATCCCGTGAGAGTCTCAACATCCACAGAGCGTGAAACAGTCTCGACACTCTCACAGTCATATATGTTTATCCCATGCAAGCACAAAGACACATACTTAATTCATACACTGGACGAGCGAGCAGGACAGATGGCGATCATATTCACCCGTACAGTTAATGAGTGCCAAAGGATTTCGATCTTGCTACGACATCTTGGATTTCCTGCGATACCTCTCCACGGCCAACTCTCACAGAGTGTACGATTAGGAGCATTGAACAAGTTTCGACTGGGGTCTCGAAGTCTGCTCATTGCCACCGACGTAGCAGCTCGGGGACTCGATATACCTTCGGTCGACCTCGTTATCAACCACGATTTGCCCCAGGACAGCAAGACTTATATCCATCGGGTTGGCAGAACCGCTCGTGCTGGTAAATGTGGCATTGCGATTTCCTTTGTTACGCAATATGATGTTGAGTTATGGTTAAGGATAGAAGCGGCATTAGGCAAGAAGTTGAATGAGCAAAAACTAGTGAAAGAAGAGGTCATGGTGTTTGCTGAGCGAGTAGGGGATGCCCAAAGAGCGGCTGCGCGGGAAATGAAGGACCTACACGACAAAAGAGGAAATCCAGGAGCTACTTTGCGGCATAAGAGAAATGGCAAGAGAAGCAGAGATGATATGGATCAGGATGAAGGCTAGGAGTTGATTCGTCAGTGAGTGGGGAATGGATATGCTGCTACTGTATTCGTAACGTTCCTTTATGCATTGATGAGTATAAATGGATTGAATTGCATTTAAATGAGTGACTATCCATATGAAGTACAGATTGAACAATGATCGTATATGTGCCGTAGCACTGGCGGTGTGTTATCCATAGCCTCAGCCTTCTCCTTCAAAACATTCTTTGTCTTGTGCTCCCGAACGATATCCCAGATGACTGACTTGAGGTAAGATCGTATTTCTACCATTCTTATGCTCATCTGCACGCTTTGCACTTGTCCTGGTAGAACATTGCTCGCTTATTGAGGGTCAATAACGCGCATTTAGTGCTACGCTTTTTTAACCATCTCGGCTGTGGTTTGTCCTGCAGGCTGATTGATCGTGTCGCAGGGTTTAAACTTATTCCCTTATGCGTACAAATGAACACAACTTCGTCAGCCTCACACACTGCTTGATAGATATTGTCGTCAGTATTTAATAGTGGCACCGTTTACAAAGCAACAATAATAATCGATAAACATACTTGTACTAGATTTTCTTAATGATGTAGCTTGGTGAATTTGGTAGTACAATTCTTCGAATTTTCGGGGTACAGGAAATGTTATGTAGATGTGAACTTCAATTTTGAGGATCTTGGGAATCTAGATGAATCTATCAGGAAGAATAAGGTAACAACAAAGAAGGAACTCGCTTTTATATATTTATCCCACTTGCGTGCCAACATTGTTACAGCTTGTTCTTATTTAAATGCCAGCGGCAAGCTATGCCTTCAATCACGGACAAACTAAGTGTGAATGGGGAATCAATGGCATTCGCGGATAGCTACAACGCATGGCTCATAGGACCGTCAGCAGAAGCGAATTGTGACAATCTAAAAGCCCGCTTTCTACTGCAAGGGGTTTTTTGTTTGCACAAACACAAACAGGCTGGTAAAGCAGTCAGCTAGCTGATCAGTCGACTGATAAGTGATCAGTTAAAGCCAATCAGTTAGCGATTTTAAATGATATTAGTCTATCAGTTAGCCAAAAGTTCAACTGACAGTTGCTTATAAGTTGGGAGATATCTGA